GGGCGATCCATGGCAAACCATAATAAACCGGGGCAATTTGTATACTGAGTACAAGGGTGCAACGAACTTATGAGATACAAACTTAATGATGAGAACCTCCCCATGTGGATTGAAAGGAGAGCTATATGATGTGACTGGACGTTGACTTAGAGCAGTGAACCCCACAATTATTTGTGTGCATCCAGTGCCACCACGGGAACCTAAATAAATCTTAGGGCTACTTCCCTCGCAACTACCGCTGCAAGATAAGCGATCTACCCTCATCGACCGTAAGCTCCTATAAGGACTCTACCGCACCACCAATAGCCCGTTCGACCGAGCTCCCGAGCGACACACGCACTACTCAAGACTCTGGCCCAGTCACGCTAAGCTAGGTGACATGCATTCAACCATACACACAACCTCGTCCCCAGTGCTTACTTTATTTCCAACCGCGTTTCCAATAGTAAACCCTGGATAGGAAACTTTCTTCCTGTATCCTGATTGGATACCGCAATTGGCTAGTAATGGATTTTTATCGTGTACTTGGTGCTATATATTCACAACGTGCAGTACGTGTTTTCGCGATCATTCGTCCACGCCTTCTCGAAAATACTAATTTCCTTTCCAATTTGCTCATATTAATATGAAATATGATACTGCATGTTGTCTCGATAAGATCGTAACAGTTTGATTTCAAAAATCGTGTTTTCGTAACTCACGCCGTGCTCGCGCTGCTACGAATTGACTCTGTTTTTACCCCAGACACCGCATACAAAAACAAACGCTAATGTGTAACGCATATCCAGGCACCAGACTGTTCCTCATTTGCATACGTGTGCAAAAATCTTGCACATGCAAATGATCCAATACCAGGGTGAGAGAGCAGGTAGTGGTGGGCGCGTACTGCTCGGCACCCTGGGGACGAGGTTGCCATACACATGATTGATTATGATCCTTACCATCAGGACCTGGCCATGCAAAACAAGACGTCTAAACTCAATTTGCACTCGCCTTGTATAGCCTCACAGGCCAGACAACGACCCGTACGCGCTTGCGCGCGCGCCGTACGTCACCGGGCAGTGACTCATTTGCCCAATGAATGTACGCGCAAGGAGGGGCCTAAGCGCCCTCTATGCTTTTACTACACGCATTACTCGCGCACAAAAAAGTGCATTCACCATTATCGCGCGCTAGCATGCTCTATTTGAACAGCGCCCTCTGTTGCGGAAAAAGTTTTGCTTGAGCGAACTAAAAGGAAACATGTAATAGGATTTTTAGGACTTAAATACATTTAAAACAGCTTTCTTGCCATGTAACTATGACTTTCCCACCTCCTTTGTAGCAGTAAAAGGGAGAAATTTCAACATTTTAACCTTTATGCTAATGAAAGTTTACATATTCATAAGCAAAAGCGTGATGTCATTCAAGGCAGCACAATAGTATGCATGGCATATGGCCTTTTGTACAATTAAATATCAAACTTTTCCTCATTTTCTTTGAGTAAGTTCCATTTTTAATTTGTTTATCATGATAAACAGCTCGTTTGGACAAAAGAAGTGGCCAATATTTCTTCAAACCTCTTTTTTTTGTGGGTAATGGAAGGACTAACTGTTGTACTGTTCATATACAATTTTGACAAGGATAGACCTTGTGTGTGACAAAAGCAAAATAGCGCCCTCTTGCATGCATTGATGAAAGGATTTGCTAATTAATGAAAAATGACCACTTTATTGTCACTTCCAATGAAAACAAGTATTGATCTCGTTGCAACACATTGTAATATGCATGAAAACAAGATGAGCTGAATTTCCACTGCATGTTTCCTTTAAATAAGTGTTTTGCTTTCTTCCTGCTACAGATAACACCGGAAGGTACATGTACTTCTCTCCCAGTCGGGACATGTACACGCCCATATTTGAAAGTCCTGTGGTGGAAGTGAACGGGGAGAATGGCCTGGACCTTTGCTTTAGTTTCTGGTACAACATGTATGGACAATATATAGGTACCCTGATACCATTCAATTATTACAATTTATTACAATTTAATGAATATCACCTGAACACACGTTGCACGGTTATTATAAACTGGGTTTCAATTTGACACTTATAGGGGACTTATTTATAAAAGGCGGCCTGATGTGTCATCTTTTCAGATAATAGATCTACAGCTTTTCTTTTTTCTTTTTGTTGTAGTGTGATTTTTGCCTTCGCAAATTTCTGAGCGGGTTGGGGGGGAGGAGACACGCCTTCGGTGATTTTTATTTTTTTTCAAATGTACAATTCGATGCAAGTCTCCAGATGAGACGATCTTAATTCTTAAAATGTGGCACTTCACCATTGCAATGTTTGACCGAAACGGTATTTGTGAACGGCAATAGATACGTGCTTGGTCGGTATTAAAGACCAGTTGGATTCTAGATGATGATAATTACACTGTGCTCAGGTAATTATTAGCATCCAGAACCCGACCGGTCTTAAAAAGGAGTGTTTAATACCTCTCAGAAAGTGCTGAACCTCTGTAATGAACAGGATGTTTCCAGTGTTTGTACCCGAGCAATGGGGTCGTTACAGCGCCCTCAATCGTTCAAGAATAAGACCTAATATGAACTAGGTATAGGTGTAAAATACAAAATCGAAATTGGCAATGGAATCTGGATCGAAATTAAAGTGTCTGTCCATGGAGTGTGAATGAAGCACGTTTTTAAATAACTAGGAAAAACTTATTTCAATATAACAATGATGACTCAGTGAGAATGAATCAGTTTGACCACCGTTTTTTTTTAAGGCACGCTGGAGGTGTATTCTTATAACGCCACTGGTGGCTCTAGCAATACTAGCGGCAGCGTCAAGGTTTTCAGCGCGAGTGGGCCGCAGACAGGAAAGAGGGGATGGCTTCATGGGCTGGTCGACATCAGAGATGTCAACTCGAATATCAGGTTTTACTTCCGAGGTGTACCATTCGGAACTCGCAATGGAGACATAGCATTCGATGATGTATCTTTACAGAGGGGTTTGTGTGAAAGTAAGTATAATTTGATGTTAAATTTTTCACGAGACACTTTAATGGGTGTGAAAGATGTTGTTTTGATACATTTCGTTTACTTTTATATAATTCAATAAGCAATACTGTCTGATGTCGGAGTATTTCCTTTTTTTTAATCTTGTTTCGGTGCATTACTGTACATTTTGTGTACTGCTGTTGTGTGTATTTGATATTCATCAGTTGTAAGTGATTCAAGCAGCTTTGTGAGTAAGGACCTGTAAAATCGGAAAGAATACAGTACTTCGAGTGGTACACTCTTATCTTGTAAATCCCACTGTCAACAAACTGGCCCCTGTTATCAGATACTGCTGCTTATTCCCTGCATTTGTCAATATCAGCTGTGTGACAGCACATGTGGCTTTATTACACAAAGTGTTAGGGATTATAAAGCCACTGTTTGGACAAAGGATTGAGAAAGATTAAAGGGCTGGCCAGTTTACAGTTAGATTGACTGTTTTCTCTCAGAAGTTTCTAGTGGAGGTTACTCGCAATGTATACCCAGAACGTGTATGATACAATGAATAGATACGACTTGAAAAAAAACGTATGTGTATGTCAATACCTGTCTACCGCGTCCGATGAAAACAACCGGTTTTTGTTCTAGAATTGTCTAGGGAACGGTAAGACATTATGTTAGTTTCCTTTCAACCAGACCTAGGATAAGTAAACATTCGAAAACATGACTTTGGGGGGGGGGGATTTCAGGCCGTAATGCCCCTTTAATCTTCATTACTCGGTTATAAATATCTGATAAAAAATGGAATTATCGCGCACACACTGTAAATTAAAAGTAAACCCCGGCGTGCTTGAGTAGCGCGGCATGACAAAACGATAAGTCAAGAGTGAAAACAATCCCTTTCTTTGACCTATCAAGAAGACCGATGTTGAGTGCGAGTCTCATGATAACATTTTGTTAATTTATTCACAGAGGATACAAACTTCAACTGCACTTTTGAAGAAGGATCGTTGTGTGGATGGGTGAGGTCTGACGAAGATGACAAACACTGGCATTTAGAGCGTGGAGCTACTGACACAGCCAATACCGGACCCAATTTCGATCATACCACTGGGAGTAGGTTCTATACTATCGGCAAATTGTTCAACAATTTACCTTAGTACATGTGTTTGCATCATCGCCGTAGTCAGGCCGCAGATTCATCAATCAATCTTACTTTATTTACCGCATGACAATACACACAAATATTCAAAGAAAATCATAAGAAGACAATAACGTGGATGGGGACCTCTCAAAAGCAAAGCTTGTCGAGTAGTTACGCCACTTATTGGTTAATTAATTAATACGTTCATTTAATTTAAGTTACAACAAATTGAGTAGCTTCGTTGCATTCAAAGGTGTCGCATGGCTCAGCTCCTATGTTGTACAGGAAACGCTTGGCACGGCCGACAACTGAGCGTATTCTGTGGAGATTAACCCATGAATTGCAGGGGAGGTCACAAGCAGGTGGCTTGTTTGAAGGGCCGTCGATGTACTGTCGTAGCGACGATGTCGATTTGATCCACTGTAGAGTGATCCACTGTTCGGCCCATCTTTCCCTTAACCAGGAAAGCTGGTAAGGTTTGTGGGCTAATAGCGTCGACACGTCGGTTGCAAAGTGCCTACGGGAGATCCTCTGGCCTTGCGGATTGGTAGAGGTGGGATAAGACTAGTGATCACCGACTTTGCAGGGTAACTTCAGGTTCGTGAAGTCTCGGCGCAGTCCTGCAGTTGCTATGCCTGACAGGATTAACAGGTTGTCAAGAGCGGTCGCTGTTAATGAGCCACTGATAAGTCTCATCACTCTCATGGCAGAGTTGAGTCCTCGAGGACAACATTAATGTTCTTGGTGTGTTTACTGAGACTCCAGGCAGGTGCAGCATATTCTGCCGTTAAGCATGCCGGAGCTATAGCTCGAGGTACGCATTGTGTTGGAGGATGCAGCCCGACCACTGCCAGCTAGTCTGTTCACCGGGTTGACATGGGCTTCAGTCTTGGACACCACAGCTTTGACATGATGGGAGAAGGTTAGGCTACGGTCCAAAGTTACACCAAGGTACTTTGGGGTCGGGTCGAAGTTCAGCCTTTGGCCGTTGAAGGAGATGTTCATCGTCGTGTTTTCTTCCCCAGAGAACTAATTAAATACATAACATTCTGACTATTAGGAAAGTTAGAAGATTACAACAAAATCGGCATTGTTTTGTTTTTACTACAGTCATGTGGGAGGAGGATCCAATGGGCCTTATTCACGAGGAGTCGGACATGTTGAATTGAAAGTTAGAAATGAAAGCAACTTAATTTATAAAAGATTCCAGTCTGCTTCAATGCATAATTTAAAATATGTTATTAAACATTCCTTAATGTTTAAAGCCGTATTTAAAAAAAAAATGACAGTAAAACAAGGCTTTATTGTGCCAGCAAAAATAGTCTGGCGCCATCCCATTCAACAGTAAACAGTTCATAAAATACTTCAGGAAACTCGACAAAAATGGCAATCTTGTGAATAAGGCAAATCGTTTCCCTGGTCAAAAAGTCGGGGGATACCCGTCCATCTCCCCATTCCCCGGGATTCACAGTTACAGTCGACAGTAACGCCCATTGGCAATGGGATCACCACGTTCGTGACATACTGATTCACAACATTGGCGTTTATTAAGTTGTTTAGACTTCTCTTGTGTGATGGTCTTAAATTGTATACATGGTTTCGTTATTACTCAGAACAAAAAGCTTCATTGTTTTAATGCACTTGTTCCCACTTTCGTTCTATCTGTTGCAGCAATTGAGGGATCCTACTTGTATTTGGAGGCAACCGTAGCAACCACGGCCATCTTACTCAGCCCTGTGGTGACTCCACCGGTTACTGACGCCTTGAAGTTCGTCTTCTGGTACAACATGTATGGCGATGCAACAGGTATTGCGATGAAATAGCTTACATTTTTGGTTTTCCAATAAAATAATTGGGAAAATGCCGTACAATTAGACTGAATATAGAGAAAGTGACCATTTTGAACAAGAACATATAATTTTATAGTTCCCTTTGCCTCACTGGGAGACATTTGGTTGCTTGACAATTGTTTAAAGCCTCACTATTAAACACTTGCCGTTTTTTATATTAAATTGTATGATGTTAATTCCCAGCTCCATTTGTTTTTGTATTTTTAATTTCAGTTGATTGAAGGTCTATCTGCCACATTTGACTGTCGTTAAGTTAATTGAAGTTGGTGTTTTATTGATTTTTTGAATGATACTAAACTTTTTAATTGAGACAAAAGTCAAGGTTACTTGTCAAAGGATAGGGTGATCCACTTTCGCCGATTGTAAAATTTGAGGGAATCGTTGAATACCGCATTTAATTTTGATCAGTTTCATACCAAAATTGTGTACTTTTATAGACATCTCGCCAATGTACGGTTTATTTATGTAAAAGAGGTGGTGTCAGAACCTAGAAATGGCCATTTATTTTTAGCCGCACACCGGCCACATGCGTGGAGGGATTCCTTTATAACTCATTGATACCCACATGCACATTACTTTTTTATAAAAATCGGAAGACTTAAATGGATCCCGCGTCCTGGAACAGCCCAATTGGGCTACAAAACGCGCTTTGAACGAAAAGATGTTAACCGGAAAGAACGTTTCAACGTAGGATATAAACATCCACACAACTATCCTTTAAAAACTGGGTTATTTGCGTTATATCTGTATAATGCGTGCGAGAACGACTTTCGGGGTTCACTTTTGCGACCCCAAAAAGTCGAGCGGTTTGGGTGCTAGTTGTGATTTCATTAATAGTTCGCCTTTTGCAGACGGTTCGCATTTTGCGGACGTGTAAGAAACCATGATTATTTTGTGCATTGGTGATTGGTCACCCCTGTTCGCGAGCGAGCACGGGCGCTGTCTGTATGTAGTACCACAGACACACACAACGTGTATATCGCACATTGACTCAACGACAGGAAAAGGGTATTCGTACTCCGTCATGTCCGATGAAATAACCGGGGTTTTTTTTGGTCGTCTTTTCTCGGGAACGGAAAGACATTAGATTGGTTTCCTTTCACCAAGATGTTTGAAATTGGATAAATAAACAATCCAAAACAGGAAATGTTCGGGGATTTCAGGACCTAGTGCCCCTTTAAGGTCTGAAAGTGTGTTTCGCTTTGACATGGAATGACCAATCGCAACGTCAGGTCGCCTTGATTCTTTTAGATTTGTATATTTCAAGTCAGTCTAGTCAGTTTGCAGCAGTCCTATTCATTTTCATAATATAGAATAGGCCTATGACTTAAAGTCTCAATTTCTCCCTGAAAATGCAGGTACCCTTAACGTCTTGAAAGTACCTGAAATTGGGAATTTAAGCTCGAGTCAGATGGTCTACTCGATGGCTGGGCAGCAAACTGCCGACTCTACATGGCTGAAGGCAGAGGTATTTTTATTAGACCTGACATCAAGCTTCCAAATAGTTCTTCAGGCTAACCGCGGTATGGGCATCAGCGGGAGGTCGGATATCGCAATTGATGACCTGGAAATAACTTCTAACATAGGTTGGTGTTTGTTTCATTATCACGCCATTTCTTTGTATGTTATCGGCCCGAATACAGATACAGTGAGATATTTGTTTGTGTTAGGTGCAGACTCTACGATTGACAATGTTATCTTCTCATTTCTGTAGCGTAGGCTCAAACCACAGAAGTGAATCTTCTTGTGTTGGAAAAGCAGGCAGCAGTTTTCAATAAATATTTGCGAAGTAATTCCTGAAGTTGTCAGCAAGCATTGAATGATTACGAGCCCTGGTCACGTCTTTCTTATGAAATACATCTTTCGATTGAAAAGAACAATATTCAAAACAAATATGTGATATATCCTCAATGTACCCTTACAATAATCTTCGTGCTCCACTTTGAACTTCACTTTATGCAGTGTGTATAAAAAAAAATGCAACGAAATATAACGGATTTGCGTGGACTACAAACATGTGTTTAGCGGGTAATGCTTTTCTAAACACATTTAGAACGAGGTGATACATTTGTAGCATGAGGTGATAGCAACAAAGTGTTTAGAATTGTGTTTAGTTGCTTAACACATTTTTGTAGGCCAGGCAAATATCGACACAAGAGGCAGTTAGGCTACCTTTGCCCCAATGCCTAAAATTGAAAACCTGGTCCTATGGTAAATTTGACCTCTCTTGGAAAATTACGCATAACTCTGTCAAGAATTATCAAATTTAGAGGTTTGATGTCTCATTGTAAGTGGTAACGCGTATCTTTCGTACCATACCTATATTATCTATCTTGCTAACACGTTCTACGTCTGGCATTCCGTTACATTTTGTTTGCAATGTTTGTTATAACACTGTATACCCATAGAAAAAGGAATACTCTGGACGTACAGACACACATACAGGGTGGTAAAAAAAAAAGACACCCACATTTGACAGCAATTTTCACCTGTTTTTAAAAATTATTTTTAACTGCCGATTAGAAGCTGTTAAAGTACTGGCCTTATAGCAAATGTGACGAAAAAAAATCGTTGCATTTGCACATTTTGTCGTTGAGCTATGCTAATTTGAACATTTTATGTGCGAAAACTGTTTGTCCACGGAAGTAAACATTCCCTTTGCTTGACTGAGCTCAGCTATCGGAGCTTTTTGAAAAAGGCGTGACATTTAATTGTTATGTTATGTAATGTTATGCAACAATGAACTTAAGCCAACAGCTCATTGAGTAGATGATCTTAACACTGACATGAATAATTGGACAGCTTCAATAAAAGCTACCAGGGCAAAATATATTTTGGTGGGAAGGTTTTTTAATTTTTATGAACTACAAAAACATCCAATTTACATAGAATAACCCGTGGACAAGACTGATTTTGGTGACTTGTATTTAAATTAGCATAACATCACTATTTTTGCGACTTTTATTAAGCTTTTTTCTTTACCACTTTGTGAAAAAAATATTGAAAATGAGGTCACTAAGTAGGTTAAAATTGCTGTCAAAAGTGGGTGTCCTTTTTTTTTTAATCACCCTGCACACAGTAGGCTTGCTGCACTTGTGGATCAAGATTCCCGCAATTCAGGATTTCCGTTCATGCACCATTTTTAACGATTCAAAAAAAAATTGGATCGTTTCAGTACTTGGTCAAAACAAAAGTAACATTGGCTGTTATTCCTTTTTTTAGAAATCGGCATTTGTTTGTTTTTTGTAAGATGTGTGCATGTCCCACAAGACGTTCAGTTAAGCAATACATATTGTTCCCTGCTGGGGTAGGGGATTCATTCGGTAATATACCCCAAGGGGATTAAGAGATAAGAGAGGGTCGAAATCATGCAACGAGCTCTGGTGAACACCCGAATATAGACTCTATACTCGGGTCTTCTGGTATAAGGGAATTCACGGCATGGTGACAAATCTTTCTTTATGAGTTTGTGAGGTTCTGATGAAAGGAACAGTGTCAGGGGGACCTCATTGATTCGCATGCATCTGGCCCTCGTCAGGATACTGTAGGGATCCAACAGTAAAGGAAGGTTATGTAGTTTGACTGGCAGTGAAGCGAGTGAAGGATGCAACAGTTGAGCTGATGGGATGCTGGCTGATCAGTGAGGCGTGTCAGTGTGGAGTTCATATAGAAGCTGGGGTTGCATGAAGATCAGTGAGGCGTATCAGTAGGGAGGAAGGGAGAAACTGCTGGTGATACTGGCTGATCAGTGAGGCGTGTCAGTGTGGAGTCCATGTAGAAGCTGGGGTTGCATGAAGATCAGTGAGGCGTATCAGTATGGAGGAAGGGAGTGAATGCTGGTGATACTGGCTGATCAGTGAGGCGTGTCAGTGTGGAGTCCATGTAGAAGCTGGGGTTGCATGAAGATCAGTGAGGCGTATCAGTATGGAGGAAGGGAGTGAATGCTGGTGATACTGGCTGATCAGTGAGGCGTATCAGTCTGGAGTCCCTGTAGGAGCTGGGGTTGCATGAAGATCAGTGAGGCGTATCAGTGTGGAGGAAGGGAGTGAATGCTGGTGATACTGGCTGATCAGTGAGGCGTATCAGTATGGAGGAAGGGAGTGAATGCTGGTGATACTGGCTGATCAGTGAGGCGTATCAGTATGGAGGAATGGAGTGAATGCTGGTGATACTGGCTGATCAGTGAGGCGTATCAGTATGGAGGAAGGGAGTGAATGCTGGTGATACTGGCTGATCAGTGAGGCGTATCAGTATGGAGGAAGGGAGTGAATGCTGGTGATCCTGGCTGATCAGTGAGGCGTATCAGTCTGGTGTCCCTGTAGAAGCTGAGGTTGCATGAAGATCAGTGAGACGTATCAGTTTGGAGGAAGGGAGTGAATGCTGGTGATACTGGCTGATCAGTGAGGCGTGTCAGTATGGAGGAAGGGAGTGAATGCTGGTGATACTGGCTGATCAGTAAGGCGGGTCAGAGTGGAGTCCTTGTAGAAGCTGGGGTTGCATGAAGATCAGTGAGGCGTATCAGGGTGGAGAAAGGGAGTGAATACTGGTGATACTGGCTGATCAGTGAGTCGTGTCAGTGTGGAGTTCATATAGAAGCTGGGGTTGCATGAAGATCAGTGAGGCGTATCAGTATGGAGGAAGGGAGTGAATGCTGGTGATACTGGCTGATCAGTGAGGCGTGTCAGTCTGGAGTCCTTGTAGAAGCTTGGGTTGCATGAAGATCAATGAGGCGTATCAGTGTGGAGGAAGGGAGTGAATAGCGGTGATAGGATGCAACAGTTGAGCTGATGGGATGCTGGCTGATCAGTGAGGCGTGTCAGTGTGGAGTTCATATAGAAGCTGGGGTTGCATGAAGATCAGTGAGGCGTATCAGTGTGGAGGAAGGGAGAAAATGCTGGTGATACTTGCTGATCAGTGAGGCGTGTCAGTGTGGAGTTTATATAGAAGCTGGGGTTGCATGAAGATCAGTGAGGCGTATCAGTATGGAGGAAGGGAGAAAATGCTGGTGATACTGGCTGATCAGTGAGGCGTGTCAGTCTGGAGTTCATATAGAAGCTGGGGTTGCATGAAGATCAGTGAGGCGTATCAGTATGGAGGAAGGGAGTGAATGCTGGTGATACTTGCTGATCAGTGAGGCGTGTCAGTCTGGAGTTCATATAGAAGCTGGGGTTGCATGAAGATTAGTGAGGCATATCAGTGTGGAGGAAGGGAGTGAATGCTGGTGATACTGGCTGATCAGTGAGGCGTGTCAGTGTGGAGTCCATGTAGAAGCTGGGGTTGCATGAAGATCAGTGAGGCGTATCAGTATGGAGGAAGGGAGTGAATGCTGGTGATACTGGCTGATCAGTGAGGCGTATCAGTATGGAGGAAGGGAGTGAATGCTGGTGATACTGGCTGATCAGTGAGGCGTATCAGTATGGAGGAAGGGAGTGAATGCTGGTGATACTGGCTGATCAGTGAGGCGTATCAGTATGGAGGAAGGGAGTGAATGCTGGTGATCCTGGCTGATCAGTGAGGCGTATCAGTCTGGAGTCCCTGTAGAAGCTGGGGTTGCATGAAGATCAGTGAGACGTATCAGTTTGGAGGAAGGGAGTGAATGCTGGTGATACTGGCTGATCAGTGAGGCGTGTCAGTATGGAGGAAGGGAGTGAATGCTGGTGATACTGGCTGATCAGTAAGGCGGGTCAGAGTGGAGTCCTTGTAGAAGCTGGGGTTGCATGAAGATCAGTGAGGCGTATCAGTGTGGAGAAAGGGAGTGAATACTGGTGATACTGGCTGATCAGTGAGTCGTGTCAGTGTGGAGTTCATATAGAAGCTGGGGTTGCATGAAGATTATTGAGGCGTATCAGTGTGGAATAGGGGAGTGAATGCTGGTGATACTGGCTATTCAGTGAGGCGTGTCAGTGTGGAGTCCATGCATAAGCTGGAGGATGCATGCAGATCAGTGAGGCGTATCAGTGTGGAGAAAGGGAGTGGGGGAGAAGGTTGCCAAGGGTATATCGGACCCATAGGCTGACTAGGGTTTGGGGAACTAAGTTGTCCTGGGGTATAGAAGACCCTTTGGACTGATCGGTAGGGATGGAGCGGCAGATGTCACTGATGGAGAAGCCGATGTCTTGGAGCACTGTACATATTATTTAAAGACGAAACTTATTGACATTTCAATACCGATGTTTCGTCAAACTTTATCAGTGAGCTACTTTCCAATCACAATATCAATACGATAACGCCGAACTTGGTTATACCATCGAGCCGAGTGTTATATTGTTTTTCAATGCGTGGGGAATTTAAATACATGTACACACATTTAAACACAAATATTAAATAATACTGAGGACATATGAAGAAATCATAAAATGACGCAATGTTACACGTTATTTCTATAATTAATTATAATAATGACTGCTAACGTTAACGTGTACGCATAAAGGTGAGGCCAATACTTGTTTTACTTCTCAATATTTGACAGAGAAAACGTAAAACAAAACCAAGCACAAAGGCAAAAGGGTCATTCTTCGTTAAGTGGCTGCTTTCATGTCCCGATACTTTGACGCCGTATAGACAAAAAATGCGTAAATTCATGAAATGTATTTTTGAGGATTTATGAGAAACGATAATGAAAAGCTAGAGAATAAAGTTGTTATTGTTCTTTATTTTCCGATATTTGATGTCGACGCCCGAAAAACCCATGTCCCGATCGTACTTTGTAAAATTTACGATCGTTATATTGATTTCGTTGAGGGACTTTTCTTCATTAAATTCTCTTTAACGATTTGTATTTATCACTTAAATATATTCAATCCTTCAAAATATGCTATTATACACCAATTAAGTGCTAAATGTTATATTTTTTGTTGGAAAATGTCTGTCCCGAGAATTTCATTCAGATGTCGTCACTAACCTATTCAGCGCCCTCAATATTGATAAACACCGAATGGAAACAAGATTTCGGTCTTTGTACACGCGTGAGATACGACGGTGCATTGGGTTCAATTTTCTCGACTTATCGTGAAGAAAAACCCATAAAAATCGTGCCTTTTAGCTACAATATCGGTGCGTACCTTTATTGGGCATCATCTCCGAACGCTTCAGATCATGCCTTATTTATATTTTTATTCTATAAAAGTTTTCATGAGTACGGTAAGAATTGTGTAAACCTCCAAGCACATGTGGTATTCATGCTTCAAACAAACTGTAGATGGCGCTAAACGAGTTTAATTTTAAATATGTCAGCTCCGTCACAGTCAACTCCGTCACATTTTACCGTGACGGAGATGATGTCTTGACGTTTTCTTTAGTCGATAATGGTAACAAAATAAAGATGATAGTGAATAGGGTTTATCATATTAACAACCCCATATCAACTGATTATTATTCTATGTTCACACTTTAAAAGCACTTAGTTGAATTTATGCGGCTTCACATTCATTCAGATATTGTCATTTCCGTCACAAAAGGTGTGACGGATATGACTGTTGCATTTTTTTCCTTATGCTACAAAAAAATAAAAATTGAATGTTTATCGAGTGATTAAAACTCCGTTAAAGATTGCGCCGTGTGCTATTATTGTTGTTGTGCAACATAATGAACACATCCCATGAAAGAAATTTAACATTTAAAGATTTTTTTTCACTATTTTCAAAAGGCCCAAAGTAGACAATTACTGAAGAATGACCCATACATGACAAGACCTTAAAAAACTAGTAGTACAAAATGGGAAAGTACTATTGAAATATTTTGAGGGCAAATTCAATAATACCCAAAATTACAGTTCATCGTCTTGTTCTTATAAGTTACCTGGGAAAAAAACATTCAAGTTTCTGAAAATGAAGAGAACGCCTCAATTCATTGTGTTGAGTCCGTGGAAATTAACCAGCTCTTTTGAAAGCCACTAATCCATCAACGAATTTCGCAACAGGTGAAATACCAATTGTCACCACGGACGTCCAAACGACCACTGCAGTGGACGAGCTATCCACTAGTGAACAAACGACTGGGGTTGCAACATCCTCGAACGACGAAACGTCCACCAGTGAAGCACCGATCCAGCTATCCACTACTGACCATGGGACTGAGATTGCAACAACAGACGAAACCTATGTTACGGATGCAACTCCAGAGCTGACAACTGTTGAACGAGTCACTGGCGTTTTGTCAACGGATGCGTCGATCGACCAAACATCCATTGCAGCAGACGGAGGGGACGGAGGGGTTGCTACAACAGGCGCAATGATCGACCAGACATCCGTTACAGATGCAACTCCGGAGCTGACAACTGTTGAAGGAGTCACTGGCGTTTTGCCAACGGATGCGTCGATCGACCAAACATCCACTGCAGCAGACGGAGGGGACGGAGAGATTGCAACAACAGGCGCAATGATCGACCAAACATCAACTTCGGACGGAGGAAACGGAGGTAACGGAGGAAACGGGGGGATTGCAACAACATCCACTGCAGACGGAGGGGAGTCATCAACTGTTACTGAAGGTAAATTATTTACTAAAGGTTAGATATTTTTTTAATCCACATGCATGTAGGGTTGTACAGGGTGGGTAAAAAACAACGAAACCCAAATATCGAGACTCTTGTTTCATTGAACTTCTGCATGTAGCACTTCAAAAATCTAGGACATGGAAGACCAATTCAAAAGCTTTTGTTCATTACCAGAATTATTCAAATCACTCATGTTCTTTTTAAGTTACAGAGTTTGAAACACAACCACCGTTTTAAAGTTCAGTCCACGGATCACAAAAAAAGGTGTGCGTTCTTTCAGCAAAACGAAAACAATTTGCACACATCCCTATGCGATTTGTTTTCCTAGATTTTGAAAGTGCTACATGTAGAACTTCACTAAAACAATTGTCCCAACATTTTGGTTTCGTTTTTATTACTCACCCTGTAGTCAAGTCCATCACAGTCATCACGTCTCGAGTCAAGACACAACCTATCTAAGTGACATGCGACAAAAGCATTACTTTTGCATTGTTCACCCTTGTAAGTTGGGACCAGACCAGTAAAGGACTTGTGATTTACTTCGTAAAGGACTTGTGATGGATTGGACTACAACACTGCCTCCGTGAATGCATCATTTGAAATTAATAGAATCAAATTCAATCATTGACCATAATGTAGTAGCAAGAGAATGGATCATCCATTTCATATCACTCACTAATGGTCAAGCCTTCCTCGCGCCCGATTTACTATAGGACGAAGGTTTGGTTGAATCTGTCAGTAAATGGTATTCCCGCTCCAGTGAACTGTTAAAACAAGTCACTTGACTGATTTTGACTGAAAGGGCAACTTTGCACAGAGTGTGTGTTTGCATAGGAGGGTTAGCCATAACACGTTGCTATACTGTTTTGCTTGCACAAATCCCATTTAAGATAACATTTTAATATCAGGAACGATGGAGTTCAGCTGTCAGCTACGGATTCTTGAACTGAACGGTGCACTTGCGGTCTTCAACGATCGACTCGCAGACAGCAACTCGCAAGAGTTTCGTGATGTAGCAAATATTATTCGCCCGGCAGTAAGTAGGACTAAATAGTTCTCTATCATTTCTTTTGGAAGTTTCAAATGTGTACCTTTGGCAAGATGTTGCAAAAACAAATTATGCTGTAGATTGGTTACTTACCTAAGTTTAATGGTAAATCAATACGGAGAAAACGTCGGAAATCCGTAACATCTGACACGACAATAGATTTCGGCCTTTAAATCTATAACTTGAAATTATTTTGCTGATTTTGTTGGCAGTTGTTTTTTTGCCAATTTTTTTCTTAAAAAAACATACTCCCCTGATTATGTTTGCCTATTCTGTGGTTGCTTTTAAATAAGTTGTTTTGTTATGATACGATAAAGGTATGTTGTGATTGTCTCAAACTGTGTCGCTCGAGTTTGCACTGTTTGCATTTCATATTTCTCTAGATTCTGTAGTATTTTTTTTAATGCTAATGCTTGTTATTTTTCTATGCTCCCTGATACATCCATAATAGGTGATTGCAGCCCTTCGCAGGTCACCTAGGACATCCAATGTAGTGGATTATGAAGTGATCTCGGTTCGTGATGGGAGTTTGTTGGTGAATGGTGTGGCCAGATTCCCGCTCAACTCCGTCATTGAAAGTGCAGCTATAAGAGAGGTGCTCCACAGTGAAGCGATGAGCAATAACGGATTAATCGACAACTCACTCACCATTGACCTATCGGGTACAGTCGTGACTGGTATGTATTATTGTTTGTTTTGCACTTGAGTAGATGTCGTCTTCCTTTGAAAACTATAGTCTTACTTATTCCCAAGCGAACATGGAAGTGGAAATGTGGCATATGTATGGAAGCGATACAACAGCCGAACGTCATTTGTGGATACAAAATAGAGTAGTATCACATTTTTATTGACGCAGTATAGCAACTTTACTTAAACCTCAAAGTAAAATTTGTAAAAATAATTGTAGTAGCATGCAAAAACGTGCCTGAAGCAGCTACCTGTGATTCATGTTTGTTTAAACGCCAAGTGTGCCGTCATGAAGCAGCGTTAAAGCGTATGACATACTGTCCCTGTCTAACTCGGACGTTTCACAATGCAGTGAGCCACCAAGAGTTTTCCAGTGCACAGTGGGAGACGGTCGACAAATACGCTGCGCGGACAATTTGAAATTGTTTATTTGTCCGGTCAGTAATTTCATAAGCGTATGATTCGAGTATCTGTTTTGTAAGACAGCAGAACGCTATGTCTCAATCATAAACAAATTACCTCAATTTGTTGTCTTCTGATACTCGTTCAAATGGGCCGTGTATTGTCGACCGTAAACTTGAAAATGGACTCTCGTGGCAAACTCTTGGTGGCGCATTGCATTGTGAAACGCCCGAATTTCAGGGACTTTCACAAGATATATATTCTAAATATTTCTTTCATCATCTCCCCCGCTGTGTTACAAGATAAAAATATTCATAATGCAAACACTCGATGTGATGAATGAAGTGTGTACCGCAAATACGAAGGATTATGTTGTCTACGACTTGTTCTGTATATAATGAAGTATATAATGAAGGCTAGCTCCTAATGGACCGATCCAGTAAGCACCGCCCCATGGTATTCTGACCAATCACAGCCGTGATTTATGTCCGACATGCGTGCACAAAAGTCCGACATGCGTGCACGCGCGTATGATGCGTGCGGCAGGAAAATGCAGTGTGGCATTGGAGAGGAGCACGTGTTAATTTGCTTACGTGCGCAGTGGGCGGGGCTTACTGGATTGGTCCATTCCGTTTGCTCTAACGTAATAAACCAAATATAAATTAAAAATATAAATACGTGTGTTCTTGGACACGTGACAACCCTTTGGTTTTGACTTGATGTTTTTATTGATAACACAGCCCCAACTGAGGTTTGCCCGGCATATCTTTGTCAAAATGGAGGCGTGTGTACACAAAGCGGAAGTTTCCCAGATTATGTTTACACCTGCGGGTAAGTCCTGTAAACCTTTTAAAACACGTGGTGCACTTGAAATTTGGATTATTTATCCCAAGGCTTCGTAACATATTTCCGATGATGTCACATGTCTATATGTTCTCACATATATATATGTCTTCTGGTATGATGTGAGTATGGCTGTGATTGGAATAGCTCTTCAATTTCAAAGATCAATTAAACGTTTTATGCCCTATCTACATTCGGTAGGGAAGTCACCGAGTTGAGGAAAATTGATAAGGTTAAGGCAAAATTAAAAGAGTCAGAAAATATGAATTATAAGTCTTTGTAATTATTCACTTACTGAAATTGTTATTATTTCACAGGTGCCCGGATGGTTACACGGGAACCTACTGCGAGGAAACAGGTGCGAAATTTAGGCTCTATACGGCAATGCCAAATGACATAACATTAGATACTCGCTTTATATTGCTCCAAACATTGTTTGCCAATAATGGATATAAATCAAACTGCCTTTTTTCAACAGCTAATTGGTGGAATTGTTTTAGGATTTAGCTGCACGTTCTCGCGACATGGGACGCGCGCTTGATCGGAGCGAAAAAGTTTCACCAACAACATTGTCGTTGACGACACAGTCATAGGAGTTCACTTGTGTGAAAAGCATCGGCATAAGCCTAGTAATACTTGTTGCACCCACGGATCCTACAAACAAGGATGAACGACTCGGCCAAACGTATGGTTAGACGAATGATAACAGCCCGTAAAGGTGGAAATACCATGAATACTTGACTGATTTTGACTGAAAGGGCAACTTTGCACAGAGTGTGTGTTTGCATAGGAGGGTTAGCCATAACACGTTGCTATACTGTTTTGCTTGCACAAATCCCATTAAAGATAACATTTTTATATCAGGAACGATGGAGTTCAGCTGTCAGCTACGGATTCTTGAACTGAACGGTGCACTTGCGGTCTTCAACGATCGACTCACAGACAGCAACTCCCAAGAGTTTCGTGATGTAGCAAATATTATTCGCCCGGCAGTAAGTAGGACTAAATAATACCCTATCATTTCTTTTGGCTGTTTCAAATGTGTACATTTGGCAAGATGTTGCAAAAACAAATTACGCTGTAGATTGGTTACTTACCTAAGTTTAAGGGTCTAACTCACAGGAAATCAATACGGAGAAAACGTTGGAAATCCCAGTTTTGTAACATCTGACACGACAATAGATTTCGGCCTTTAAATCTGTTATATCCTTTGGAACGGATTCGTATTTAAACAACTTGGGACGCAAATAGCACCACAACAACTCCAGCTCGGTTTGGCTTACAACTTCGTAACACACGTTTATTCAACATGGCTCCGCGCACAGAAACTCTTACACGAGTTGACCTTTGACACACTCTAATAGACTGGCTACCTGTCACATGCAGACACGACATCCCTCCCCTTCAAAAAGAAACTTTGGTTTTCTTGAATAATGGGTGACATGCAAAAGGTCAACTATAACAATCTCCACTGCCCAATAATCACAGCAACTAACAAACATCTTTAACTTTAAATCCAAACACAAATATTAAACTTTACAAACCCTGATATAATCAACAACATGCATCTGTCTGACCTTCATGGATTTGTATACATGCACAAGTCAAGCTACTACTGTTAGCGCAGGTTTGAAATTTACTATCAACAAACTGAGGATGTTTTCTTTTGCTGAGCATCATGCCCAAAATCAAAACTCTAGTGGACGGATTGAGATGAAACTGCGTTTGTTTTGTTTTAGAGAACACTCCTATAAAACTTTTCTCATTCAAAACAAAAGCATGCTAAATACATGTTTTATGATGAACAACACTTATATAAAGTAACTTTAGTTCAGTCCACTCTAGTTCAAGATGTAGTCCTTAAACTTAGGATGCATGCCACACTGTCTCTTGGGTCTGCCCGCACATGGACTGGGCAGCTCCTTTGCAACCGGTGGGGTCACAGCGGGTGGGGTATGAGTTACAGTCTTTTGGGGACTGATTGCCTGGTCCATGGTGTTCCCACTGCTGTCCGCTATGGGAGGTTCACTGGCGGTGTTAATGCCTGTGTCACTTGCACTCTGCGTGAACTTCCGAACATGGCTGGTGTTTCGTGAGTACTGGGCTCCCTCCGGGGATGCAACAACCACACTGTTGCCGGTTTTACTCACAACGGTGAATGGGTCGGGAGTGAAAGGAGTAGAAAGTTTGTTGGTCTTCTCCTGCCTCACGAGGACTTGGTCGCCAATCTGCACATCAGAGTATTTTGCATTTCGGCGTGTATCCGCGTACATTTTGGCTTTTGCTTTGCTTTCAGCATCATGGTCACGAACCTCCAAATCAGTGTGATCGTCTGGCTTGAATGCTGGTAGTTTGCCGCGGATTTTCCGGTTAAACAGTAGTTCAGCAGGAGTTTTCCTTGTGGCAGGGTGTTCGGTTGCGCGGTACTTCGCGACGTATTTGCGCAGTTCTTTTCTCCAATCCTGACCTGCAGCTTGCGCAATGCGGATTCGTTTCATGATCGAGTCATTCTGTCGCTCCACCTCACCGTTTGCTTGAGCCCACTTGGCTGTTACTCGCACATGGGATATTCCGTTCTCCTCACAAAAGTCACGAAACTCTTGCGAGCGGAATTGCGGACCGTTATCCGACTTAAGGGTCAATGGTATGCCGTGGCGGCTAAATGCCTCTTCGAGGGAGTCAACGATTTTGTCTGTGGTGGTGGAGCTCAATATCTGGTATTCATAGTACCGGCTATAGTAATCCACCAACACTAGTATAGAATGTCCCGATGGAAGTGGCCCAAGAAGGTCGGTTGCCAGATCTTGCCACGGACCATCCGGGAGTGGGGTTGACCTAAGTGGTTCCGGGGGGTTAGGTCGCGATACAATTTGGCATCCGTGACACGACTTGCAGAATTTTTCTGCTGCTTTGTCCATTGCCGGCCACCAGACTTTCGTGCGGAGATTTTGTTTGGTGCCAACAATGCCGAGATGCCCTTCGTGAGCAAGAGCGAGTGCCTGTTGCCTCAATTTCTGTGGTAGGACAATGCGTGTTCCCCGCAGAACAAGCTGTCCCATGATACACAGCTCTCCTACGACCGGAGCGTATGCCTTACACTTTTCGAACTTTCCAGTGCGAATTGCTTCTCTGACGTTTGCAAGTTCACCGTCTTCGGCAGACGCGTTTTCGACTTGCTTCGTGGTCATGGCACGCGGCGTCGCAGATACAGCTACGAAACGAACATATTCATCCGCGCCATGGGCATGTTCCGGTTTGCACTTGCCACTTAAGAGGCGTGACAGGGCATCAGCGATATTCTCGCGTCCGGGGACGTATACAACTTTGTAGTTGTACGGTTGTAAGCGTAGTACCCAGCGTTCTATCCGTGCACATGGTTTGGAACGGGGTCCATATATGGCCTCGAGTGGCTTGTGGTCAGTTAGAAGCTCAAAGTCGCGTCCATAGATATAGGCATGGAATCTTTCGCAGGCCCAAACCAACGACAGGGCTTCCTTTTCTGTTTGCGAATATCTTCTTTCGCAATCGGTCAGGCTGCGGCTCACATAGCAGATTGGAACCAAACCGTCACGCTGTTCCTGAACTAATACTGCACCCAGGCCGACTGGGCTCGCGTCACCTATCACCTTTGTCGGTGCCGTTTTATCATAGTACGCGAGAGTGGTTGCCTTCGCAAGGCTCTCCTTAAGCGCGTTGAAGGCTGCTTTCTGGTGTGGCCCAAATTGAAATGGAACGCCTTTTCGGGTCACCTTGCGAAGCGGGTCGGACAGAGTAGCAAAGTTGGGTATGAATCTACTACTGAACCCAACTAGGCCGAGAAAACTCCGAACCTCTGATACGTTCTCGGGCTCTCTGAATTCGGATACGGCTCGAACGCGTTCTTGCGTGGGACCAATGCCCTTCTCGGACAACAGGATCCCCATGAATACTAGCCGGCTCATGTTGAACTGGCACTTCTCAGCATTCAGGGTAAGACCTAGCTCCTGCAATCTGCGCAACACTGCAAGCACTCTGCTGTCATGGGTATTTTGGTCAGGGCCATGTACGATTATGTCGTCCGAGATATTTTCTACGCCTTCAAGACCTGCTAGCGCTTTTGCGATCATGTACTGGTACTGTTCGCTCGCGGAACTTACTCCGAATAGAAGTCGTTTGTACTGATATAGACCGCAGTGTGTGACAAACGTCGTGATCCCTCGCGACTCCGTGGCGAGTTCCAACTGGTGGTAACCCCATTTGAGATCGAGTTTACTGAAAACCTTTGAGCCGTTCATGCTTTGCAAAAGTTCATCCACAGTAGGGATTGGATGACGGCCGCGTATGATCGCTTCGTTCGCGCGTCTCATATCTAGACAAAGTCTAATATCGCCGTTCGGTTTCGGTACCACGACGACAGGGTTGACCCAAGGTGTCGGGCCATCAACGGCTTCGATTATGTCAAGGCACTCTAGTTCGCGTATTTTTTGTTCTACTCTACTGCGCAAATTGAATGGTGTTCGCCTAAGGGGCTGCGCAACTGGCGTAACTGAGGTGTCGATGTGGAGCTTAACTTGCTCAGTTTTCAGCTTACCCACGCCTCCGAACACCCCAGGAAACTGCTGCTGGTACTGCTTGGCCTTGTCACCGTTCATAGCTGAGCTGTTCTTAGCGCACTTGTCAACTTTGACCTCATCTATAGTCCCGGCGTGGCCACTTACAGCATTGATTCCGATTTGGAGTATGCCCAGTTTCATTGCTGTGTCTTTGCCAAGTAACGGTACTCCCTTTCCTTTGATTACGATGAATTCGGCTCGGGTAGATCTGCCTGATACCTGCACTTCGCACTCGAATGTACCCTTGAGTGACAGGGGACGGTCTGCTCCATACGCCCACAGCTTTCTGTCTGGTGGGGCTACATGGGATTCACACTGAATTTTGTTCTGTTTGAGTGAGTCCCAAGTCTGCTCGTCGATGATATTGCTTGTGGCTCCCGAGTCAATCAGCATGTTAAGGTCGACTCCGCCCACCTTGATCTTCAACATGTTCGAATGTGGTCCCTCTCGGATGAGGAAGGCGTAATCTTGTGAAGCCTCGGGGTTGGCGTGTTCCTCACCCACTTGGTTGACTCTGGGCTTGGTTTTTGTTTTGCACATCTTTGCGAAGTGGTCCCTGCCAGAACACTTTTGGCATGTCTGACCCCTCGCGGGACAGTTCGAGTCACGGCCGAAATGTCCGGTTCGACCACATCTGTAGCAAGCACCTTTGGGGGTCGGTTCAGGTTTTGTACGCCGATTTCCCGTTTGTGATTGTGGCGACCATAAGTGTTTGGTTTCCGTTTTGGGCTTATACTGCTTGTCACGGGATTTCTGTTTCTTGTCTGACACACGGTTGACAGAGTCAGATTTAGGGTCTTTGCTTTTGCCAGACAGTGCAGCCATTTGTCCTTCCACCTTTTCACATTTATCAGCTATTTGCAGTGCCTTATCTAGTGTCAGTTCAGCCCCAGTTTCCAACAGTTTGCGCCTAACATAATCGGATTTGCACTTACTCAACACAGCATCCCTGATCTGATTGTCCTTTTCCCCTCCAAAATCGCAATCCCTGGCCGCCCTCCGAAGTCTGGTTACAAATTGTAGCACAGTTTCTCCTTCCTTCTGTGACAACTGATGAAATGTTTGCCGTGAGAATGCTGCGTTCTTCCGGGGAACAAAGTAGGCATTCAGCGCTTTTTTTGCAGCATCGTAGTCGGCAGGGTCACCCGTGTTCGGCAGGGTTTGAAAAATTTCCTGCACGTCTGGGCCCGCAAGGTGGAGCAGCAACGCCCGTCGTCTTTGCTTTACCTCGGGTGCGGTGGCAGATCTAACGATGTGGCCCTTACCGTCCGCGTACAGTTCGAACGACGTGAGCCACCTTTCCCAACGCGGCCCGAGGTTTGCCGGCTCTGAAAAGCAGTCGAAGGTGGGAATCACGGTTTTCTCCATTGTTTACCCTCGTCGCCAATGTTATATCCTTTGGAACGGATTCGTATTTAAACAACTTGGGACGCAAATAGCACCACAACAACTCCAGCTCGGTTTGGCTTACAACTTCGTAACACACGTTTATTCAACATGGCTCCGCGCACAGAAACTCTTACACGAGTTGACCTTTGACACACTCTAATAGACTGGCTACCTGTCACATGCAGACACGACAAAATCTATAACTTGAGATTATTTTGCTGATTTTGTTGGCAGTTGTTGTTGTTTTCCCATTTTTTTTTCAAAAAAACATCTTCCCCTGATTATGTTTGCATATTTTGTGGTAGCTTTTAAATAATTTGTTTTGTTATGATACGATAAAGGTATGTCGTGATTGTCTCAAATTGTGTCGCTCGAGTTTGCACTGTTTGCATTTCGTGTTTCTCTAGATTCTGTAGAATTTTTTTTTAATGCTAATGCTTGTGATTTTTCTGTGCTCTCTGATGCATCCATAATAGGTGATTGCAGCCCTTCGCAGGTCACCTAGGACATCCAATGTAGTGGACTATGAAGTGATCTCGGTTCGTAACGGGAGTTTGTTGGTGAATGGTGTGGCCAGATTCCCGCTCAACTCCGTCATTGAAAGTGAAGCTATAAGAGAGGTGCTCCACGGTGAAGCGATGAGCAGTAACGGACAAATCGACAACTCACTCACCATTGACCCATCGGGCACCGTCGTGACTGGTATGTATTAGTATTTGTTTTGTACTTGAGCGGCTGTCGTCTTCCTTTGAAGACTATAGTCCTAGTTATTCCCGAGCGAACATGGAAGTGGAAATGTGGCATATGTATGGAAGCGATACAACAACTGAACGTCATTCGTGGATACAAACTAGAGTAAATATTACATTTTTATTGACGCAGTATATAGCAACTTGACTAAAACCTCAAAGTAAAATTTGTAAAAATAATTATAGTAGCATGCAAAAACGTGCCTGATAAGCAGCTACCTGTGATTCATGTTTGTTTAAACACCAAGTGTGCCGTCATGAAGCAGCGTTAAAGCGTATGGTATACTGTCCCTGTCTAACTCGGACGTTTCACAATGCAGTGATCTATGAGCCACCAAGAGTTTTCCAGTGCACAGTGGGAGACGGTCGACAAATACGCACTGAGCGCGGACAATTTAAAATTGTTTATTTGTCCGGTCAGTAATTTCATAAGCGTATGATTCGAGTATCTGTTTTTGTAAGACAGCAGAACGCTATGCCTCAATCATTAACAAATTACCTCAGTTAGTTGTCTTCTGATACTCGTTCAAATGGGCCGTGTATTGTCGACCGTAAACTTGAAAATGGACTCTCGTAGCAAACTCTTGGTGGCGCACTACATTTTGAAACGCCCGAATTTCAGGGACTTTCACAAGATATATATTCTAAATATTTCTTTCATCATCTCCCCCGCTGTATTACAAGATAAATATATTCATAATGCAAACACTCGATGTGATGAATGAAGTGTGTACCGCAAATACGAAGGATTATGTTGTCTACGACTTGTTCTGTATATAATGAAGGCTAGCTCCTAGTGGACCGATCCAGTAAGCACCGCCCCATGGTATTCTGACCAATCACAGCCGTGATTTATGTCCGACATGCGTGCACAAAAGTCCGACATGCGTGCACGCGCGTATGATGCGCGCGGCAGGAAAATGCAGTGTGGCATTGGAGAGGAGCACGTGTTAATTTGCCCACGTGCGCAGTGGGCGGGGCTTACTGGATCGGTCCATTCCGTTTGCTCTAACGTAATAAACCAACTATAAATTAAAAATATAAATACGTGTTTTCTTGGACACGTGACAACTTCTTAGTTTCGACTTTATGTTTTTATTTATAACACAGCCCCAACTGAGGTTTGCCCGGCATATCTTTGTCAAAATGGAGGTGTGTGTACACAAAGCGGAAGTTTCCCAGATTATGTGTACACCTGCGAGTAAGTCCTGTAAACCTTTTAAAACACGTGGTGCACTTGAAATTTGGATTATTTATCCCAAGGCTTCGTAATATATATCTGATGTTGTCACAAGTCTATATGTTGTCACATATATATATATATATGTCTTCTGGTATGATGTGAGTATGGCTGTGATTGGAATAGCTCTTCAATTTCAAAGTCACCGAGTTGAGGAAAATTGATAAGGTTAAGGCAAAATTAAAAGAGTCAGAAAATATGAATTTTAAGTCTTTGTAATTATTCACTTACTGAAATTGTTATTATTTCACAGGTGCCCGGATGGTTACACGGGAACCTCCTGCGAGGAAACAGGTGCGAAATTTAGGCTCTATATGGGGCAATGCCAAATGACATAACATTTGACACTCGCTTCATATTGCTCCAAACATTGTTTGCCAATAATGAATATAAATCAAACTGCCATTTTTTCAACAGATAATTAGTGGAATTGTCTTAAGGTTTAGCTGCACGTCCCTGACTCGGGACGCGGGCTCGGAGCATAAAGGTTTTACCAACAACATTGTCCTTGACGACACAATTATAGCAGTTCGCTTGTGTGAAAAGCATCGAAATAAGCCTAACAATACTTATTGCAACCACGGTTCCTACACACAAGGCTGAACGACTCGGCCAAACTTATGGTTAGACGAATGATAACAGCCCGTAAAGGTGGAAATACCATGAATACTTGTCAACAAAGACCCCTGCGCGCAGCAGCTTACAGATTTGCAGAGGTCTGCTCCCGATCGGGTGTCGAAGTCTGTCAAGCCAGCTTATTGTATTGTTGAATATTCATGATCCTACCTTTATTGATAACTACATAACCATGTTAACGCCGAGCACAATATCTTTAGCTTTAAAATGAACTTTGCAATGTCGCATTTGTTTCATTGGTTTTGGACCACATCTCTCTAAAACTGTTTAATGAAAGCCTAATTAAAATCGAGATTTGGGTAAACAGAGTTTTCCTCAAAAAAGGTGTCACATTTGACGTTTAGTTCCCGAGTAAATACTTTATCTAGGACGACAACAACTGCACAATAGCTGTTACATCCTGAAGTATTTATTTTTTAACAATTTTGGAACTAGTATATATCTTACATAAGGAGTGGTTTTGCTTACAGTTTTATGAATATTTCCTTTTAAGATGTCATGCAAAACCACCGGCAAAATGGCACACCTGGAACATTCGCGATTAACATGGCAACGGATATTAATGCCCGTTATCACGCGTCCAACCATTAAGGCAAGTGCATTTTGTACTAGAGCTCAGAACCGTCGTTCATCCTTGAGTGTAGGAACCGTGGTGCAACTCAAGGTCTCAAATTAAGCCTTCTTTTCTTGTTGCTCCGTGTAATTTTATTGTATTTAATCAGTAACATTGACGATGTAAAACAAATAGCTTAGGATATTCTATTCCACTGATTTCATAAAACAGTACCTGGGAACGGTGGAATCATTGCCATTGCCACTACAGTCGGTGCACTCCTGTTATGCAGCATTGTTGTTATGATATTCGTGTGCGCCATCATGGAAAATCGCTCTGATGGTCCCCTGCAACGACGCAGACGTTTTGCACAACAGGTAAAAGAGATACAGAGATTTCCGTGTCAGCTGTAGTTATTTTATACAAGCGAGTGTGACTGAAAACAAATTAAACAGTTAAAAAGTAAAAATGTGTAGTCCTCAAAGACTGCAGTATCCACCGTGGATTAAGGTTTCGTCATATTTTATCTGATATGGAACAACTCGGTTGTTTTTGTAATGTTCAACTCACAAAAGTATCTAATAAGCTGAAATTATGTAGTATTTTGTTCTCATGTACGACAAATGTTGAATTCTTTGGAAAAGGAGAAAATCATTGCCACTACAACATTTTCAGTTATTCACCGAAAGACCTTGCAAAACTGTATAACGTGTTTAAGTTGTCAATTCCTTCCGTGTGTTGCAAATAGGAAGAGGACCATGCCAGAGAGCGTTATCGCTACGGAGTGAGGAATTGGACTCGTCCTGCTATTATGCCCCGCACCGTCTTGGTAAGCACGCAACAAGCGGAATCACAAAGGCCTTTTTTCGTTTAATACGGGCAGGGATTACTTATTCACTTCTGTTGCTACTTTCAACTCATCTCGGCTGTGAACAGAATTATACAACTATATGTTTCCAATCATACATATTCGGACCTTGGTGTAAGAAAACTGGATTTGTTTGTATAAGTTCAACTACTTTTGTCTTGTTTGACATGACAATGCAGGAAGTGGACGATGGATCAATGGACGATGCACGCGCATTCTATCGAACCTATGACTACAGTACTAACTATCGTAGAGAAGACGGATTCTCGAGACCTTACTCTCCATACATGATACCCGGCCCAGCACTGGTAGGTTCACGGTTTGTTTTATGGCTTTTCTGCACAGAAAAACCTCCCCTTTTGTTCAGATTGTTCTAACTTCTTCTTAAGTCTTATTTTTGTTCTTTTGCAAATCATACAGACTTTGTACACGAGTATGTCGCTATAACCACTTTAGACACTTTGAAGGCTCAGGTCTTGATGAAACTTGACATAAACACAGACCATATAGCAAACATGTGTCGCGAAGATGAGTGTCATAATGACGTCATCACATGTCATCTGACGTTACCTTAAAGGTGCACATTTCAACCTACAGCTAGAGAACTACAAGTCCGATTGGGATGAAACTTGGTATAGACAGGGACGTGTTCAATATGAAATTTGAGGTGACGTCATTATGTGATTAGCTTTGGCTTTTGAGTTTGAAATATCTCATCAACAGAGCATTGTAATTCAACATTCTTTTGTTAATATAGGTTTGTTAGGTTAGATACTTGAACAAATTGTGTCATGTAACATCAAACAGCGATCATTACAAAACAATTATCGGGTAAGTCCGATTGTCATGAAATTTGGTGGGTATGTAGATAAAATCCAAAGTGACGTCACAATGACATCATCTGGTGACATTTTTATTAATTTTTGAAACTGTTAACATTTTTACTAACAAAATTTTGACGTGAAATTCACTCAGATTCAAATTAAATTACACAAAGACGAAGCTCAAAGGTCACGATGACGTCACTATGGGTCATATGACGTAATCTTATGTGCATATTTTACAGTCCTTTATCTCGAAATCTACAAGAAGTCTTTCCGAAACACTAGATTCGTCCGGCAACTTTGTTCATATTTGAAATCGATAAGTTACCGGACTAGACATGGACGGACAAATCACAATGGAGAAAACCCTATGTTCTGTTCATGTAGTATACTGTAGTTGTTGTTGCTGTAGACAATTTTATTCTGCCTTTTTGTAGTGTTTTACACTTCATCTATGCTACCATGCTTGACGGTAAGATTTTGTATTGGTGCTGTCGAAATTGTGTAAATCGAACTTACATTTCCTTTTCTTTTGGCAGATGCGTAAAATGGATCAAGAGAGGATGACAGACGATTACTTGTACTAAAGAACTTTTTATGGAACCACATACATGTACTTCGGAGGGTTATATGGGGGCTATCAATGCCAATGTGAGGCCCTTGTTTTTACTCATTCCTTAACTTAGTCAAAGCTTACTATTTTGAATAACTGGCGTTGGCTTTGGACTTCTATTGGCTCTTGTACACTCGGTTAGTATTATCGATGTAGCGAACTCGGTTTAAGTTCAGGGATTGCTATTTAGAGTAGAAAATATGTAGAAACAAATTTTACAGTCCCAGTTTTGTAGGCAGTTTCAAACTTTGTCTTGGCAATGAACTTTGGTCTAATTTAATTTGAAACGGCCTAGAAAAGCCCAAATTCCAATTTAATATTTTTAGGGAGCGGGGGACTTCATTGCAAACCACAAAGGTGGAACAAAATGTTCCACATGTAATGAGCACAAATGAGTTGGCAAAATGACGGTCCCGCAAAATTGCCGGGAAAACGGCAGCGTCCTGGGAACTTGCCACCCCTGCAAGTTGTCTGTAATTGTAAAGTCTTGGAAGTCACGGCAATACAGCCCCGGGCAGTATCCGGTTTTAGAGTTTTAATAAATAAAACAAATAATAAAAAAAAACAGTTTTGTGGTACCTTTGGTACAATAGTCCCTATCCACGATTAACTCATTATATGTTATTACATCTTGTATTAATTATAATAGCGTCTTAGTAAATATTGTTTTTATCGTAAGTAGTACAATTATTAATGACGTAATTGGATTGGGGATTTAAAAAAAAAAAAAAAAAAGTATAAATGTATGGTGTATTTTACGGAAACAAAAGGTGTATTTTACTTTATAGTGTATATGTTATTGTAATAGGCTTAATGTTGATATAGTTCTTGTTAATGTAGCCTTAAGGAGACATTTCCCCATTACAAGGTATATCTTAGGAAGACATGGGACATTAGGAAGACATTTCAATATCTCCCTAATGCAACAACTTATTAGAGGAAAATTGTATCGTCGACAATAGGCTAGATCGATTGCTCGTGGTCTAACACGTAAATATGCCAAAATTCGTGGGGGTGAAATAAAGGAAAAATAGAGGTAAGGGGTGATTGCAGTTGAACATTTTTTATGCGCACCCCTAAGGTACCATTTCCCGTAATTATACTAGTCATGTTTATTTTTTTGCTTGGCAGGGTGAAGGTTTATTATATTCGCAATCATGTAATAACACTGAACGTTTGTTTCGTGAAATGTATAAAAGTAGTTTGCGGTAGCATCATGCGAGAGGAACAATCTCTTGTAAGGGTTGTGTGGTTCTGAGAAGAACCGGGGAAATCAACGTTTCGGACCGTTTGCTCTGCTCGTCGTCAGGAGACTGAGGCGTTCCAACGGTGGTGGGTAGTTATGTATAGGCGAACTCGGGCGGTGAACATGCTTCAGTTCTAATGCTTGTCCGCCTCTAGTTCCCCCTTTCCCAACAAAGTTGGAATTTCTCAGTCTCACAAACGGAAGGAATGTGCCACATGGTGCTACCGCGGACTTACTCTTATTGCTGACTTCATCAGCAGTAAGAGTACATCTGCCTATCTTACGTGTAACAGTTTTATTACTCGTATCATGTATTATCAAAATGAATGGTAAACGGCGGATTAGAATTAGCCTATAAGTGAGTAACCAATTGTAATCATGGTTATAAATCTATAATATGTATTTTCTTTGTAATTTTCTGCATGTACAATTCAGTCTGTTTAACCGTTTGCCTCATTTCTTCACCGCATCACTCCGTTTAAAATGTACACTATAAACCACAATGTACAACTTTTTAAAATATTGTAAACGGTTCTGCACATGTGAATATACATTTAAACCATTGTCAACATTTAAAGGGTTTATTTGGGTTTCTTTTTTTTTTATTCACCCTGTATATTATTACATCTTGTATTAATTATAGTAGCGTGTAGGTAAATTGTACTTTGATCGGAAGTAGGACATTTATTAATTACGTTATTGAATTGGGGATTCTTAAAAAAAAAAAATGTATTGTGTATTTTCAGGAAACATAAGGTGTATTAAACTTTATAGTGTATATGTTATTGTAATAGGCTTAATGTTGATATAGTTCTTGTTAATGTAGCCTTAAGGAGACATTTTCCCATTACAAGGTATATCTTAGAAAGACATGGGACATTAGGAAGACATTTCAATATCTCCCTAATGCCACAACTTATTAGAGGAAAATTTTATCGTCGACAATAGGCTAGATCGATTGCTCGTGGTCCAACACGTAAATATGCCAAAATTTGTGGGGGTGAAATAAACGAAAAAAAGGGGTAAGGGGTGATTTCAGTTTGTGCACACCCCTATTACAAAGTCTCCCTAAGGTATCATTTTTATACTAGTTATGCACACTAAAGGTGTTATTTTGTTTGTTTGTTTTTGCTTGGCAGGGTGAAGGTTTATAATATTAGCAGTCATGTAATAACACTGAACGTTTGTTTCGTGAAATGTATTAGAGTAGTTTGCGGTAGCATCATGCGAGAGGAACACTCTCTTGTAAGGGTTGTGTGGTTCTGAGAAGAACCGGGGGAAATCAACGTTTCGGACCGTATGCTCTGCTCGTCGTCAGGAGACTGAGGCGTTCCAACGGTGGTGGGTAGTTATGTATAGGCGAACTCGGGCGGTGAAGGTGCTGGAGTTCTAATGTTTGTCCGCCTCTAGTTCCCCTTTTCCCAACAAAGTTGGAATTTCTCAGTCTCACAAACGGAAGGAATGTTCCACATTGTGCTACCGCAGATTTACTCTTATTGCTGATTTCATCAGTAGTTAGAGTTAATCTGCCTATCTTACCAACAGTAGTGTAACGGTTTGGTAAATGAATGGTAATTGGGGGATTGGAATTAGCCTATAATTGTGTAATCAATTGTAATCATGGTTATATATCAGTAAAATTAGTTTCCTTTGTTATATTCTGCATGTACAATTCTGTTTAACCGTTTGCCTCATTTCTTCATCGCGTCAATGCGTTTAAAATGTACACTATAAACCACAATGTACAACTTAAATATTTAGTCAAAATATTAGTCAAAATATTTAGACTGTTTTTTTTCTCACAGAAAATCGTTTGAAATTTAATTAATCAACTCCAAAAATTAGGCAAATAAAATATAAATTTCTGTTGGCTTGGCAGTAACTTTTTTTTTTTAATGTGAAAACATTATAAACGCTTCTATAGTGAAGAATTCAAGTACAATGTTAAAAGTGTCAAACAGGAGAGGACTCATTGACTAACACTACAGTAAAAACGCTTAGGTTAAAATTTGATTTGTAATTCAGATATCCATATCCATCAGAGACAAACACAAGTAATCGATTTAAGTTCACCACATTGACACCCCCTGTAGACGCCCATTTTGTTAAATGTGTATTTATTATTATTTTTTTGGCTTTTCTGGGGGGGGGGGGAAGCCAACGCCCCCTGCCCCATTCTGGCGACGCCCATGTGTGTAACATGTAGACGCTTGTGTTGAGGTTTCAAACGCGTCGAGCGTTCAGCGTTTTACACGTTCAACTGTTCAACACTGCAAAAACACAAGCATTTATAATATCGAACGTTTTAAGTGTTTCTAAACTGAGCCGTTATCAAGGTGTTTACATGAGTATATAACCTAAAATAATCATGCTGACCTATATTATGTTAAGTTGTTAAACAGTTAATTAACCTGACAGTACTTATTTGCCACATTGGTTGATTACGGGAATTCATAGATTACATATTGACAATTTTAAACGTTCATTTATGCTACTCTATTGCATACAGTATCATCAATGAACATTGCTGTGTATAATGTCGTTAAACAGTTAAATAGTTAGCTGCCGCCTTGCGTGACCGCGTGATATATTACATGGTGAAACATTATTATACTAAACATTGTAAAACTATTCGGTTATGGATTATTACGAATACAATTAGTGGTATGTGGGGAAATGTGTGGTTGATCTAGAACCGAGTATGAAAAGCGCCCTCTAGAGTACGTATATCCCATGCTAGATTGGATGCACTTTCAATAATATATGAACAGTTATAGCGCGTACGTAACTTATTACCCTGCACTTTGACCTTATTCTGTTTGCAGATATGACATTTGGTTTCTGTGAATTCATAGGCAGTGCAGACCCTTTAACCAAGTCTAGTATAGGCTTTCCCGTCCAATTTCACTAAGTTTATATTCAATTAAACGCCCGTCTCTTTGAAATTAGATTGAAATGAAAAGATCGCGCTGATCGTCATTTGACAATATCCGAGCATTCTATCGTCTCGTAGCTTCACTCATCCAATCCAAGATGCATTCAAATTAAACATATCGCGTTGTTCATAGGTGTGATTTAGGCCTACGCATGCAGCCAATGGGGAAAAGTCAGCAACATTAAAACAAAAACAGATTTGCTTTGCGTTTTGTCTTATGGGCTCCGTGCGCCGAGAAAGAGGGCGCCCTTTTACCTAGCAAAGACGTCCCATGGGCGGGACATTTCGCTGGTTGACGTGCACCGTTCCTTGTGTGTGACGCACGTACACCAGGGATTTGTACAATGTACACGTAGTGGCCGCGCTTCGGGTTGCAGACCAGTAAATAAACTTCCATAGACCCCAATGGTAATGCTCCCACTTCAGAAATTCGGGAAAAAAACTCAAAACTCTCCAAGGTGTTCGAGACACACATCAAATTAAAGCTTATTTCATCATCTTTCATTTTCTGTTCAATTTTTGGGGGGTCAACTGATGACTTTTAGGAGAAATTTCCATCCGAAGATGATCAACCCTGGAAATAGTCCTGAAGCCCATCGCCATTTTGAAAAACGATGCCTACACTCCATTGCAAAATGGAGCGCTTTAAGGGCCCCAATTTCATCCTAAATGAACGGAACTACAAGCTCACAGTCCTGTGCACGGCTTCCACTCATATTTTTTACAAACCCTCGAGTTCATGGCCCACAGCATGCTCAAATACTGAAGATTTTGAGGGCATGCGAATCGTGATTTGGCCGGCGCAGGCAATTTCGGACCGATTTCCTGGTCAACAACCTATAAAAAAGCAAGGTTTGAAAAATTCCCCCAAACCACTTGTACGGCACGAGGAAGGATGGATGACTCATATTTCATCAAAAAATTGCGAGAAAAAAAATCTCTGACTGCGATTTCTGGCCTGAAAACAAGCTATCTGTTTGCGGCTGCCTTGCTGTAGGGCGCCCCCAACGGGAGTTATTTGAGTTTCGCTCCTTCCAACCCCAAATTACCCCCCCCCCCCTTGTTTGCTCGAAATTGCTGTGATCGGACGACGGTCCATCGGTCCTATTCAGATTTTGGGCGCATTTGTTGCGGAACTGCCATTGCATGGTGACCCCTTTTGAAACCCTGCCCCCCCCCCAGTCCCCCCCCCCCGAAAAAAAAAAACACTGTCGTGGAATGTAAAGCGCAGGCGCACACATTTTGACAACAAACGACGGAAGGCGCCATTTTGAAATTAAAGGTTGCAGACAGTAAGTAAACTTCCATAGACCCTAAATGCTCCCACTTCAGAAATTCGGGAAAAATACTCAAAACTCTCCAAGGTGTTCGAGACACACATCAAATTAAAGCTTATTTCCTCATCTTTCATTTTCTGTTCATTTTTTTGGGGGGGGGGGGGGGGTGGGTCAACTGATGACTTTTGGGAGAAATTTCCATCCGAAGATGATCACCCCTGAAAATAGTCCTGAAGCCCATCTCCATTTTGAAAAACGATGCCTACACTCCATTGCAAAATAGAGCGCTTTAAGGGCCCCAATTTCATCCTAATTGAACGGAACTACAAGCTCACGGTCCTGTGCACGGCTTCCACCCACATTTTTTACAAACCCTCGAGTTCATGGCCCACAGCATGCTCAAATACTGAAGATTTTGAGGGCATGCAAATCGTGATTTGGCCGGCGCAGGCAATTTCGGACTGATTTACTGGTCTGCAACCTTCGCGGTAAATGAATTGTAGTCAAGATGGCGTCGGTCGGTCACCCCCAACTGTACTCACTTTGCCGGTGAGGGGGTACTTGTGAACGGAGCGGATAGACAATATAGCTGATGCTAGTATGTTGTTCAAGCCACAACTTGGAAAGAAACAAAATAACGCTGTGACAAATTGTTTCCTTTTACTTTAATAAATTAGCTTTGATAATAAGTAGGCACATTGACTTTAGATACTATCAATATTTTATATACTAAAACACAGAGTAAAATAGAACTTTAGAGTTGTAACTAAACCGTCAAACATTTCGAACTGAAAACCAGTTTCACAAATTAAGGTTTCTCTATAAATTCATCCGATTGTGTTTTGTCTGTTAACCCAAGTAACATGCATCCGACCCTGAAAAGTGAAGTATCACACACAAACAATGGCACAGTGGACATGCCTCCCTTAAAGATGGCTATATTTCAAGGTAGACTACCAATAAAGTGAAACAAATGTAGAAAAATATAAATTACAAATATATCCAGTACAACCATGCATATTGATCCCATTCCATTCTATATGCTGTTGCCTACGATGGTAATAGTCCCTCAACATGTGAAACTGGTTTTTTTTAAACATCATTTTCTTTTTACATACAACAAGTTTAACATATATGTAAAACTTTAAAATCAAAATTTATAATTCAAACCGTTCCCACCAGGATAATTGTCCTGACCAACAACTAAGATCCCAATGGAAAAGTCATAATTCAACCCCAGGAAACGTTTTTGATAACCAGGTTTGCGGTATTTTTTATCAGGCAGCTGAAGTATTGATGACTAACCAGATACAAAAATATCATTCCCTGAATTTCATTATTTACACATTTCGAAATCCCCCTTTTCAGTATCAAATTTCATGCGAACCTTCGACCAAGTTGTCCTCAAGTAATAAATTGAATGTATATTCTTCACAGCTCTCTATTTTGAATCATGACTTTTCGAGTGGTAAACCGGTAAACATTGAAAGTAAATTCTAGTTAAAATAAAAAATTCCCACACAAAACGTTTATACAGATTCTCACTAAAACTAGTGCTAGTTTGGTTTAACCTGGTTATCTTACAAACCAGAAACATTTTGGTAGCGATTCATTTACAAATAAAGTAAAATTATTTATACTTTTAATATAATATATTAAATATTTCTGGACAGGTTCTGAAAAGTTTACGGGTTGTTTCTTTGTATTGTACAATTATGTAGAAATATGTTTAATCTATGCAAGCTGCTTCAACGATTGCAAACATGGAGGCTTGTATAAAAGTCTGCTTTCCAGCCAGCTTTAATGTGGCTTACTAATTTTTATGGACTTATAACTGCATTGCAAGCAATGCGTGTTTATTCACGTTGCAACTTACACGACCTCGTCATCAGACGTCTCCTCAGATGCTTTTCCCCCAAACAAATCAACCGCCACCCATGAAAAAGAAAAGGTCCCCAAGTTACATGTGGTCGTCATATTGAGTGCTTTTTTAATTCAGAAAACTGTTTGATTGGGCTACATGAACAACTAGGCATTCGATGCGTTACAAGAGACAGGTTCATGGCCTTCAAATTGACGAACATTAATTACAATTTTGCAATGTCTCAGTGCAATGCTTTTCATGGTAAAGTTTATTAACATAATGACTGATGGATTGAATGACACAGGTGACCATTTTGCAATATATTGGTAACTCTATCAACTGCTTTCTTTTTCATGGGTGATATTTTGCACGTAATGACTTGATACCTTTTCCATTGGCAGTGGATGCTTTTCTGCATAAACTCATCAAAACCTTTCCTCCATTTAGACACCACACAATCTGCCAAACACATTTTACTAACATCTTTACCATCACTCCAAGAAAATGAAAACTACTGTGTCTTGCAACCAGAAGCAAATTGCCGAACAAGATCGATCTATTACGCCCCGCCTACTGCACACGTGGACAAAACGCCGCGTACGCCTGTCCGATGTCCTATAGACGCGCGCGTCATTAGTGAACGCACTTCAGATGTTAATCACAGCTGTGATTGGTTGAAACACCATAGGGCGGGGCCGAGATCGGCGGAGTGGGAACATGTCACTCATTTATATGCTTTTGAATGCAAGACACTCAAAAGTACAATATCACAAGTTAAACAAATATCCTACGAGACTAAGAATTGATCAAAATAACAATGGAACGTAAGGAATAGTTAGTGAATTTGTCAATGTGTAAGTTAATACTTAGCTACCACCTACGAGTTCTCTGCTATGCAGATTAAATATTAAGATAAGAATGAGAGTGCTGCTTTCATTTTGTTTGAAAAAGTAAACTCTATTGCCAGTCTTCAACATTCAAATCTTGGTAAAACAAATTGAAAAACAACAACAGAACTGTCACAATCATAACCTCAAATTCCGATGAAAACACAAGAAGTTGCAGCTTCAACTGTGACTGTTCGTGCTGGATGCAACAAAGCCACGTGTCCAACCGTACCCATCGGGTACAAATTAATTTGATGTAGGTAATTTCAACGGGGGATAACCATAACAATGAATACAACCTTTCACGGCAGATATCATTTCTCGCCGAATTCCTGCACAATTGTAGGCTTCAAACTTGTAGGCTTATTATGACGAAACAAAAGGAAAAACAAAGATAGAGACAGAAAAAAAATAAAACTATTGGAACTGAATTCTTTGTTGACAGGTCATCAGCATAACTGATATGTATAGTTCAAAAGTCTCCAAAATCAGGACTATTATTGTTCCCGATATAGGGATCGTTAATTTCGTCTTCCACAACTCATAAAAGCTCAGAAATTGGGCTGTAAGACATATAAAAAAAAAACTACTGAAATGAAATGTAAGGATATTTTACATTCACGTATTGCACCTAGAATGTCAATTGATTGGTTTGCTGTAGCTCTGAAATGGCGCTATTTGAATTTGGTAGACAAGCACTGTACAATAAGGTATATTGTCCAATAACAAAGTATAAACTATAATACCACAATAACATTTCCGCCATATCTTTTGGGAAAAAACTGAGCCCAATGTTGTTAGGATCCAACCAGCAGTATAGTGATCATTTGATTTCAACCCACAACAGTTTGGAAGCTCATTGATATTTACTGTTTTAGCCCAAATACTGTCAAGATCTTTTATCTCTGGAATTGAAGAGATCTGGTATAGAAGATTGGGCAAAAGAAAGAAGTAATCGGAACAGCTCTCATTAAAGGAAGAATACATCTCATAAAAACGGAATAAAAGTAATATCAGTATTTGAAACTTGAGCTACAGAGTAGACAAGTTCAAACAAACGAGAACATAACACGGGTTACAAGATGATACCCAGCACTCTAGTTCTTATCTTATCAGTGTGAATATTTGACATCATTAAAGTATGCTTACAGGTCAAATGACACGCTACAAGAGATTTTAACCACGGCAGAGCAAACACTCACGGTATGCACAGGTACATGTACATAGGTCCAAACTTCTTGCGATGATTTCAATCTTCTGGTGTGTACAAAGTGTAACATTTACTTAACAGTTTGTGAAACTTAGTCAAGGACTACAATACACTTCCATGCAATGTCTACAATGACATGTTGATATTGCTCCAAATTTATTAACATGTTTCCTTTTCTTTAACGAGGAGGAACTGCTGCAATAAAGATATTAATACTTGTGACCAGAAAATGACGATGCTACATTGGTTCAAGAATAGCCCTTATTCAGAATGCGCAAGAATAATTTTCTTATACCTGGCGTACATATGTTTATTTCTTTTTGATTCGGGGGAAAGACATTTTATTTATTTTAAGGACCTTCGAAGGGATATAACTGACAAATCTCCCGTGGATAACCTGTCCGCACTTAGAATGCTGCCTGCGTGGTATAAACTCTCTTACTCTTTTCAAACACCTACGCACCATTTTACAAGCTTTTTTTTTTAATTTGCAAGGAAATGCTTTCAAAAATGTCTACATGCATATGGTTACACTGTACCTGTCCAAAGAGTCTTGGCCAAACTATAGCTGATCGAACAAAGTTTCTTTTACTGGCTTGCGTTTGATCTTTTTACTTTATCCAGAAAAAAATATTCGCAAGGCATCTTGGGTCTGGGTGACACACAAACCAGGCAAGTTGTGCAAAGACCTATGGGGCCGAGTACCAGTTACAATTTTCATTTGATTCCTCCTCATTACATCGAGAATTTAGTGATTATCTTTCCACACATTGCTGCATTGGCAATTTGAAATATAATCATTTTAAAAGTCAATTTTTAAAGCTTATTAAAACGAAGACAGTTTTGGGGAATCCTTTTTAGAGACCAGTTAGAGACTCTGCCAATATTGACCAATCAGAATCAAAACATCAAGCTCAAACTTCAACACTGCCAAATCACAATTGTTCCACTGGACCTATGATGACTAGTACCCGGAAATGAATTAAAAGTTATTTCTTACTTTTATTTCTGAAGTAAAACAAACAGAATGTTATTTAAAAAAATATATTTGTTATATTCTATGCATAACTTTATAAGTGAATTGATGATCACTTAATCTTGGAAAAAAAAAAAAAAAAATTCAAAGCTTGACTGTTCCTTTCCCCGTATATTTGTGCATAAACTGCATTACGTGTTTGTCATCCATACCCATGATGCAATGCGAACATGGATCTGCAATATAATTATGCCTGCATCATTTGTCCTTAACTCCTTAGAACCTCAAATGTATAGGGGCATCACGTACAATAAGCATTGATGGTTATATACCATAGGTATACCTTTCATAACCATGAACACTATTCTAAACTCCTAATGGATTTTGGAACGATGGGAGATTATATATATTTTTTTGCGTTTAGTTCAGGCAGTTCTGAAAATCGTGTGACCACCGTACTTAGTACAGGTTTTAAGAGCTATATAATGTGCATGAGAAAAGCATCGTTATTGACACAAGAACAGAAAGGTCCTATAAATAGAATTGTCATGAACAAGCCTTAGATGTATGCATCTTACGGGTCATTATTCATCAAGATCTTATGGCATATAAGTCAGGTAAAAAATAGCAATGCCTTGAAGTCTGACTTGCAGCACTTTCCATTTGCATCATAAACAACTTGAACAAAAATAACAAAAAGTTGGAGGAAATTCCAATTTTTTTTTACTGCAAAGTGTCAGCTGTATCGAGCCGTATTCAAGATCAGACTGTTTTGGTTGAAGACCCTTCGGGCAGGTACATTTTCAATCATCTTCACAACACCATTCAAATCTCATAATTAATTTACTAAGGGCCAAACACAGCTTCTAGCCTGTAGATATATAAAGCCAGCAAAGTGGTTATATACACAAGAAACAATGCCAAGGAATAAAAACTTACAACATCCATTGTGCATATACTACATCCATAGTAGCAGGCCAAGTCATTAACATATCTCAGTCAGCCAATGAGAAGTCCCGTCGCATCATTATATCCACAAGGCAACTCATTTGCATATCTCTGGTCATGAGCAAGCCAATGAAAAGTCCTGTTACATGTACATCTAGCCAATCATTACACATTGTACCCACATCTTTTCCTAATTATAGCAAATAGGGGCTGGGCCAATATGACTTGCTGAATACATAGCCTTGGTACACATCCCTGATCAAATTCAGTTTTCTTTCTTTCAATTTACTCATATTTGGCCACACTCACGGGCACAACAATTTTACGTTCTGCTCTTACGAAATACGAATATCACCGAATATCACCAAATATCAAGGGCTATACTTATTTAAGGGGAAGTTACAGGTGTGTTATTTTAAACCACATCCGGAAACCATGCAATGTATCCTTCCAGCCATTGCCCCAACCCCACACACTTTACTGCTTTTTCTGTCTTTAATATTAAATTAACATACATTGCTGCTTTTAACCTTACACTTTGTAGTATCATTAATAACAAGAAATACTCCAACTATCCATAAGTGTCCAACCTAATCCTTCTGTTTTAATTTGAGAATCCGGACTCATTTCTAAATAATACCTATGGTACTTGAAGGAAACATAGCAAGAGTCACAAATGAATGCTGCTTCAAACAAGTTGCTTCTGAGTTTAAGAAGTATTTTGGCAGAATCAAATATCTGCTGTTTATTCTTAAACACTAGTTATAGCCAACGTGGTGTTTGCCTTGATTGACATCACAGTTTTGCTCATGAATATGGAAATTCATATTAGCATGAATACCAACATGGTAAATCTAAAAACAACTTTCAGGTAGAAAACACTAATTCTTGTGAATTCAATTTTGCATTGATGCATTCCTTTGTCCAAATTTGACCCTATAATCAGATATAACTCAATATGAACTATTAGTGAACTATTAGTTCATATTGAGTAAGATCTGATTATAGGGTCAAATTTTAAAAGAGCTTCCATCTACACATATTTTCATATCAAACAAGGTTTCACTATGCATGCAATTGAAATGTGTTAAAGGGGCACCGACTGAACATAAACTGGCTTGAACTGACACAAGTTCACATCCAGACTGGCTAATGTCGTCATTTCTCAGGAATCCTCTCTAACTTTAAATATCCAGGATTGAGGACAAGTTTATCATCAACAGGTGAATTGTACCAGGTGTGGCAGCATCTGCAATACATTGTTTACACAGTTCTAGATGGCATGCATAACCTGGTATCATATTTAAAGCAAAAATTGTGACAACTATTTCAATACTAGAATTTCGTCGGACAGAGTATGGACCTCTACTTTCTTTTCTTTCTTTTTGTTCTAATGCAAATCCCATAGATTTTGTGTACACTTTTACTGCTCTCAACGTTTGACACTAGCAATGCTCAGATCTTGATCAAACTTTTAAAAACATTTTTTCTTTGGTCAGCTGTACACAAGCAAGCTGTATTGATGAGTGGCTCAAAGAAAATCTGTCATTGGCAAGAATTGCAATTTGTGGACACTGTGTATAGGGTTCGATTTTTTTTACAAACAATTTTGTGTAGCTCTATAGTATCAATTAAAGTACATGTAGTTGTTTCAATTGGTTCACTGACAATACATCGATCCGTTAAGTCCTGTCAACTGCACACGCAGACCACACAGGCACCTCTTCACTGCCAACCTGCCTATTCCAGCTGTGCGCGTCATTCACACATGCACGCATGTCTGACATTTTGTGCACGCATGTTGGATATTAATCACAACTATGATTGGTCCAAACAACTTTGGGCAGGGCTACATGGATCAGTACACACACACATGTACATAAGTACAGTAAACATCAGTTGTGAGATGTTTGCTGTTAATATTCCATTAAAACCTGCATGTACCAGTATCCTGGAGATTTAAATAGATGGCATGAAAAAACCTGGTAATATATTTCGAGCACAATTGACGACAGGTATTTCAATACTAGAATTTCGTTGAACCTCTAGTTTCTTTTCTCTTTTTGTTTTATCTCAAAGTAGCGAGATGCGTGCTGTTAACATTCTATTAAAACTAGCAACAGAATAAGGATTAGGATGGACACTCTCAGGCAAATGGGAACTTATCCATTAAGTAACGTCCTTAAAAAGGTTCTTACAGGTACTTTGGGTCCCTAATTATTCAGACGACGAGGTTTTTATCCTGGGCTTGCAAATCATTAGAAAGAGGGGTTTAATGTGAAAGAAGCGTGCACATGTGAGATGAAATCCACTGGAAATCAGTGCGACGAGTGGCTATAATTACGCCCAATCTCTTCATGTAAGAGATCATCTGAAAAGGATCAGTGAATGAAAGGCGAAGAAAAAACAACTAGTTTTGGCTTTGGTTCATCAAGCAATCTGACTGAACACTCCGATCGAAGGAAGGGCATCTTTGTTTTGGTTACGTCCAGCTGTTTCTTCAAAACGGAATTGGAGGAGTAGTGTTTGTGAGCAGTGAGGTTTACCGGTACAATATTTCCTTGTTTCTATGATCTCCTTTATGCTAGACTTGTTCTTTTCTGAATACATGCTATGTGTAAGTGTTAACTTTGCTGTAAGACGCTATGTGACCTGTCCCCACAAATGAGCTTAACCCTATCCAACCCGGACCAACTCTTCAAAATCCAACTGCATGTTTTGTTTGATTCTGTTGGAGTGAGGACTGCACTGGTATAGTGATTATAATGCTTTTATATACATGTACCACCATAATCAGAGTCCAACAGCTTGGGTGTTGAGTTACCACATGGTGTTGGATTTTGTAAGAGTGAGGGACGATCCTATCAAGGGGGTTAGACTTAAAGTCAGACTATTTAAGAACTGATATAATTCTTTTTCTGGATTTTGCAGAACAAATGCTTTCTTATAGTGTACACTTTCTAAGGTGTATATGACATTATCTTCAAAGTATGACTTTCCAAGAAACAGCTGGACATACAGACTAGTCATTTGAAATGTTTTCTTTTATTCATATTGAGGGAAGCTAATGTATCATACAGTTTGAAAGAACTAGTTGACTTGGAAATAAAATAAATGTTGACAACTCAAATGGTATATATTTGTACTGGAGTTATACAAAGCACCGGTAACCACAGAATATCTCACATCCATATACGTGAAAGTTCGTACAAAAAAGTATTTCAATAATCAAACTATATTCAGAATTTACAGTTTGAATCCTTGTTTTAATACAATTTGGTATTCATTTTGGCTCAGTGTATCTGGTAGGGTGTGTACAAAGACGGCGTACAGTGCAATCAAAGTGACAGGGTAACCAGTTGCTCATCAGACTACCGGTTTGCTTTCACTTTCTCATATAGTCTCATTTACCTTGCTACAAATACTCCAACACCTTCAATGTCACACACCACTGTCTACACACATCAAAATGCTTACCAAACGTTGTCTGATTGTGTTCTTGAAGACACGAAACGACACTAACAGTCATTCACAATTCAGTAAGCGAATATTAACGTCAGCACGAGTCTTGGCCATGACCTTCAACAGACCCCCTCATGTGATCCCCTCTTCCCTCCGATTCTAAATATACGAGACATCTTGTTGCTATCTCTGTTTTCTTAACTATTCCTGATCAAAACTCTGAATAACAATTACGCATTCTTGCCAGGTACATTACATATCCCGACTTAGAATTCCGATAAATTTTCTATACTTTTCTTAGCTTTTACCCAAAATATACCCCGCTGTAGTCAATTAAATTCAACTTGTGATCTAGACCTTACCATCCAAAACATCCCAGAGCAGGTTATCTGTACGGATTCTCCTTCTCTTCCAATGACTCTCAAACGAGTGTTACATATCTTCCCACTAGATCAAGGTATATTTCCACTGTCTCTGATTTGGGAGACAGTGCACTTACCCCTATCAGATCCATGAACTGTACTGCCGAGCCCCTGTAGCCAACCCCGTTTTTCTTGAGGTGTACTTACGACGGCTGAATACAAGGAGGGTCAGAGTTACTCCTCATCCCCGTCCCCCTCACCATCGCCATCTTGATGCTCCTGCTCTTGATCCTCCTCTTCTTCCTCCACCGGGGCTGCTCGTAGCTCCTTCATCTTGTCAACATAGTCGCTGAAGACGTCGCGGAAGCGTGCCCACGATCGCTCCGGGATTGTGATGGATGTACGGTACTGGTTACGAGGCTGAGAGTAAATGGAATAAGGATGTGATTAAGTGTTTCAATAATTTATAAGCATTAAGAATAGTTTAAGAACCGTTTAAAGCTACAGTCCATCATTTGTAATTTGTGCATTTTGTTCGTTTGAAGCAACAAAAGAGTTCAAAATCTAATGAAGGATACTGAGCAACTAACCTGATGAAGTTTCAGCTAAGCTTCAGCTGTACATTCCGAGAAAAATAGCATTCTAAGATCTCAATTTCAAATCAAAAGTTGCTGAATCATGTTTTGAATTGTTTTGAATTGCAACTATACGCGACGTCGCGCACTGATCCGACGAATTATAACAACCGCGCGCGCGTGTGCGTCGTTCGAATACTTGTGCGCGCTTCGCTGAATAACAAAACGAACTACTAATTTAAATTTTCCTACGGTGCTTCTTAAGAATCACCGTTGGAAATGCCTTCTTTCGTTGATTACTTCAAAATGACAGCTTCCCAGAAAGAATAATTTCACAGGGAGTTTAGTCCCCGTACTATCTTTCAACCAAGTTAGTTTTTCAACAATAATTACGCCAGTTACTTTTCGGATGGCTGCAAATGATGGACTCTACCTTTAAACATTAAAACATTAAGCCATTTCAGAAAGGCTGATGACGCATGCCCATTATATCTGCAGATAGCGTGATTGACATGACAAGTCAACAATTACTATGAGTCACTGAAAACGTAAAAACTTCACGACATGTACCTCGAATGTAATCAAATACTGCGGTGCTTCTATGGTCAATTAAATAGGTTCGCAATCATCGTTAATTATTTGTGCTATGTACAGTATGTACTTCTATGGTTAATTAAATAGGTTCGAAATTGTCGTTAATTATTTGTGCTATGTACAGTATGTTTAACTCAACGAAAGATCGCGTGAACGTGGGCCCCTTTTTTTGTTCGGGTTTCGTTTTTAGCGTTTTGGAAAATATTTTGTTTACATGTGTGTAACCAGTACTACCTGAGCGCGACCTGCAACTGCGTATTTAATGCAATCAAGCGCACATTGCGCAGTGTTGAAAATGTTCCAAACACGCGCGCTTGTTCCTCAAAATGTGTTCGAAATATGATGCAGCCGATGCACGTTATGCAAGTTGAAGCTCAAAGTGCCGATGCAAGTGGATGATCTGTAGGAGACCTATTTGAAAACAAATATCACATTGTCTATTACTAGCCCAAGCCCGACACGGATTAGTTTACAGCTCACCTGTACTTCACTGACGCGCATGAAGATGCCTCTGTAGTTGTTGCCAATATCAAAATAGAAGTTTTTATTTTCTACTCTGATGAAGCGATTATCCGGTAATTCAGGCTGGACTTCAGCTGAATATGTGAAAACAAACGAAACCAAAATCACATACCAGGTATGTACCTGACTAGTCTTGGCCCAAGATGTCAGTGATCAAGAGCGACAGTTGCAATGTGTTCTGTAGTGCCCTTGCATAATTTATTTTTTACGTTCTCTCACTAACGTCTTGGTCATTTTGTAGCAATGGGGGCGTGGCCATTTTATGTAAATAGGACCGTCTGTATCAATTCGAAGAAAACGGCAGTTCCCAATTGTCGCAGTGGTTGCGCCCTCGCGTGGGGGTATCACTGCGTCGAAGGAGTCCAGAGTGCGTGAGCATGACTCATGCCAGCCTTATTGTGCCACTGCAGAAAATGGCTGCCCCCGGATTGGTACATAAATTTAAGGTACAAAATGTGACATTTGTCCTGTCTCTGTTTTCATAGGTACCTTGCATGCAAGTCTCATTAAGAATGACTTCAATAGTTGTATTTCACAATCACCTTTAGATGACGACTGCATGAAGGAGTGCAGCCAGAATTACAAGATCATAGATGTCAGATGTAAGGGAGTACCGAAGTGAATACGTCACGCGCACAAAATGTGTGTGAAAGACATTACAACGCGTGATTCAGCCCATGAACCAACACGTGCACGTACTCCATTCGTTTGCACTACATTTTCTGGTTCTAAATGAGGTCACACTTCGGTACTCCAGGAAAACAAAAAGAAAACCCCAAATAGTAGCATGTAGTACAGCAGATATACCGGTAGGTGCAGTGATTGTTACTTTGAGTATACTTGTAAGCATGACACTTGGCACACAGTCAGAGTATGTCTTGAAAAGATCTTTGGCGATAGGACAATAGCATCTTTATCTTTTGAAAATAAAATATAGGTAGAATAACAAAACAAAATTTTGAAAATTGCTTGTTATTCTCCTTATGTTTCTTCAAAAATGTCAGAAAGAAATGACTACTACCTGAGCCGTTTTCAGTTCCAAATTCATCTAGGAGCTCCGTAAGGGCATTCTTGAATTCTACCAAACCTTGGGCTGGGAGGGCTATCTGGGTACGCCGTGCTCTGTTGACAGTTTGTGAAACCTGTGGGGATTGTAAACAAAATCACAAATATAAAGGTTCAGGCCTTGAATTTGGGAATTTTTAGGGCAAGGCCACTTTGGCCTTGAATGGAGCAAAATTATAGAGGGCACCAAGGCCAGTTGGGAGGGCACCAAGGCCAAACTAGTAATATCTGCAGAAGGGGCACAGAGGCCGGCTAAAAAAAAATGCGGATTTATATCGGCGATCATGTAGTTTATGGCCCCTCTTTAGTTTCGATCAAATTTGAGTCAAAGGTGTTTTTATTATTCAAAAAATTACTTTTTCAACCTAAAGCAGACTTCTCTCAGCTTATATGGCACCTGTTTTGTAATTTTGAACACTTTTTGGGGATAGAAATTACGTTTTTTGTAAGCGGTTTTATGGTTGGTGACGTGCGATCACCATCTCTATTTTCGTGTTGCATTTTTTCGTTGTCGTTTTCCCTCCAAATTCCCCTTAAAAATTCGAAACCCTTCCCTCTATCTATAACCGTGGCCGTCATTCAATTCAAGCCTTGAAGGTTTAACCAACTCCCTAGCGTCTTCACTAGGAACTGGACCAAGTCCATCAAAATCCATCACTAATTGATCACTGTATGTCCAATTCAAAAATGTACATGACATAATGGAATCCACCACTGATGCACTGTTCGCATTCATGGACTTGCTAAACATGGCTTTTATCACAATAGCAGTACAGGAAGCTAGGCAAAATCAATCGGATACCCCTAGCACTGCTTCAGGCCATTAAGCCCAAGTCCATCATACTCCATCAGTATTTAGTCACGCCAGACCTTTTGGAAGTCCCCCAAGGTCCACCAAAATGGGGAGTTGGATTTTGATGGAGTTGGGGTAGTTAGGGTTAACCAACGTTCGTGCGGTTAGCCTTTTTGAAATGTAGTTGTCACAATAGTAGGGTACCCTCTTCTGTGTTAAAACTGCTCAGAAATTGGGAACTTAGCCAGCATTTAATTGTTTGGCTATAAAAAGAGTGTGAAAGGAAAGGAAGTTGTGTCTGGATTTCCATGAAGTTTGTCCATTTCCTTTAATCCTCACCCTGGCAGATGGAACACAATAATGCAACAGGTGTAGTAGCCTGTGGGATCGTGTTGCACTGGGATATCAACAGAAGTGCATAAACTGCCAATTTCGGGACAATAACTTTAAGAGCTAGTCCCACTAGGGAAAAAAAAATTACAACCACCGACTCTGTGGCAATTTGCAAATAAATTGGCATTCATTCCTCTTGCTTACTGTTAGCGAAAAATCCCTGCTTTTACTTACCTTGTAGCAAACATCTACAGTTAGCAGATTTTTCGGGTTAGCAAGAAATTTGGGCTTTCGCGCTTGCTCACATTAAGTGCTGACGGGATTAGCGCATAATTTTTTTTGCTAGCACGGATAGCACAGAATGGTGATCGTAAGCGCGGAATTCCGGTTAACACAGTCAGTCAAATTGGGCTCAGGAGGGTTTGGTCTGACATCATGTTGAGTATCACCAGTTCACCACGGAGCCCTGTCTCCGGTCAAACGTCTGATATCTAAGCATGCAAATCTGAACCTGCGCGCCAGCCAATCGAAGTCGACTTTACTAAATCGTTACGTCATTTCATTCCGAAAACTGGACTAAAGTTTTGATTGGTCAATTCGAATGCAGTGTTTTTGTAATACATGTACAACAATGGCCTGGCACAGATCTATAAAACCTAGACAAGCTTGGCGCGGCGTATGTGTATCGCGTAACATAAGACAGAGCGCGTGACCGTAGCCTTTGTTTGCTCAATTCACAGCGTATTATTGTCGTGTCTAGGTTTTATTTATCGATGTGCATGACGGGTGAATGACTGAAGACCCGATATAGAAAGCGCCCGCTGATTGGTCAAAATCTAGAGGTCAAGAGGCTGTTGTCTTGCATTAACCCTCACACGGGGTATTCTCCAGGCATCCTGCAAAATGCAACAGAATGTAGTAAACTAATACATGCCAGCCTTGGTGCCAAGTACCTACCGATACCCTGCCAAATGCAACGGAATGCAGGGGTAGAACGCATCAGATCAGGACTCGGTTAAATGCAACAACTTGCAACAACTTTTTACCACTGGTGCATTCTGTTGCATTCAGCAGGGTAAGGGTTAAGGCCAAAAAAAAAAGTCTTCAGTTTTCTGGTATGGAGCTTGCCCAAAAAGTGGTGCGGGGACGCGGCTTTTTTTTTTCCCCGTTTTTTTTTCTTCAAATGTCGGCTGAAGACTGCATATGGGAGTCCAGAGATGCCACATAAAGTTTATTCTCGATCGTAACCCCATCTAAAAGCACGTTAAAATTGTGCAGCAGCAGGATTCCAGTCAAACCAGTGAGTTTGGCGGTTTGAGACATCATCTTTCATTGAAAAAAAAAAAAAACTTTTTCATTTTGATGACGGGCATGGCTTCGGCTTTTTGGGGGGGGCCTAATCAGTGAATAAGGAGTAGTTAGGGTGAAGTATCAAATCTGCAAGCTTTTTTTACCTTTAGAAATCTGCCCCTGTTATTTTCTTTGAGATCAAGGTAATAACGCTTGTTTTCATTGATGATGACTTCACTCTTGAGCCGGCCATCTTCTGGTGGGTTGTCCGGGTTGGGAGGGCCGAGCTGGGCGTAGTGCTCACTGAAATCTGTCATGTGATCACGTAACGCCGCGGCGGCAGACATGGCAAGCGTTAACCTATTCTTGCCGCCGCTGGCCCCCATCTGAAGAATTAAAAGGAAAAACAAAGAACCGAAATAATCACACAATGCAATACATGTATCATTTGGACTGTATAAAAATAACGAGCTTTCGCTTTTATGAAAGATTCGTTACCAAAAAATCTACTCATTTGTATCTGCCAACTCTTATGTAAACAGTACCGGTGTCACATGAAAATCCGACTCCTATGAAAATCGGACCCCTATTTCCCTACTATTGGTTGATCCCTCGCACGTGACAGGTCACTCTCCCCGAAACGATCCTAAAAATAGCATAGTATCGTACTCACGCGTGCGCAGTACTACCAATGAGTCCACATTTCATGGAGTCGGCTATTCACGCTACACCGGTATTTAAGGTGAAGAGACCGGAATCTATTTTTGGACCATAAAATCTATTTTTGGCCTTGACCTTTGATTTCGAAATCTATGCATAGCCATTGCTTAATCATACTTCATAGTCGTAAGAAACAAACCACATCTGTCTAACCTACATTTGTACAAGTCCAGGGGACGTGTTGAAAACGTGGAATACGTCTGATATCCGCCCAAAATCATTCTTCACAATGGTCACTTTGACCTTTGAACTACAGTCGAGTCTCCTTAGTACAAACTCGTTCGGACCTAGCCAGATTGTTATCTCAGAATTTTGTATTAAGAGGAACATCAGTCCCATTCACTGTGCACATACATGTACACGCACAGTCGGGACCAAGGCCTTATGTTTGTTATAACCAGAATTTTGTATTAACAGAGTTTGTACTAACGAGAGTCGACTGTACATGTACGAAGGAAACCCTTTATCCTTCCTTCATTATAATAATAACGTGTATTTATAAAGCGAACGTATCCATATTATTACCCTGCTGATTGGGTCACTGCAAAATTCCAAAGACAATCAAAGCTCGTGGGGAGTATACAGCTCAATACTGCCATTACGGTGCAAAGCAGCTACAATCAATCACAATACTTTGGTACCCATTTACTGCTAGGTGGGGAGAAGCAATGAGTGACACAGTGCCTTGCCCAAGGGCACACACACCTTAACCACAGGCTGGAATCGAACCCACACCCTGCAGAATTACCCTCAGAGCATGAACTCAATGCTCCAGACTACGAGGTCACAGCTTCCTAGTCAGTTGAAGAGTTAGCACCCGATTTCACGAAGCGCTGCAACGCGTCGCAACTCGAGTTACGACGTGTAACACGTCGCAACTCGCGACGCGTCGTATCATCCATTTCACGAAAGTTGCGATGTGTTGAACGCTTCGTAAGTTCCTTGACAACGGCTTAAAACACGTCGCAAGCTACGACGTGTCTAGTGGTCGTCGCAAAATAAGAAGAGTCCGTTTTTAGCCAGTTTTGTGCCATAAACATCACATAAGTTACGAGATTATAATACCGAGGCAATGTGTGTAAAGTTGTAAATAGAAAATTCATTGAATAATTATGAATTAGCCTGGAATGTTGCAGTTGAAATTTCAAAGTAGCTACACAGTCCACTGAGAGCTCGTTTTCCTTTAAAATTGCATCGCATGGCCGCCATTTTGTCGTACGTTTTAAAAAATTTCGAGCGGATATCCGACGACTCTTTGTTGAATACCAGACGACTATCTACTGTATGCTGATTTAATACATAAAACAGTCACCAAATTGTGCTACCGGTATAAATACACATACGACGAGTCGCACTTACGATGTGTTTTGTGAAATGGATCGCAGGACGTGTCGCAGCTGCGACGCGTCGTAGGGATACGATGCGTCGCAGCGCTGCAAATGCATCGTAAGTTACGATGAGTTTCGTGAAATTGGGTGCTGGTTGGCACAGTGATTACTTTCCTTACCTTCCATAGCTATGGGCCTGGTTCGAATCCTGCCCGGACCATTGGCTTTGCAAAGCCTACCGGCACCTGATTCCGTGAGTTTCTAGTCCCTACATGAGAATATCAAAATCAACCGTCATCAAAAACTAATTTGAAGCCATACATGCACCTACCTCGGCAATTTTAATGAACTTTCCTCTCCTGTTTTGCTTGACATCGATGTAGTATCTTTTGGTCTGCACAGTGAGACTCTTGCTGGCCAGTTCTTGGACCCCTGCGAAACGGACACCCGTATCAAGAAACCTCATGTTAGCAGAGTAACTACGGTAGTCACTAGTGTTAAACTGCTCGAACATTATTAACAAATTAGACAAGGCTCATCCTTGCTGAAGAAAAGCACACACCTCCATGACGGTGCAAACGATCTTGGAAAAAAAGCAAAAAAAAAAACCAGTATTAAGTTATTCTGAGTTCATGAATAATTTATGCTGATGGTCAACGATCCCCCTGGGCTAAATGGTCAGCTTTGAGTTACACTACACTTTGAAGGAAAACATATACCAGGCAGGTCTATAGAACAATGTAACCTGTGTAAAACAAATGGAGAAAATCTCTGATCAATTTCAAAGCACAACATTTGTCTCAAACAAATTGCAAAATTCTGTTTCTTCTTTTTTTTCTTCATTTTACGGCAGTAAATTGAACAGCTGTTAAAAAAAAAATCCAAATGGCAAAATAAGCCAGCTCGGTAAATTTGAACTGTGCAGCATGCGCACGATAATATGGGTCACATTCGGGATTTCGCATGAACGCGCGCAATGCTCGTGCTTTAATTACGAACAGAATGTTTGTGGGCGTATAAACATCACTGTTCCATTTTATCCCAAATAACCTTTAACTTCATCGTACCGAACTGGAAAATGAATCATTAGTCCACTGTCTATTCTTAAAGTTTCAATGTCCATGCATTCAATTTGCCTTCATGGAGATGTGGCTGCACATCATGCACTTAGCCGTTAGACAAAATTGTGCACAAAACATCAAACATCTCTAACATCGAAATCCGAGTAAAATAAGCTACAGAGATTTCTCCATGTATTGACAAAACTGATGTGCATAAAAACAACAAAAACAATTCCAGTGTCATATGAAAATCAGACCCCTATGAAATCTGACACTTTAAAGCTTCAATTACATGTATGACTGGTCACTCTCCTAATTAGCATGCGCAATACCAATGAGTCCATATTTAGAGTCTATTAATTCACACTACACCAGTTTTACCCTCTCACACACATTTAATTGCTATTACGCAACATTAAATACATGTAGGAAGGCTCATGCACTACATGTATCCACCTTTACCCAGGTTGTACATGTACATACTGTACATGTTTGTGCAAATGTACACCTACATAAGTACATGCATGTATGTACATGCACAGTAAAGGTGTGCCCTGCCTTTTAAAATTTAAAGGGAATATACAACATTTGCAAACATCGAAATTGAAAACTACCAAGTTTTTACGAAATACCTTACTAGGATGTTGGTAAATGACAGTCTAAAGCATCCTGTAAAATTATGGCACCTGGTGTGAAGTCATTTTCAAGAAAATGGTATTTTTTGTTTACGTTTCCAGCGGTGGTCGGCCGACCACCGTTGGAAAAACCTAACTATTGTGCAACTGCTGCTCCAAATTTACCATTTTTTATTCAGTTCTACTTTTGTTTGCTATTGGTTACATATTCATGAACGGGTGCAGGCCAGCTAGACTTGTTCCCTGACCTTACAATTTTCCGGCATCTGGAAATTGATCCATTTTATCTTTAGTGGAGTCAGGGAACCAGACTACTTGAACGTTTTTGTTTTTCTTGGTTTTTCCCAGCATTTTCGAACAAAAAACTTCAAACATGTCAGTGTAACAAAATATGATCTATAATTATACTAACCCCTCAAATAGTTCATTTCTGAAAATTACAGCAAAAGCCAATGATGTACACGTATGTACATTCCCTTTAAGTGTCTCGTTAGTGAATACAATTTTCAACCTATTCTTAAAATGAATGTTTTTAAAATACCATTTATTTTTTTTGCAATCCTGTATGAATTAGAGCCAAACTATAGAACGCAAAACTACAAGGCAAATCAGCATACAAACCTCACACACTCATTAATAATTGCTAATGTCACCTCTACATGAACCCTGTTCAGGTCTGCATTTAGACTGAGGTTTTTCCAGGGCAACAACAAATCATGCACTGCTCGTTTGCCAGTGGGTAGGCCTACACACGATCTTGATTTCAATGACTTCACTCTCTCCATTAATCAATTAATATACTTTGTTTAAGTACAGCAGAGTGATTAATAATCAACAAATTAATGCACAATAAAAAAAAAATCTTATTAGGCAAAAAAAAAAAATAAGTCGGTCTCTGGTCAGCGCGCGCGTCGATTTTAATCATGCGCGTCAATCTTTTTTATTTTCCAAAATGTTCCGCGGTAGCTCCAACAGCGCCCTCTATTGCTGCACCTCCTCAATTTTTTTCTACCAAAGAGCACCAAGGAATGGGAAATTGCTCCAAGGCAAATGATCGAGAGCACCAAGGCAAATTATGGAGGACACCAATGTACATGAGGACACCAAAAAAGCAAAATAGTACCCCACCTAATGTCTGTACAATACAAGCTTGAAGAAAAAAAAAAAACGCGTCGCCGCGTCAATTCCGGAACTTTGGTCTGACCAGAGACCGAATATTTTTTTTTTGGCCTTAGGTCTACAGCAAACCAAATCTAAAAAAAAAAAATCTGTAATAATTAAGGCTAAGAAAAAAAAGAAGGTGTTTCTGGTTTATACCCACCCAACCTAAAAATTACGCAGAATTATTTTTTTTTATTTCTCCGCCCCCCCCCCCAAAAAAAATTAACAGTTATGGTATCACTCAACCCTTGTTTTCTACATCGCCTTGCATTGCTAGAGATTCTTGCTTCATTTTGTGCGAGTTTGTCGGCAGTGTGGTCTTGCCGTGCCTCACAGCAATGCCCATAGCACTGTGACTAGCACAGCAAATTAATGAAGAATGAACAGTTGATTGTACTTGTTATGTTAATTGCATCGTCCTGCATTTTTAGAAATGTTTGCTTCATTTCATGGTAGTGCGGTCTTGCTGCATGCACCGTGCAACAAAAAACAGCACAGAAAAATGCAGAATGAATTGATGATTCAATGTTGTACGAATGCATCCCAGCCTATTAGTGAGACCCCCCAAAAAAACACCAAAAAAAAAAAAAAAAAACATAAAACAAAACAAAAACACCTTATTTTGTTTTTCTTAGAGAATTAAACACAACATTTTCTCTTCTTGGCCAAGGCAGATTCAGGAAGCCCTCTTTTTGGCTATTTCCCACAATATTTCTCATAAGATTCCCTTTGTCAGGTTTGTACAGTCATGGATCACAAAATACCAAGCCCCCTCCAAAAATATGAAACTTCAGAAATGTATCCTATCAAAGGGGGCAATAACCAATTTTATTTGCAAGACAAACTTGTGCAATAAAAATATATGAATGTGTGTTAAATACATTTACTCCACTCTCAAACTGCGTAAAGCTTTTTGAGATAGCAACCCAATAGGCAAATTGCTGATAGTATTTTTTTCTTTAAGAAATGGAGTTTGAGCTTGCAAGTTCAGACTTGTCCATGTGCAGTTTAGACAGTACGTGTATTGAGGCAATGTGTACGATGTTATGTTAAATTTTTTGATAGCTCAATGGCTGATTATGCCACAGCATACTTACATACACCATAATGCACACACACTTAATGCTACGTCCAACAAGTTCATGATCACTATCAGTTTCATTACAGACGAAGGATTATTGGGCAATCTTTAAAGGGGGCATGCATGTGATGGCAAATGTGTGAGTACAGAGCATTAGGTAATTATCCCTTACTCTCTGAGGGTAGTTTACTGCATGTCAGTTGGTTATGCCAATGCCCTCCAGCTGCAGTATTTTGGCAGATAGTTAGATTTAACAGTGAAGGCTCCAATTGGCAGGAGTTGGAGGCCCTGGAGGGTGCCTGATAGTGACCAGCTGGGGGCACTCACTTTGTTATCAGAGGACTCTCATTGTTCTCTGTGGCATGTATTGGAGTGCCTGTCCAGTTACCCTTGAAATGACATGGCAGATATTGGAGGGCCATGCAAAAAACATAGGAGATTTTCTTGAGGCACAATTGGCATGCATTGGAGGGTCAAGTAGGGTAAGGGTTAAAATGGAAAATTATTCACTGTTCAATATGCCTGGAACATTCAGTTGCAAGTAATTTAAGAAAATTCACAAGAATTGCTGATTACAAAAACAGGCGTGTAACTGGGAAATAACCAAAAAAAAAAAACCAAGGAAAGTCCAAGCTTTCCAATACATTATGCAGCGTTTTGCAATTTTTTAATTTGTGTGAAGTAAAAATGAGAAAATCAGCTGATCTGAGAAAGAGTTGCATGCCAGCTAAAACTACAGGAACAGGACTGAGCTCATTGTACTACATTCAAAAGCAAAAACTCGGGTTTAGATTCAAAATCATTCATTAAAAACATGTAGGGCCTGATCAGGCGGGCATAGGCCTACGTATTTGTACATTGTAGCCTTCAAATTTAAGTACTTTGACCGGGAGTGACATTATTATTTATGTTGTTGACATTTAAATTACATACTGCACAGTATTGCAATCAGGCGTATACCAGTCTTTTGACGTCAACAATTTTCTAACAGGCCTATTAAAGCTGGTCCCAGAGTACATAAAATAATAACTGGATTGATTCAGAATGGCTACAAAGTTTGTTGAATAAGCTGTAGGTAACATGGGAATGAAAACTCCATTTTCGCTGTTAACATCCAGGGAGACTAGACTATTACCTTAAAAATGGATCATGAAAGTACATGAAACACGTGGTGCCAGTCCAAATCTAACGTGACAGTCAGTCAGTGTGAGAAGTAAACCAGTAGGCCTATAATTAACAAGTGACAATTATTGAGTGCGAGACATTTGGAAAGCAAGTCTATACTTCACACGTGACAGCAGAATTGTAACGAGTCACTGATTTTTGTGACTCGAGTCGAGTCATTTGAAAGAAGTGACTGAGTCGAGTCGAGTCATTAGGTCAGGAAGGTTGAATCGAGTCGAGTCACAGTGTGTGGTCGAGTCAAGTCGAGTCGAGTCAAGTATTTAGCTCGAGTCAATTTGAGTCACAAATATTTGAACATTATAAACACAAGAGAGACAGTCACCTTATGGCTTTTCTAATTTCACATTCGGGCTACTACATGTAGTGAGACCACATTTCACTCTTAATGAAAATAAAAAATTCAAATGGGGACACTGATCAAACCAAGTATTTATATGCATACATTATTCGCGAACGTTCTAACGTGACGTGAACAAAACTGGCACCGGCGTAAGTAATTGTAAATATTTTTCGCAAAGTTTTGCTTTTATTTCTAGGACTCGAGTCATATTAGCCTTCCTTGAGTCGAGTCAAGTCAAGTCATTCTGATGAGGGACTCGAGTCGAGTCATTTGCTCGCAAGTGACTCGAGTCGAGTTGAGTCATTTGCCCTAAGGGACTCGAGTCCAGTCGAGTCACCAAAAACAGTGACTCGAGTCAGACTCGAGTCGAGGCATTGACCGAGTCATTACAACTCTGTGTGACAGTCAGTCAGTCAGATAGTATGCTCTAAGGGACTCGAGTCCAGTCGAGTCACCAAAAACAGTGACTCGAGTCGGACTCGAGTCGAGGCATTGACCGAGTCATTACAACTCTGTGTGACAGTCAGTCAGTGAGATAGTAACCATTCTAATTCACAGGTGACCTAGTCAGTCAGTTAGTGTAGTCTAAGTCAAAAGTGCCAGTCAGTACTAAGGGCACGTTAGTTTCGGTCCGGATTTAAATCTGGATCCTTGGAACTAGTACTACATGTATGCTAGTATCAATAACAAGGGCAAGTGCACAATAAGCTCTGGCCCGCTTTGGGAATGTCTCACTATGCAAATTAGACGTACGCATGCGCATTGAACGAAACAAAGCCGGTCTTCCGAAAACTGGTCAAATATTTCTGATCAATTTTAGAGGACAGACAGACAGACAGCAGACAGACAGACAGCAGACAGACAGACAGACAGCATACCGACCGACCGACCACCAGAAGCTCCTGCAAGAGCTTAAAAACTGAAAAGGCACCTGAACAGGATACAAATCTTAAGTCACGTGACTAGCCAAAACTAAACAAGGAGACGGTTAACATTGTACGTTCTTTCGTTAGTCGCCACTTTGAATGTTGGGCTGATCCACCTAGCTCAGGAAGGATCTCTGAGATCCAGGACCAGATAAGGATCAGAGCAAAACAAACGAGCAAAACAAACGAGCAAAACAAGCCTCTGAACCCTGGTGGGGACCAGGGTAGAGAGAAGTCCGAGTAACTAGGACCCAACTTATCGCCTTTGTCAACTATCGCCAGACAATGTCCGAATGTTAAAAAGAGGCGATAAGTTGGGTCCAAGTTACTCGAACTACATGTAGGTTGAGAGGCTCTACCTGCATGGGTAGAAAATCAAAAATCTACAGCTGACCCGTCTTGCCTATCCGTGCTCGATGGGACCCAGTTTTGCTTACAGAGGACCCATGCTGATTTCAACATGGGTATAGGCAAGATGATAGTGCAAAATTTCACGGTAATATGCGCCATCTTTCCCGCGGGGCAATTTTACACGCGTTGCTGTACGCATCATCAATGGAACACTTTTGCAAGTCATCATGTGTTCATTCCAAAATGCGCCCGCGTCTACATGTAGCAACGCATTAGGTTCTTTTTTGCCCCGTGAACAAGATGGCGCATATTACCGTGAAACACCTTATTTAAAGGGGCCCCGAGTATTAGTTTCCTTTTCTTTAAGTAGCCACATCCCCTTTCCTTTGATACACACCGTAGAAGTATGAGGTCACGCGGGGTCATCTCCAATAGTGATTTGTCCAAACAGTGTCTAGTACGCCAATTTTACCGTACGATTTGAATGAGCAATTTAGTAAATTTTCAAGTTGAAATTGATAGTCTTTTTCTCTTAATTTAATATAAGTGCAGTGCTAGACTCGTGAACGTGGCACTGTAAAAAAAATGCCACAATTCGTTCTTGCGTAAAAAACGCAAATTTATAACGCAGCATGTCATTTTGCTTATTTACCGTTATGAAGTTTTCTGAGAATTCATGTGAGTGTAAGGTCTTGCAATCTGCATTGGAAAGAAATTTGAGGGGAAAAAAACAACCTCGACACAACAAATGTATTCATGAGCTGATTTTTCAATTTTCTGAGGTCACGCACAGTACGCTGGTACTCCGAGTCATGCACGCGCGAAATGGTAGGAGCCGTCCGGTAGGTACCCATACAATCTTGTGTGTCGAGTGTTTCTATGCAACTCTAGTCTGGAGCGTGGCTATGTAAATAGCCATGTTCACGGATATAGTGCAGTGACGGTGTCAATACTGCAAAATACTAAATTCATTTGGGTTTAATCGCAATGATACATTATGTAGTATGTACAGCATCACTTATGTATTCACTTAGACCCATAAATGTGGCGTCAATAACATTAACAACCACGTTTACGGGTCTGACACTGTTAGTAGTAACGCAGCTCAGTGAGCACTCAGTCTTCTTTTTTTCTGTAAAAATCTTACAAGCTGAATGTAAAAATGTAGGCGGTAAAATAAGCTTCCACAATCATGACAATTCAAGAGATATGCTTTATGTTTATATGCCAGTGTACGTTTGCAATTAAACTTAGTTCTAAACCGTAAACGTTAAGTATATCTCACAAATTAACTTGGAAGACAGCTGCAATGTAATGACAATCCGTGGTGCACTGCAATGCATAGAAAAACAGTACAGCCATGTACATGTACATGTGCAGTACAGTACATGCCAAATATACACGCACTGTACACACACTGACACTGTCACTTTTGTCAGTCACTGCCCAGGCTGTATTTGTAAACACGTAGTTTGTACACTGCGCTTGCACGGACATGACGGAAGGAAAAGCAGCTGCGGCTGATTTACCGATGTTATTTCGGAAGCTCACACTATCTTATGCACGTGAAGATGTTATATTTTGCATGCCCATATGGTTCTTGAATACTTTTCTTATCAGAAATTATCATTCATGCATGATGTCACGGCTCCGTTAGCAAGAATTTGGCTCATATTTTCAGCCGAATTGTGCACTAAATTTCCGTGACGCGGCCATGTTGCATGACCTCTGCACGGCCAATGTAAATGCACGTAATCAGCTGACTGCCCGTGCTGTCAAAGCGAACAACTCGATGATACAACGTCCAATTTCCAAGATATTTTACACAAAAGCTGTCCAGTACTTGAACACCATTATGCATTTTTCAAATCTGGAATATTAGTGTGTTTTACCTTGCCCCTGAGACTGATCCTCAGTGCTTTCTCGGTCAGACATCACTCCTCCTTTCCAGGCTGCGCGACAGCTCCCCTAATTTATTCGTACATGATATTCATAGCCTCGCTTTGAACAAACTTTAATATTCATTACCCAAAAAATTTGCATTATTTCCTTCCAAAAAGTTCACATATATGAATATTAACTACGAGAGCATTATGTTGATTGGCCCGTGGAAACGACAAGGCGCCCGAGTCTGCGTACAACGGTCCAAAGTTATCAGCTGGAATGTACAGGAAGCAGACGACATGTAAACAAAACAACTGCGCGCGATATTCGGTGTACGTGTGTCGTGTATCGGCAACAAAATCTGCTGTTTTGGTTTTGCGGAGGACACGTAAAATGAGGTGAGTATTAACTCCACAAAACGCTTTCTTCAAACAAAACCTCCAAACTCATTTTGTAACCTTTGCAAAATGGAATGTACATATTTTGACCTCGTAGTCGTAATAAGCCTTTATTCATTTATTATTTTATTGGATTTCCCCTTTCGATTTAGCACAGCCACTGTCTCAAATTCAAAACATTTGCCAACATGTGCGCGCGATATGAAATGACACTGAATTGTGTTAAAAATGAAACAAATTGTTCAAGAAATGTTTTGTTTTCCTCTTGTAGATTATTTATCTTGTATTGTATTATTGCAGTGAATAGTATTATTGCAGTGAATATATGTCGTAAGACTAAGAACGATGATTTTCTTCTACTCAGTTGAAATAGGGCCTAGGCCTACTTTGTTTTTATTCACAGGCATCACAAGACTTGACGAAAAAAAATGGAACCGCCAAAATTGTGAGCGATTATGGATAGGCTGGAAGACGACATTCCATGCTACAAAAAGAAGGACTGTGATGCTTTTGCAGTAAAGCAACTACTGGCTCTCAGCGTGAGTTCATCAGAATACCCGAAGGAGTATGGGGACCCAGGCTACCCACCAACTTCCTGTAAAAGGATCAGCAGGTATAGGTCTAGGCCTAACTTGTTTTTTAAGGCTCTTTCAGTCCAATTCACAAACCCCATCCATCAAGTGAATTAAAGATGGTCTACTTCACTGTTCATGTTATTAAGAAGAATTTGTTGCCTCAATAAAGTTGTTGCCTCAAAGAGATTAAAATTATGATAAAATAAATACAAATCATCAAACATTTATGACTTCAATTTTCAATTTGTTTGGCACAGACACAACACCCCTCCTTAAAGTTAAAGAAAGCTAATTGAACAAATATTCAAACATAAACCTTAATTTTAAGATTGGAGGAGGGTAATTATTTAAACATTTTTGTAAGGCTCTGTTATGACTTTGAAAAAAAACACCTCTTATTCAAATTGCAAGGACTTTGAATTTACATGCTCATGCGGCCAAAGGGTGTGTGTTGATCAACATTTTTCTGACAGATTTTTACATTTTATTGAACTTCAAAACATATCACATTGTTTCACTTCCAAACGTTGAGATCCTTTATATACTTCATGTAATTTAAATGGTCATAGGGCAGATTATTAATGCTTTATCCATAAACTCAAGCAAAATGAGATTTTGACTTATGGCAAAATTTAATTAGATTTTTTAATTTAAAGTAGCCAGTTTCTTGAGCTTATAAAGTATCTTGTGTGCAGAATGAGTTTATTACAAAAAAGTTGTTCCGATTTCCACTAATCTTCTTGTATTTTTTTTTTTCGTGTCAGGCAAAAATATCAACCAGTTAAAGAAAAAGAAGTTACGAATGAGACACATGAAGAAAAATCACAAGCAAGGTTGACCACTGCTGATATGTATCTACTTCGATTGAAAGAAAACAATGAAAATGGTGCACTTGTACACGATGTAAGTCCAAGGGAAATCTGACATACATACATGTAGGCCCTATTGAATTTATTTTCTTTAGATTAAAAAAAATACAACAAATGTGCTGAGAAATGTTAACTTCAGCACAACAAAGAATGTATCTGAGGGGGTTAAATAATCACAACACTTGGGTAGTGTTGTAGTCCAGTTCATCACAATTCCTCACAGGTCCATCACAAGTCCACTACAAGGACAACTAAAGTCCAGCACAAGTAGTCCCTTGCATGGAATTTTGAAATTTCTCAGGGAAATATCAGGGAAAACTCAGGGAATGTTGTTTTCATAAAGTCCTGGGAACCATATAGTGAGGACCAGGCTTGCAATGGATTCAACTACAATACTGGTATTCATATAACGGTCATTTCTTGTTTGTGAAGGATTTCTGCGGATGGCAGTTATGCCCAACTATCCACGCCGAAACTGTCAAACATGGAATCGTCGACGCAAGCCGTCTGAAACCCAGAAACAAGATATTCAACGCGATTCACCGCAGCGTGAACAGCGCCACCGGCAAATTGAGCGCGCGGACTTCAACACCGCCGTCGAAACTGAAAACGTGTCTGAGTACCCGGTTGGACTGTCAGCGACCAAGTAGTGTTTCATCACACCCTTCTAGTAGCAATAATCGGAAGGAGGAGCTAGGGGTCTGGCAGGAACCACCCCCTCCTGTTCCTATAGAGTATAACTTCAAGTATCTCAAACATCCCAGGCAGTATTCAGATCAATACAGGTAAACCAAACAAATTAGCCCAAAGTGAAAATTCCAGCTGAAACAGGTTCAACTGGTTTCAACTGGTACCAGGTGAAGTGAAAATGACTGGTATTGCACTGGTTTTACTGGTTTTGAACAAGCCAGTGAAATCTATTCAAACCAGTTAAACCAGTTCAAAACTAGTCACCAATTTCCAGTTGAACTGATTTCACCTGGAATTCTCACCTGGGGCATGGACCCAACCCAAAGCCCAACCCACCCCACCCATACCCCACCCGTACCCCACCCCACCATTTGAATTCGGGGAAGGCAGAAATAAGTGTTTTATTGTTATAACTCCTGCCCCCCTCCTCACCACTCAGAATTTGGGGGAGGGCAAAACAAGCTTTTTAATTTTATGATTTGACTTGAGATTGACTTGTGATGAACTTGCTGTTCAGCTTCAACCTGTGTCTCATTCCCAATAAACTTTCTCTGTTACAAACACCTGTTTTGGTTTCATCTATATTCAAAAGTGTTAGGAGTGACTCAGTTGACCAAAATAGAATTTGGTTTCAGAAAGGCAAACGTTATGTATTGAACTTTATGTATTCAATGGACCTTATTCATGAGGAAGCCATTTTTGGTCGTGTTCCATGTATTTCATAAATTGTGAACTGTTGATTGGGATGGTGACAGACTATTTATGCATTCTAGCCTCACTTTTTGTTTAAATGTGGTTTAGAACATTAGGGTATAATTAATTACAAATGTTATGCATTAGAGCAGATTTGTATTAATTTGTAACTAACTTTAGGCTATGTGTTTGCTTTCATTCTCTTTGCGAGGTCCAAAAATGAAGTTGTTACCTTGCATTCAATTAAACATGGAATAGACGCTGAAGTCACTCCAAATAGCTGCAACATATTCCTTTCATGTACAATTGAAATCTTTGTATAAATTTGTTTAGGTGTGACTATGGAACACAAGCCTGAGATGGGTGTTCACAATGATTATTCAAGTTTCCTGATCCTGACCGAGAGGAAAACAAATATGTTTCAAACATCATACATCATGTGCTTAATATACCAACTCTTAGGAAAAATGTGGTTCCCAATGATTTTGAAACACAGGTGTGTCAATTAACAATCTGTATTCAATTAATATTCCTGACAGAGAGGCTTACACCTACACCAAGATGAAAGAGAAGAGCCTTGGTCGATGCTCCTTCATTGGTGGAGTCATTGTTCCCCGACAAAGAATGAGATGTGTGAAGGGGAAAGCAATGATCAGCGGTAAATTATCCAGCCCATCATCAACACCAACTTGCTCTGATCCAGATCAAGTCAAGTCATCGGTAAGTTCAGTGAGAGTATAGTGTGAAAATTTGGACTCTATTGTTAAATACGGACTCATTGGTTGTATAACATGCTTAGTGAAGATAATTAGGACAGTGAAAGGTCACATGTAAGGGTAATGTTATCCTCGTTAGCTAAAAGAGACTATAGATTTCATAGGAGTCCAATTTAATGACAGACTATCCAAAAATTTCCAATTAGGACACATGTCCTTATCAGTTAGGGCCCTCTATGTAAGGGGCCTTTTGAAGAAGAAAAAAAACAGTAAAAAATGTGATAGCCACTGCTCATCATAACTGATATTTTCCACCAACAACCATCATGACCATGGAACAGATAAACACTGAGTTAACACTAATATAGTCAACTTGTGGCTAGCTACTGCTTATTACAACTGTTAACAGTTATAGTTGGATGTATTGTGTTCATTTCCATCAAAAGCCACAGGACAGATAAACAGTTACATCAATCCAGTCAGCTTGTGGTTAACCACTGCTCATTATACATGTTATAACTGTTAACAGTTATAGTTGGATGTATTGTGTTCATTTAAATCAAAAGACACAGGGCACATAAACAGTTAACAGCAATCCAGTCAATTTGTGGTTAACCACTGCTCATTATAACTGTTAACAGTTATAGTTGAATGAATTGTGTCCATTTTCATCAAAAGCCACATGACATGTAAATAGTTAACATCAATCCTGTCAACTTGTGGATAACCACTGCTCATTATAACTGTTAACACAATAACAGTTATAGATGGATGTATTGTGTTCATTTCCATCAAAAGCCACAGGACAGATAAACAGTTAACAGCAATCCAGTCAACTTGTGGTTAACCACTGCTCATTATATACTTGTTTTAACATATGCTCTGTGTAAAACATCAGTACAGACTGACTTGATGATGTAAGGTGATGGCACAATTCCTTGCTCCGAATGCCAGTTTTGTAGTCAAAGTTCTTATGACTGCATGAGCACAAGTCAGTCACAAGTGATCCAGTCCCAACTATGTACTTCACAAGCTCTTCAAATTAACTGTGACATATAGGCATTCCTTTGTTAAAGTAAATTTTGCCAACCTAGCTCCCTTTAGCCTTTCATAATAAAGCAGTGAGAGTGTTGCAGTTGAGTCACTTGTGATCAAGCACAAGGTAGTACACTCTTGTTTTACTATACTCTTGAGGACAATGCTTTGTGTTTCCCTTTTCCCTGTAATATAACACTCTACCGTAGACTAAGCACACAAACTTACTACAGAGGATCGTTTCCAACAAAAGACCCAACTCCCGAGGACTGAAAGGATATGTTGTTCGGTGTGTCGGTCCTCGGGGTTATGTAGAACGAGTCGTGAGTCTGGTCACAAGAAATCTCATGTCAAGTCTGAGCCCAATCATCATCATAAGTAGCCTGCGCCGCATCTCACAATCCGTTTTCATCCGGCTTTATCTGTAGCAAAAGAGGATGGATCTGCCTCATAGAGGCTATATTTTTGAGCAAATGAGTTCTCCATCACAACACACATTTTCGATTACAAACAGCAAATACATGGACACCACAATTATTGAAGCAATACAGCAATTTCACTTCAATCTATTGTAAAAATATAACAGGTTATTTTTTATCAACTGTTGCAGATGATCAACTGGCAACTGAACCACCAATTAGTAGAGTCTTGTGACGTGGAGCTGTCTGTCAATAATCCCTCACCCACTGAGATAGCCATGCTGTCGAAGATTCCTCACATCCATCGCTCTTCACCGTCAATTCCGAGCAACACTAACGGCAAGTATGGTGGAAAAGGCACAGGTAAGTTGCAATCAGGAGCTGATTGCACAGAACTGATTTATAAACACAGACATTTTGCTCAGCGCTGAAAACATTTGATCATCAAAAGCAGCTTTTTTTTATGTGATGTACTACATGTCAAAAAAAAGGTCCTACTTTTGATCCTAAATAACTCTGTTGTTTACCAATGGAATTAAACCAAAATTTCAGATCGTGTAACAGGGGTGTGAGTGATCACTCATAACATGAGCTGAAAACACCTGAAAAAGGTTTTAAAAAGCTGAACTTTGGAAATATCCAATACTTGTGTACACAGCAAAGTGAGGGAAAAAAGCTGAAATCCAAAACCCAAAAAGCTGAAATCAGCTTTAAAGCTGAGATTTTACACCCCTGATGTAAACAAGGCATGACAATTTTTGTTTGAGCAAGGGTCATCAGCTTTGTGCAAGATGTTTGTACATTGTGTACATGGTTGGAAATACATGTGTAATTTTACTGGTGCAAAAAGAAGCTTTTCCACTTAATTAATTCCCACAGCATTCCTTTGGGCTTCTGTATTTGTTTTCTTCTTCAATTTTTGTTGTTGTACATGTACTTACAATCGCATTTTTTGTCCTTTTGAACAGAACTCCAGTGTTGTTTCTTTTGTGAGTTTCAAACGAACCCCATCCATTAATATTGAACAATTGATTTTTATTTGATAAAACAGTTTGTTTTGATACATGAAAAGATCCATCACATCCATCTCTTTTATTCTCTTTGATAATCCAGTAGTCAATCATAAATTGAATAAAAAGTCATCCTGTCTACTGTGACAAAGGCACTAATTTTGCATCCCCGGTATTTGTCATCCGACTTTTGATTTGACTTGTGATTGACATTGGATTTGACTTGTGATTGACTAAATTTATTCAGTTTGTTTTGATACATGAAAAGATCCATCACATCCATCTCTTTTATTCTCTTTGATAATCCAGTAGTCAATCATAAATTGAATAAAAAGTCATCCTGTCTACTGTGACAAAGGCACTAATTTTGCATCCCCGGTATTTGTCATCCGACTTTTGATTTGACTTGTGATTGACATTGGATTTGACTTGTGATTGACTTTGGATTTGACTTGTGATTGACTAAATTTGGATTTGACTTGTGATTGACTTTGGATTTGACCTGTGATTGACGTTTGTTTTTACTTGTGATTGACGTTTGAGTTGACGTGTGATTGACTTTGGATTTGACTGGTGATTGACTTTTGATTTGACTTGTGATTGATTTTTGATTTGACTTGTGATTGACTTTGGATTTGACTTGTGATTGACTTAGGATTTGACTTGTGATTGACTTAGGATTTGACTTGTGATTGACTTAGGATTTGACTTTGGATTTGACTTGTGATTGACTTAGGATTTGACTTGATTGACTTTGGATTTGACTTGTGATTGACTTAGGATTTGACTTGTGATTGACTTAGGATTTGACTTGTGATTGACTTTTGATGTGACTTATGATTGACTTAGGATTTGACTTGTGATTGACTTAGGATTTGACTTGATTGACTTTGTATTTGACTTGTGATTGACTTTGGATTTGACTTGTGATTGACTTTGGATTTGACTTGTGATTGACTCCAACACATCCCCATTCAAAGGAGATGCGAGTTTACATAATTTACATCGATTCTTTTTCTTGTTTTCATTCACCAGTTTTGTTTTCATTTGACTTGTGATTGACTTTGGATTTGACTTAAGATTGACTTAGGATTTTGACTTGTGATTGACTTTGGATTGGACTTGTGATTGACTTAGGATTTGACTTGTGATTGACTTAGGATTTGACTTGTGATTGACTTTGGATTTGACTTGTGATTGACTTTGGATTTGACTTGTGATTGACTTAGGATTTGACTTGTGATTGACTTAGGATTTGACTTGTGATTGACTTTGGATTTGACTTGTGATTGACTTAGGATTTGACTTGTGATTGACTTAGGATTTGACTTGTGATTGACTTAGGATTTGACTTTGGATTTGACTTGTGATTGACTTAGGATTTGACTTGATTGACTTTGGATTTGACTTGTGATTGACTTAGGATTTGACTTGTGATTGACTTAGGATTTGACTTGTGATTGACTTTTGATGTGACTTATGATTGACTTAGGATTTGACTTGTGATTGACTTAGCATTTGACTTGATTGACTTTGTATTTGACTTGTGATTGACTTTGGATTTGACTTGTGATTGACTTTGGATTTGACTTGTGATTGACTCCAACACATCCCCATTCAAAGGAGATGCGAGTTTACATAATTTACATCGATTCTTTTTCTTGTTTTCATTCACCAGTTTTGTTATTATTTGACTTGTGATTGACTTTGGATTTGACTTAAGATTGACTTAGGATTTTGACTTGTGATTGACTTTGGATTGGACTTGTGATTGACTTAGGATTTGACTTGTGATTGACTTAGGATTTGACTTGTGATTGACTTTGGATTTGACTTGTGATTGACTTTGGATTTGACTTGTGATTGACTTTGGATTTGACTTGTGATTGACTTAGGATTTGACTTGTGATTGACTTTTGATGTGACTTATGATTGACTTAGGATTTGACTTGTGATTGACTAAATTTGGATTTGACTTGTGATTGACTTTGGATTTGACTTGTGATTGACGTTTGTTTTCACTTGTGATTGACGTTTGATTTGACGTGTGATTGACTTTGGATTTGACTGGTGATTGACTTTTGATTTGACTTGTGATTGATTTTTGATTTGACTTGTGATTGACTTTGGATTTGACTTGTGATTGACTTAGGATTTGACTTGTGATTGACTTAGGATTTGACTTGTGATTGACTTAGGATTTGACTTTGGATTTGACTTGTGATTGACTTAGGATTTGACTTGATTGACTTTGGATTTGACTTGTGATTGACTTAGGATTTGACTTGTGATTGACTTAGGATTTGACTTGTGATTGACTTTTGATGTGACTTATGATTGACTTAGGATTTGACTTGATTGACTTTGTATTTGACTTGTGATTGACTTTGGATTTGACTTGTGATTGACTTTGGATTTGACTTGTGATTGACTCCAACACATCACCATTCAAAGGAGATGCGAGTTTACATAATTTACATCGATTCTTTTTCTTGTTTTCATTCACCAGTTTTGTTATTATTTGACTTGTGATTGACTTTGGATTTGACTTAAGATTGACTTAGGATTTTGACTTGTGATTGACTTTGGATTGGACTTGTGATTGACTTAGGATTTGACTTGTGATTGACTTAGGATTTGACTTGTGATTGACTTTGGATTTGACTTGTGATTGACTTTGGATTTGACTTGTGATTGACTTTGGATTTGACTTGTGATTGACTTTGGATTTGACTTGTGATTGACTTTGGATTTGACTTGTGATTGACTTTGGATTTGACTTGTGATTGACTCCATCACCTCCCCTTTCAAATGAGTTTCAAGTTTTACATAATTTAAATTCATACTTTTTATTGGCTTCATTTACCAGTTTCTGTTTTCCATTTACGTTATCGTTCTTTTCCATTTCTTTTGTTTTGTGTTATAAAGACAAGCCTTATCCATTCCAACTCAACATCTCGGCCGACGCACAGACTGTCATTGCACCAACCGTCAAGAAATGCGGCCACCCCATCTTCATCCATTGACAAGAACATTTCTTGATAATTTATTTGTTGCAATTTTTTTTTGATCTGTCATTCCCATTTCTTTTGTTTTCTTTAGTTATTTTTTTAATGTCATTTTATTTCAAAGTTAAAATATCAAGAAGTGTCACTAACATAATTTCTTTTTTTTCTTTGATATCTTTTTGTCAATTTTATTCTTAGCTGAAATATCACGAGCCCAAGATTTGATTTTCAAGAAGTAAAAGAGTTCATCAAAACTAAACAGTAAACAAAATAAATCCAGATAATCTTTTCATCACCAGTGGTTGCCAACCTCAATTACAAGCCATTATATATTATTAAGTTCTTGTTTTTAAGTTAAACCTACATGTTGTATATGAACATTTGTTTTTGTTGACTTTTTACAAGTACGGTAATTACAGATTTGATAGGCGATGAGTTGTTGGTACATTTTCATACAAGTTGCAAACTTTAAGCATGTATTGAATAAAAGAAAAAGTCAGTTTGAAATATGTTGCAAAACAACCATCATATACATACATGTAATAGCTTTCTTCGAAAAAAAAAACTACAAGCGGGAACGTAAAATTTAAGTTCCCATTGTGGCTTATTCAATGATTTTAAATGTTCACTATCACTTCGAGTGATCACGGGTTGGAACATTTCAGGTTTGCTGTTTTGCAGCTATTCATCATGAGTATGAACATGATTCAAGGCGATACACTACACGTATGTCTTGGTTTCAGGTTTCTGACTAGCTAACCCTGAGCAGAAACTTGGAGGACCGCCATCACAGCACAAGATGGCTGACTTGACTGAGTACCATGCCTCATATTCCAGAGACCGCAGGTTTGAATTCTATTTTGCTTTTGTTGATCACTTTATTGTTGAATTCTCATTGAGTATCCCCTACAGAAAAACATTTCGTGTTGAAAGCCTATATCATATCAATAAAAATTAGATATTACAAATATCCTCAACGAAACATCATCTGTATCGAGGGATGCCGATTGGCACCCTACATGTATCCAAAGTCACATAAACATAGATATTACAAATATGCGTAAAGAAACATCATCTGTAAGAGGGGTTGATTGTCACCTTGCATGTATCACAAAGTTCCCCCCCCCCTCAAATATACATTATGCGTTAAGCCAGAGTCAGAGAGTACGGGCGTTGCATCACTTTGACAGGCTTTATACATGTAGTAAAACCTTTTTGTACATTTAGTGTTACCGGATTCAAGCATGCAACTTTTGGATTGGCTGATTTTCTCCTATTTTACTTTACACTTGTGCCATTCAAAATTTAAAAACACTGTATAAAGTCTTGTAAAGTTTGGCATTTCCTCTTGTTTTTGTTACTACCCAGTTGCATGCATGTAAATTAACAGTTACACTACTGACATCAAATCCTTAATTGTACAAATCCTTCAGTTGTGTAATGACCATAATACAATTTTGCAATGCTTGAGTCGTTTATCCGTAAAAAAAAAAAATTAGAGGCATATAGGATCATTTGCCTTTCATGAATTTTGTGCGTTTCCTATAATAATACTCAAAATCCAAAGAAGAATGTTCAAAACCTGTTGAAGTTTCAGCTCAGTAAATATAACAATATCACTTACAGTGAGGAAACCATGCACAACATGTTCATCATGAAACGTGATTTCGTCCATAGCACTTCATTAATTTCACTCCATTTCCAACGATCAGTCAGTTGACTGATAGTAGCCTATAACACCAAACCTGACGGAATAATTATTTTCATGGGGTGTTCAGAACCAGTAAAATTTTAATCCTAGTAAGCTTTTTGAGAATAATTCAGTTGGTTGGGAAAATGCAAATGATCCTGTATGCCTTTAAGACTGGAACACATAAAAAGCTTGTTTTTAAGAAAGTGGATATCTTTAATACATAAATTGAATGAGAAATCAATAAGGACACTATGAGGTTTATACTTGCATTTGGAAGTCAGTGCACTTTTTGTAAAGACCCTCAAAATAAACATGTACATGTACATACAACCAGGCATGCAACTGGGAAATCACAAAAAAAGAGGAAATTCACATTTTTCCCAAACTTTGTAAAGTGTTTTTCTATTTTCAATGGCACACATGGGAAGTAAAAAAATTGGAAATCAGCTGATCCGAGGAAAAGTTGCATGCCTGACAACGTAAAGTAAATTTGTGCAGCAATGAAGCAAATTATGCTCTTTCACATACCATGTTGAATAGTCAACAACAAATTATAAATTAACCAGACCTAAGGCTCAGAAAACAATGACATTAACATGTATGTGTATCGTTTCAGTTTGCGGTAACACCATGTCATAATAACTACTGCTTAGAAGATATTTAGTTCTGAAAAAAACTTGTTCTGCTTATTATCAGCAGCTTTCACTATGTAGCTAAAGTTGATAATAAGCAGGACAAAATCTTTTCAGAACTAAATATCGTCTAAGCAGTAGTTACATGTATTACTACATGGTGTTAACGCAAACCAAAAACGATACCAATACTCCACCATGCAAAGCCCAAATCATACATGTATACATGTGTAGTTCCTGAAAGTAGAAAAAGAATCACACTATTAAATTATAAATATCATATGGCACTGCAATCATAATAATCAATACACAAGACGTAATGATCAGCAATGAAACTAAAATTAATCAAACCATTAATCTAACAATAACATCATTGACTGTCTGCAATTTTCAAAAAATCCCATTCACATACATGTGTACATGCTTAAAAACACACCATTATATGTGCACTGTAATATGAATAATATAAATAGCAAATATTGGTCAAAGGACTTATAGTCCTCACTGAAAATGAAATGAGCATGCAGAGTCAAGCAAAAATGTTAATAAAAATACAACATGTTCATTATATTATTTAAAACGAAAAATATGAGCAGATTGGTTGGCTGTACATGTACATGTACAAAGCATAACAATTTTCTTCTGCTGGCAATCAACTTGCCACTCTAGCATAACTTTAAATTGTTCAAAGGAACAAAAGTTCCTTTCACAATAAAACTGTTTACTCAAATCATAGACAATTATGTCCAATTCCTCAGCACAAGTTGGAAATCCCCTCTACATTAGGCTTTGTAGGGGGGTGTGGCCTAGTGGTTAGGGTTCATGACCCATGATCAGAGCGTCAGGGGTTCAAATCCAGCTGCTGACCAGTGTGTCCTTGGGCAAGCCGCTTCACCCCCACTTGCTTCTCTCTTCCCAGGAGTAGAAATGGGTACCAGCATTGGCTGGGGAGTAGCAGGTTACTCTCCCGCTAAAGGCGGTACCCATTACGCTTGGGAGGAGAGAGGCAAGTGGGGGTGAAGCGACTTTCCAAAGGACATAATATATGACCAGCAGCTCGATTTGAACCCCTGACCCTCTGATCATAAGTCACAAACCCTAACCACTAGGCCACACCCCCTACAAAGCTTAAGGTAGAAAGAGAGGTAAGTGGGGATGAAGATGCTTGCCCAAGGACACAATACACTAGCAGCTGTACTCCAACCCCAGACTTTCTGATCATGAATCACAAACCCTAACCATTTGGCCACACAACCCACAACTCAATCAATCATTTGATGATTTGACCCCTCTATAATTAAGAAGTTAAACATTTGGAACTAGAAAGCACTCAGAGAGCGCAAACCTCCGCCAAGTCCAAACAATTCCCCGCCATATTGTCAGTACACCCAACATAGATACTCGCATAAATGGTGAAGATCCTTTACAAAAATCCTGGATCCAGATCCGGATCACTTCCAAAATCTAATCAATTTGTACTTGTACTAAGGACCATCCCTAACAAATTTTTCATGCAAATCCACCCATAACTTTTTGAGTTATCGTGTTATCTTGAAAACATAACCTCCTTGGCAGAGGTAATAAATACACAATGTCATAAAATGAATTATATACACTATAAACTAGTAAATAAAATATATTAAAATTTCAAAAAAAAATATATACACAGAAAGGACCAAACAGAATGCTTCCTATCAAATATCAATATAGGAGGATGAACTTTGAAAGCAATCAAAATTAAACGTGCAGCGTACTGTACACATACAGGATGAATATAAAAAAGCGGAACCCAAACCCCCAAATATAAAATATATTTCATATTTGAAAAAAATATGTAGCACCAAAAATAATAATAATGACTGGAAAGTCAATTTCATAAACTACTTTAAGATGAAAACATTACTGAAATTGCTCAATCCGTTCAAAGAATATCACCATTTAAATGCAATGACCCTAAAATCTGTTTCGTCCAAAACTTTCAGTGTGTGTTCAGATTGTTTGGAACAAACAAATACACACAATACTTGTTTAAACAACCATGACAACTGTCAACAGCTGTAGTACATGTACACAATATCTTTATTAACAACCTTGTTTAGGCAAACTGTATGATTTATAAAATCAACTATTTTGAAAAGGCGAGCCTTCAAAAGGACTTTGATATTTATAACTTTTAAGCTGAGGTTTTATCGCTGGTGATGTTTGAAGACAATTGTTAGGACAGTTCTTGAAAATGCATACTAGGACGAAAGAGGTTTTAGGGTCATTGCATTTAAATATTGATATACTTTGAACGGATTGAGCAATTTCAGTATTTTTTCATCTACAGGTAGTTCATGAAATTGGCTTTCCAGTCATTTTTGTTTTTGGTGCTACATATTTTTTAAAATATGAAATATATATTTTTGTGGGTTTGGGTTCCACTTTTTTTGACTCACCCTGTATAAACATAACCTTCAAGATGCTGCCCTTCTCTTGAAAAAAAAAAAATCTTGAAATAAATTACTCCTACAAACAAGAAACGATTCATATTCTCCGGTCACATTGTGATGCTCATAAAGAAATAAAGAAATTGTCCATCAAGACACTAAACTATAATATATAAATAAAATAGACAAGAATGAAAAGAAAACTAAAACAAGTCCACTATATTTCACAATCCCCTGAGAAGTCATTTAAATTTTGTAAGAAAACTGTGTGCATTTTTCATTTGATTTTAAAATGAAAATATTCTTTTACTGGTTTCAGTGCAGTTGTTAAGACAAGTACTGTGAGTACATGTACACAATCTATTTTATGCATGGGCGGAGATCCCGGGAGGGATGGGGGGGGGGGGATATATTCCCCTCCCCACTTTTTGGGCAGGGGGGATGGTGTTTACAATTATCCCCCCCCCCCCCAGAATTTCCAACACCATTTATTAAATAGCGCCCTCAATCTGCAAATAGTCCTCCCCCGCTTTCAAATATTTTGCAGTCGGACATTTGTTCAGCGTCACTTTTTGGGGGATTTCACCCCAAAAATTGTGATCATCCCTCCCACTTTGTGACACAAATCTCCGCCAATGACTTTATGACACATTTTGGTATTACCATGGCATGTCAACATGGTCAAGGGTTCCCACAGATTTCTTAAAATGAAATTCCATGACATTTCCTTGACATTTCAAGATCCAGGACACATTACTTCGTCACCGACACCACGAACTGACACTCGGTTGCGGCGCATGAGTGCACGACCGGTGTTTTACAGAACTAGGTTATTTTCGTTTTCACAAACTGACACCCGGCACAGTGCAGCACTTTTAGCCCCCATTCTGTACATTTTCGTTTTCAAGAACAGACACTTATCTTAATTTCACCAGTTAAAACGGTATTTAATTAAATTTTTGTGTAAGCCCACCAGTATTCGGATGGATTCAATTCATGTCAAACCTTTCAAAACGTTTTTCTCTGTACTGTATTGCTGCAACATGCTTGGGCGTCAGTTCGTTCATGAACACGAAAATCATTCTATTTCAGGTCAGTGCCCAACGTGAAATTTTGTGAAACTGAAATGGCTGATTACGCATTTTTCATGAACCGACACCCCCTTGCATGTGAGTGTCAGTTCATGGTGTCGTTGACAACATGTAGGGCTTTTCATGTCCAATTCCTTAGCCTAATAAATACATTGGCCAGTCATATACAGATAATGAACCTTAACTTTGAGGTTACTACAAAGATTAGTGCAATTTGTGTTTCTCCCGATGATGTGATTGCCTGCCATGTACATTTATGCACCAAATTTCAAATGAAACAAACTAAGAATATACCCTTTCCCCCCAAAACAATATTTTAAGTATGGGTCATTCAATAAATTAAGCATCCAAAGTGTGACATTTTTCCTGTCCCTGTTAGCTCTGAACTTTATACTGGTACTTTGTCATTCAAATGTTTCAACTTGCCGGTACAGGTACATAATCACTCTTGGACAGTGGAGAAAGAAGGCATTAACCCCTAGTCTTCTGTACTTCCCAACCCCTCGATTTCTGCAAAACCACTTAATGCCCAAAGTGTTAGCACCAACACTTCAAATCCCTGCACAATTCTTTTGTGCAGTTAAGCTCTGGGCAGGCAGGCAGATTTGGTCACGCTTCACTGCTCTTGTGTGACAGTTACTTTAACACTTCACATCCCTTCGCTTGAAACTGACCTGCATGGTTTTAATGGGTTTTACCTATTGCTGAATATTGATTTCCACTGGGACTCTAGGAGGGTTAAGGGGTGCATCCAGAATTTACAAACTCACAAGTCAGATGTCATGACAAGGACAGGTGAAACGTGAACCCCGCATTTACTGAATGACCAGATTACGTATGATAACAAGGTGCTAACCTTCATCAGATGTATGCGCTTGTTGGTGCTGCATATTTTTTATCAGGTGCGCTTCAAACTCCTTTCTCTCATAGGCCAAGTGACGATTCTCAATCTCCAAATTCCTGATCTCAGCCAACTGACCTTTTGTCGCCATCATCTTTTGTAATTCGTTCTCATCCAGTTCGTCGTGTTCTTTCCTATCGCTCTCTGTCAGTCCATCATAAGTGTCCATGCCGACCTCGTGACCTATGGCCTTAGACCCTGTGACCTCACCTTGGTTATTGTCCCTATGGTTTCCAACGTTAATGTAGTAATTTCTAGTGTTGTTGACGTTTGTGGTAGGTTTGTTACTGGCGATGATAGTAGACTTTGTCGTAGGACTCATGGAGCTTTCAGTGGAGCTGTTTTCAAATGTTTCCTCTGCGGAGTCGTGATGCTTTTTTCCACCCGACATTTCACGCTTTGTGGATGTACTTGGCGCACTTCCCTTTCTCACCATGTGATCTAAGACTAATGCTAATGGTGAGAATGTTGATTGCTGTGCATTCTTTTCTTCAGTGGGGTTACTGGGAGCCACAGCATCTTCACTTGGGAAAAACAGAGACTCGCTTTGCCGATTCTCATCTTCTCCCTCGATGGTAAATGTACCTTCTCTGGTCAGAGTTGGTCGGGGTTCTTTAGTAAACGTGCCTTGCCTTTCCAGAACAGGCCTGGATTGTGGAGTTTCAGGCCCCTCAGACTCGGAGTGTTCCACTGCGGATCTGGTTAGTGACTTTTCTGAAGGAGAGACTTGCTGAGGGGAATTTTGTTCCTTTAACTGTGATGTGTCCTCAAGGTACCCTCCAGCTTTTAAAGTTGTGTATACCTTCTTCACAGGTATTTTTGAATATGGGTTAGATTTCTTGGATTTGATGTCTGCTTTTTGCATTACGTCATGTGTCACATGATCCGTTTCAGGTGATTTTCCACCTGCTACTGAACTGACAGAGGGAGAGGCTTCCCTAGGCTTTTGAGAGGATTTTGAGAGACCTTTGTAGACAGGAATGGCTGAGCTGGATCTCCGCCTTGTTTCATGTGGACTCTGACTCTTAGCCGTCTGCTTCTGAGAATCTCCCGCTCTCTGAGAACCAACAGGTACTGGAATCAAAGAATGAGTCCTTCCTCTAATGTAATTAGGACTCTGTTTCAAATCTTCAGAATTCTCCAACTCAATAGATTGTGTGTTTGGTCTACTGTTAGAAGCATTTCCTAAACCACCGTCAGTCACTGAACTGTTTGGCGAGGCAAAATCTTTTACTTCTCTGCTTTGATGTGCTTCATTCTCTTGCTTCTCTCTTAACCATTGCCTTATTGGTGAGGTACTCTGTGAGCTCATTGGAGGGCTTTTAATATGGGCTGCATTTATTGGTGATTCAACAGAATTAGCAAATCCATAATCTGTTGTTCGTTCATTGTCAACTTTACCAGTCAAATTTGGTTCAGATTGGCTAGGCTTTATACCCCTAACTTCTGAAGTTTCCTTTTCTTTCAACCACTTTCGTATTGGAGAGCAAGGGCCCTCCTCTAAACTAACTTGAGTCTTTGGTATGTTAATGTGAGGATTGTATAATCCTCTGATATTGATGTCATCCTTATCAGAGCTTCCAATTCCCCTCAATGCATCCTTTGAGTCCATGTTTTGTGACTTTGAATCACTTTTAGTTGATGAAGACTGAATATCTTGCGTTGCATCACCTTGGCTTCTTTTGGATTGTGAATAACCCTGATTCTCTGATCGATTGAGATGCTCGTCAGGTTGTTGAGTCGTCGATTTACTTGAGTTGCTGAATGGCTGTACTGTCAAATTTTTCTTATTCACATAATCCATGCCTAATGCACAGGCTATGTAGTCAGCCGCAGTGTGGTCCCTCTCTAATGATGATGCTCTTGTTGTATCTTCACTTGGAATAACTTCATCTAACTCGTAAATCATCTCATTCGAATCAGAATACGATTCATCTTTCTTCAGATCTTTAGAGTTGTCAAGAGTCTGAGGGATATTCATTGGATGAGTGACTGACACCTCAAATTCTCCTGTTAATTGGTTAAGTTCTTTTTCACCAGGAAATCTGCTTTCACCGGCATATCTGATGTCGGGACCCACACTGGCAGGATACTTGTCAGTGTGTCTTGAGGAAACTTTGACAGCTGGTTTGTTGTTAAGCTCATCAACAAGTGTCTGGGGGCTATTTGTTGGATGAGGGACTGACTTCTCAGACTGATATGGCTCTCTTGTTGACTTCTTTTGTTCCTCTTCTGAAAGGAATATACTTTTACCACCATATCTGCCGTCTGGCAGCACACTAACACAAGTCTTCGTTTCCTGCCGTGAGGAAACTGGACCAGCTGGATTGTTCACAAGCTCATCATCTTCTACCATCCCTGAACCTCTCTCTTGTCTGGTGTCAGAGGCTGCAGCATGTCTCCCAGGAACTACCACTTGGTCAGTCACAACTTTTTCATGATTGACCGAGTTCTCATCCTTACCCTGAGCTGCCCTAAATGAATGGTCACGCTCGTCTGTACTCTCTGTACCGCTTTGACCGACAGCTTTGGTCAAATTTTGACCTCGTAGAGGTTTATCATTTGCAACATTTATGTTTACCCTGTCCATACTGTCACGTACATCAGCTTTACGGTTATGAGATAGTTGGTGCTCATGTCTATCAGATTGTCTCTCTGTAACTTTCAAAGGAGAACCATCTGCAGTCCTGTCTGTGCCAGGTCTTCCAACAGGTGATTTAGTTTTGACTTGATTGGTAGTTTCAGCACTGCTAGGATTAGCCAGACGACCACTGTGTTGATCCGCTCCCTGGGATTGACCTGTCTTAGCAAGCATGGGTCGGAGGCCCCTGTCAGGAAGGACCTCGTGACCAGGGTGCTCACTGGATGGTTTCTGCTGACTGCTCTGGACACGCATTGGTTGAACAACCTCTTCAAGTGCTTGCTGGTGACTAGGTTTAGCCACCAATTGATTCCGCCGAATATTCTGGAGATCTGGGAGATTAACAGGATGCCCCAGAAGAGTCTCATCAGGATGCTGACTTACTTGAATGTGCTGACGGTTCTGGATGTGATGTGGCTGAAGAATGCTCTCACGCAGTGCATGTTGATTACGATGACCATTCTGGACATGCGTCATTCCAACAGCGCCCTCACGCATCCCCTGACGACCAGTGTGACCCTGCCATGCTTTCTCTTGTTGATCCAAATCTCTTCTGTTGACATGCTGTGGCTGAAGGACGCCCTGCTGGTAAAGACGACCATTCTGGATGTGTCTAAGTCGAACATCCCCCTCAAGCAGTCTCTGTGGATCAGTCTGCTGATGGTTTGTGTTGCTCAGCATTGCTTCCTCCTGTTGATCCAAATCTATGAGTTGCTGATCCAGACTTTCTGTTTCTCCATCAAGCACATCCTGATACATCAGTGAATACTCTTCCTCCTGGTGATACAAAACAACAATTAATCAAACGCTTTAATAACATTTTTTGTCCTTTTAAATCGCCATTTACAGGCTATAAGCCACTCAAGGCAAAGAGCTACTAAACTTAGGAACAACGACAGGCACAAGGGTTGCTTGCCCATGTTCCCTAAAAGCACATTTGAGCAGTTCAATACAGGCGCACATATATGACACCCATGTGGATGTTTCAGATTAGGTCATACATGTATATGACATGGGTGCCGTTACAGACTGTGTTAAATGAATAACCACTTGGTCAACGACAGGTTGATCAGTGCAAGTGATGTAATTATTTCTGTACTACCCTTTGTAATCTCTACTACCCATTAGATTTAGATACATGTAGATTCATAAGCCTCTGTACTGATGAGGCCACACTTTGTTTACGTGTGCGCTTTTCTTTGGAGCTACGAATCTGTTGTCCCCACCAGGTTCCCATACGAAAGCACACAAGTAAACAAAGCGTGACATCATCAGTATAGAGGCTTATTTTCAGCAAAAAGATATATTACTTCCTTTTGGGAGACACAGCTGACTCTCTATCCAAAAGAAGTGGTAAACACTGAAGAACAAAGAACATTTTACAGATCGATATATGAAAAACCGCATTATACATTCACTTTCCCTGTGTTTTCATGATTTGAAATAAACTGACACGTAGAATAAAACATTCTTCGTGTATCATTCTAACTCCTGGTATTTTCACCCATTTGTGGACATGGCCTAAATGTGATTTTTAGCCTATTGCAGCCCTGCATGCCAAAAATTCATGTTTTTACCAAAATACAACTTTTTTAGCTTTGCAGCTCCACCAGGTTTAAAATGTTGGTATATTTAGGGTAGTGAGGGTCAATCATTGACATACCTGCAGTTTCAGTTCCAGTTGATGGAGTCTATCTGCTAACTCTTCCTGTGCTCTCTCCTCGGCATCTAAGATGGTCTCCTCTGAGAGATGCGCAAACCGGACACTAGATGAAAAATGAAAGAAATACATGCAGAAGAAAAGATCCACACAGCTTAAGAAATAAGCTTAGCAAGCAACTATACACATGTCTGGGCCCAGTTTTATGGTGCTAAAAAAGGCAAACAATTTTCTGCATGCAGAGCAAATGGTTTTCTGCTAACAGAGCTTTCGTCTGTTTCATGGAGATTGTAAGTACAACCGAGGCTCGCTTACCTCGGAAGAAAAAGTTGCTTAAATCAGTGATGTTACAATAGCTATGCGTAGCAACCACTAACACATCCACGCCATGAATTGGTGCTTAAGGATAGCATAATATTCAGCTATAGTTAGTCCAACTCTTGTGCTATTGAATAGGCAGTGCCACACTTACCTCTTCTTGGCCGTTTCTTCTGCCAAATGATGAATCTCCTCCACATCATTTAAGCTCTGCCCACTCTCAAGAACTCCTCGTAATCTGCTGGTCATGGGCGCTATGTTTCCTTCACCCACTCCTGACTCAACAGCACTTCGCACGGGATGTTGATGCAAACTTGGAGATATTCCCAGCTTACTCACGTCGTGTCGCATGGTAGAGTTTGATCCCACACCAGTGGTATTCTTTCTAGCGATAGAATTTAGATTTCCAGAGAGATGCTCACTAGGAGATATCCCAAGCTCCAGAAGATGTTGGCGTCTCCAGTCTTTACTTGAGTCAGACAAACCACCAGAAGTCTTCTTCGGGGTGGAGTGATGCATGCTTTGAGATAGTCTCGCCTCTGTCAGATGTTCATGTCCCCGCTCATTATCCTTGGTTCCAGATCTTGCTGGGTTGTATCCCAAACTAGAGTGAGGAACGCTGGGTGTTATCCCTAGATCCTGCAGATGTTGCAGTCTCCAGTCTGTATTATATTCCGATTGGTTAGCATGATTTGATAGATTTAGGCTGGGATTCAGGACGGGATGTTGTATTCTGGGAGACAAACCCAATTCCCTCAGATGCTCCTGCCTCCAATCAACCTCTTCATTTCGACTTGAAGGCCTGTAACTTTGATGTAAAGATGATGATTTGCCAAAGCTTTCACCTGCTGTATTCAAAGGAGTGCTTGTTTGAAGGTGTCCATAAACCTGTGCGGAATGGTCAGCAGTTTCAAAACCTGGTTCACCAACAAGTCTCGGTCTTTGGTCAAGTTCATTTGAGGCATTAACAGCTTGGATGTTTTCTTCTTGAGGCAGTGTTGTCGACAGACCTAAGTGACGCTCAGTTCTACTCAGTCCCCTTGGTGTGACAACTGGCCGTCTCTGGGTATGATATGTTGGTGTGGAATGGTGGATACCCAATGATGCCATAGACGGATCACTGGGATGATGTTCTCTCCAACCATTCTCCGACTGTCCCATCTTATTAAACTTGGATGTCACTGGGATTTCACTTGCATTATGTTTCAATGGAGCATAGTGTTGACTTCTAGAAACCGATGCATCGGAATGGGATGCATTTCTCAGCATATTTCCGTCTTCTTTCCTTGGAGAACCCAGCAATTTTACATGTTTTTGTCTCTTTCCTGGCTTGCGGCTACTATGACCGTGGTATGACACTAATTGGTCTTGGGAAGCTCTAACATCATGTGATCTGACATTTGATTCTGATTGATTAAGGATGCTGTCAATCAAAACTTGCCTTCTCATCTGCTCTTCATTATACTCATCTTCTTTTAGTGCCTCTTCTGCATCCATGGTTTCCTTGGCAACCTCCATCTCAAGCAGAGCGAGGGGAGACAGCGGAGGAGAGGTTTGGGGTAGCCGAGCTGAGAGACGACCTTGGTGTCTTGTGTGAGTTGATGGGATATCATGCATCCACGCATGAGTAGATGGATCGAGTGTGTGGTTCGTCTTCCTATGACCTGATGCGGTGGTGGAGTGGTTCTTATGAGGGGTAGAACCGGAGTACAACTTCTTGTAATACTCAACCTGGGGATCAGGCTCATCACCTCTGAGAGATGCATTCTGGGAAGTTAGGACAGCACTGGGATCAGCTGTTGCCATGAGTGAGTTTGATAAGATTTGTCCATGGTTCCGTCCACTGTGATGTAACGCATGCTCAGAATGCGAAAGGCCATTTGGCGGTGAAGGGCCCTGTGGAATGTAACGTAGATCCATTTCACTACGAGATAAGGAATGACTTGAAGGTAAAGTCTTCATTTTCTTCGAACGGGACGTCTTGTGTCTTTTTGTCAACTGAATAGGTCTGGTAGTATTTGCTTCACGCAGATGCATCAGGTTTTCCAGAACTGTACTGTACGGAGAGGTAGTATCACGAAGTACCAAATTAACACTTGGCTCTGAAACTCCATGTCTCATTCTTAACGATGTAGAATTGTACGGGTTTTGGATGCCTTGTTCAGCAGAGTGTATTTCCCCATTATGCTGGGAGCCATTACTCCTGTTTTGAGATGGAACCACGTAATTATCTGATCTCACAGGTGATGTCTGCATTGAGCTGTACTGAACATTGGCATTGCTTGTTTGATCCATTATCGGGGAGTGACTCAAGTTCATCAAACTTCTATGCCTCGTAACTGGAGAACTGCTCATTGTCTCATTACTGTCTTGTCCGCCCATTGCTGAATAATCATTGTCCAGATAGGATTGATGAATATTCATCAAGCTTCCATGGAAGCTCATTGGAGAGCGTTTGGGTGATGTCATGCCATTTACATATGAAGGAGACAAGCCAGGACGTGCATGGTTACCACGTAAGCCATGACTCTGCGCTTGCATGTTAGAGTTCAGGGAGGAGTTATTGTTAGTATTGAGATCAGCAGGTGTTCCATTATGATGGTTATAAAGTACTGCATGTGGGAGGATATGTCCATTCTGTGGATGTACACCATGAGAATCAAGTTGGGGAGTTTGTCTTGAATTGGTATAACGAGACTGGAATTGGGTTGGATCTTGCTGTATCAACCCATAGCTCAATCTCTCATTGCCCAATGCAACATTTGAAGGATCTAAAGACGGTGCAAAGTGATGACTTCCTGATGGTGGGTGTCCCTGATGGAGCATCTGATTGCCAGGCAACATATGTTCAGGGAGACCTTGCGGAGGATGAGGTGGCCCCTGGTGATGGATAATAACGGCAGTGTCATCCTCAACATCAGAATCTCCATAGATGCCGTATGTTTGCCCATGTTCCGAGGTGGACTGTCTGGATTGGGAGCGATCTCTTGCAAACTGACTGGCAGGGACTGTTGGCAGTGAGGGTGATGATTGCTGTGCATATTCTATGGCCCCATTTGACATTCTTTCACTGTGTTGATTTCTTTGTGCGTCTTCCCAATTGTCTCTACCATCATCAGCCTCATCATACCCTTCACCCATTATCTGACCCTGTGTATCACCGTATCTGTCATAGAATGACCCTGGATGCCCCAATCTTTGGATCAGTGGATCATCGTTGTCGGTATCATCCACTGTATTACTGTGAGTATCAGGGTATGTGTCTCTGGGTCCATTGTGCCTTCTTGTCCTCTCTGGGGTTTGTGTGTGTCTGTGATACGAATCGTCTTCATTTTGGGTCTTCTTCGAAGATTTTTTACTTCGGCTCTTTCCTTCTGGTTTCCTGTGTCGTTGATTTTGGTGCCTTGTATCAAGACTACTCTCTGATGCGGTTTTCTTAATCTGGTCACCAGACGGTGATATTTCACTTTGCTGGGATGTGGAATCGTCTGATCGAAGTTGAATTTCTGATTGCCACTTCAGGATTTCTTTGATGTTTGCAGTGGATATATTTTCCTTGTGGCTCAGTAGATTGGTCAAAATAATGCATCTGCAGGTGAAAAGAATGATTTAGAAGGCTAATTGCTGGCTCACTTTTTTGTGAAATTGTGACGTGGTATGTCTAAATCAGGCACTTTCGAGCAAGAAGTCCACTTGCAATTATTGCAATACAAAAAAATATAGACCTTGCTCTTTCAAATTCCGCTTTGTATTTTTTAATTGGATATTCCAAAGCCAGGTTATTAAATTTTGAAATCAGACTGTTCACAGTGTCACGCTAGTTTGTGCCATTTCAGAACAAACTGTTGAAAAAAGTGTCATTTTTTTGAAACGACATGTCTCTCTAAAGTGTTTTTTAAAAATACTGTGTCGATGAAATTTCAGTTGAAACCTTTACAGACCATATCAAACATTAGTAGCATCACAACTTAAAAAGGAAATCTCAAAATCACTGAAAATCATACCGTGTCATTTTACAGCTGTTTGTCCATTCGTAGCCCTGCCCAATTCTGCCTGGTTTTCACATACGTCACAACTATTATTATTATGTCGCCCGCAGGCAATAACATTTGGATCATGGTTGAGAAAGAGAAAATCAAGAGATGCTGTGTAACTTGATTTTTTTCAAAATGACTATTAGCACTTAGTTTCTCTCTTCAAATGTACATGCTAGGTTTATGTGATTATAGTTTGTAGACAAAAAATGGATGAGTAGTTAGGTGAAATCTTAATCACTTCAACCATCCTATGAAAACATACATTCTGTGCCAAGTTGTCCATTCAGTAAAAATTAATCAAGTGACTGTTTTTAACAGTTACAAGCTCCCAGCCTACATAGAACAGGATTGACTGGCTGTGACTGTTTATGTAACTTGATACAGCTCTGCGTTGAATGTAGGTGATTGATAAAGCCAGCTGTGACTACCACTTGCCTGTTTTTGTCGAAGGAATTTGACTAGTCACAGTGCTTGCTTGAAATATGATCTGACTGTTGGTGACTAGCCCGTGTTAAAGGCATGGCAGGGGAAGAGGATTGATTTTTTGACTGCCTGTGATTGTTCACATAGCAGGAGGGTACAGGTAGCATCCAAGTGCTTGACTACAGTTTGCAACTGCACATGGCTGATGCCACATCTCATAGCCACGTGTGTTACTGTGGACTGCTTTTGCTTTCAGTCTCAATCATCAAAACTCTGAGTTCAGTCAGGTTCAGGTGTCTGTTCTACATTACAAAGGCTAACTCTACCTGTAAGACAGAAGTCGTCCTTTCTTCTTCAGTGATGTGGCTCCAATATCCTCAGGAATCATCTTCACCTTCTTCAGCTCTTCCTTTGCCGGTAGGGTTTGCTTGTGCAGAAACCTCCTGACATCCTCCTCCCACTGGAGTTTCAATGCCTGGTGATCATTACCTCTTGAGTGTGACCTTAGGCCATTGTAGAGGTCGTTGAGGTCAGAGGGCAAAAACTTGATGCAACTGATGTACCAGCGTCGTGCCTGGCAGCAAAAATAATACAGAACATGTTGACTTTATTAAATCATTAGCACCTACATGCCCAACGTAGCAACATGCAACACTTGTCAAAAAGAGAAGCCTAGACAGGTCAACATTATCAACGCTAAAACGCCTCAGACATGTCAGAGTTTTTGGTCACCAACTGCAGCAGGACATACAGTGTAACTATGGCATTGTTCAACACGACTAGCTCTCATTGCTCAGAATTGGCAATTGATGCACTGGTGTTGATGGCTCAACGTAGCAAAGTCCCAGGGACTTTTACACCTGATGCACTGTTCTGTGTCTGGCGGGGATAAAACTCACCTTGTTGTAAAGTTGATGGAACTGATAGACTGATTGCAGAATGTGTTGATGTTTCTGCACGGCATTTTGGAAGTCTTGTGCGTCTTGCTTCAACGTCTTGGTGAGTTGGGTGATTTCACTCAAGCTTCGATTGTTGTTATCTACAGCCAGCCTCTCACCATGATGCATTACGTCATAGGCCTTGGACAACTTCTCCTGTTCAAAACAAGAACAACAAAAATTATTGGCCAAGGACTAGGATTAACCATAATTTGAGTATATAGTTCAAAGACTACGGTCAACCATAGTTCGACTTTAGTTCGAGGACTGTGGATAACCTTAGTTCGACTATAGTTTGAGGACTATGGTTAACCATAGTTCGACTATAGTTTGAGGACTATGGTTAACCATAGTTCCACTAACTTCTCCTGGACAACTTCTCCTATTCAAAACAAGAACAGACAAACCAAAAATACTTATTGGCCGTGGACTATGGTTAACCGTAGTTCAAGTCTAGTTCAAAGACTGTGGTGAACGATAGTTTGACTATAGTTCGAGGACTATGGTTAAACTTAGTCCGACTAAACGTCACTCGAACACAGGATGATGGGACTACTCTTGTCGACTATTTGGAACCGGACAACAGAGCACGGTTGCATCACTGGTTACTAATAGCAGTGCCATTCATAATGCACAGCAGGGAGCCAGGACCCAGAAGTTTTGTGATGAAAGTTTGACAGCATTTAGCAAGAAACAATCACGAATTGCTACAAGTGCGCAGGCGAAAAGTTACGTAACGAATCAAACGCTAGTCGACTAATGGTCCTTAGCAAATCTTGCTCTATGGTGAGCTTACCTCAGCCTTAACTAGTAGTCCATTCTCAAAGTAATTGCACAGCTTCTCAGCACAGCTCAGGTTATCAGCAATATCATCTACCAGTATAAACTGAGCCCACTTTAGCTTTAACTAGCATTAACTGAGCCTTAACTAGCACTAGTTAAGGGTTCAGTTATTGGTTATAACATCTACGGTCAACTTACCTCAGCCGTAACTAGTAATCCATTCTCAAAGTAATTGCACAGCTTCTCAGCACAGCTCAGGTTATCAGCAATATCATCTACCAGTATAAACTGAGCCCACTTTAGCTTTAACTAGCATTAACTGGGCCTTAACTAGCACTAGTTAAGGGTTCAGTTATTGGTTATAACAACTATGGTCAACTTACCTCAGTCTTAACTAGTAATCCAGTCTCGAAGTGATTGCACAGCATCTCAGCACGGCTTAGGTTATCAGCAATATCAGCACCTCCTTCCAGATCTCTTTCCTTTCTTGTTTTGAACCAGTCTAACAACTGACAGAAAGACACAATGTATACAAGTAATACATTTGTAATACACTCACTGTAATAAAATAATAACAAAATACATAAAAGACAGCACACTCGTCCAAAACTCCCATTCATAAAGTGCAGTGTTGTAACAGAATAATTTGATCACCTAGTCCTTCGCTAAATAGAAGACCACTTTTCATGTTCCAAACTTTTGGAAAAGTCCATTTGCGGGATGAAGTTCGTCAGCAGCTTTCGTACAATCTTGCTTTACTGTAAAAACAGGCACTCCTATGTTATTGTTGATACTGATGCTTGGGACTGGATTTCTGACTGGACTTGTGATTTACTTTGGACTGGACTTGTGATTGACTTAACTACAACTTTGCAAGTACATGTACATGTACCTCCATTATAACTCTGCTTTTAACCTACATGTACACGTACATGAACATGTACCTGTCTGACAACATCACTGTATTCAATAAGTTGTACAGCACAGGTGAGTAGTTTATGTAGCTTGTGAGTTGATTTGGGAGTGGCTGAATAGAATACTTGTGATTGACTTGTGATGACTTTTGATGCCTTCTGATGCATCACAAGTACCTTGTCTGCAACTCTGCCTTCAACCTACCAGGCAGATATCTTTCCTCCACTTATTAATTTAAATAGCTTGTGATTTTACGATGTACTTGGGAGTTGAAGACATGTTGTGAAAGGGCTTGTGATTAACTTGTGACTTGTGACTAACTTGTGATGACATGTGATCCATCTACAACTCTGCCTTCAACCCAGTGTTGCAGTACTCATACTCATATTCAAGTACATTTTTTGCACTCGAGTACACAAGAACACACATTCTTGTTCCGTAATTGTGGGGACTTACACTCGTCGCCACGAGGTATTTGTGGGGACCGAAAATGCTATGGGGACAGCAGAAAGTCCCCATAACTCGGTCCTAAATTGCCTAACAATAAAAAACTTCCCCATAACGCGGTGTATGCCTACCCACAATTACTCACACTCCTACTCATACGCATGGCAAAGTACTCGTAATCGTACTCGTGCAAATGTTTTCCCGCTAGAATTAAATTTTGATTAAGAGGTACATGGAGGAAAACTAATTTTCTACTGTTTGGGAGGCTTCAGCATTTGTTAAATGCTTATTTTGTCAGCAAACAAACCTTGAGAACACATGTACCAATTGAAATTTGCTCCTACTCGTCAGTAACCTAATAGCTTGTACGCATACTCATGGCAAAGTACTCATACTCATGGCAAAGTACTCGTACTCGTGGAAATGTACAGGAGTGTGATGGCCTAGCGGTTAAGAACACCGGACTCACGTTCTGGTGTTTCAGAGGCAACAGTGACATGGGTTCGAGCCCGCCGGCGGACACTTGTGCTCTTAAGCAAGGCACTTAACCATTATTGCTTCGTCCTTCGGATGGGACGTTAAGCCGTAGGTCCTGTGTGTTGTATAAATGCACGTAAAAGAACCCAGTAAACACTTATCGCTAAGAGAAGGGGTTTGCCCCGGTGTTTCTGGCCTCCTGTATAAACTCCCACGTGGAGTATTTAGGAGAAGAACCAACCAAGAACCAAGAACTCAACTACAACAGTTCAACCTACCTGAGTGACATCCTCCCTGTACTCAATGAGTTGTAAGGCCTGAGTGATCCGTCTGGACATGTCATCCCAATCATCCTCAATCTTCTTGTTGGCAGCGACCAGTTGATCATGGCATCCCTCTACCATCTGCTTCGTCTCCTTCAAAATTGGTTTCTGAGCCAAGACGGTGAAGACGTCCTCTTCATCGCAGCTGCCGAATCTTGCACGGAGATCTTCACACTGATCCAATACTACATCAAGTTGTAGACCCCTGCAGGAAATGGAACATGCATTGAGATTCACAAGTAAATCACAACTTGATTCATAAGTCCTGTAACAAACACAGGTTACAGTGGATGGATTACACCCACTGATCTCTTTTTAAAGACTGGCTAGCAGATGCCCATACACCAGTCACATAATTGAATTTTAAGTTTGACCAATTTGCCCCTGATCTTCCAAAAATGGCTTCTGATATATGAACGTTCTACGCGTTTACACAGCGCGCTGTATCAAGAGTTGAAGCACATTTTGATCACATACACGTATTACTATAAAGGACCAGTTTCCGTTGTGATTATATTTCCAAATGTTGCAAAAAGGGAACTGCAACATTCAAAATGTGAATCACAAAATTAAAAAAATTGTGAACTGTGATGGTGGTGGTGGACAAAAACAGGTAAACTACGATGTTACCGTGAATCAAAACTTCCTAGACTGCACCTTGTCCTTCATAGAACACAAACTTGTCTCCCCAATATTGCTTCAAATGGATTTCTCCTGCGGTTCTTTGTACACTTTCCAGTCTTTATATAGACATCAGTGATTGCACCAAAGGAATGCCTTTGTCACTAAAAACAATAGCTTGTGAGTTCACTTAAGATTGGATGACTTGTGAAGGACTAGTGATCGTCTTGTGAAGACTAGCAATCTCTACCAGTACTACTTGTGCAACACAAATCTTGATTACGTACATATGAAAACTGCACCTACACCAAGTCGTTGGGGTTTGTGGGTTTGAACCTTGAAGGGGAACATGATGTTTGTGTTCTTGGGCAAGACACTTTACTGCAATTGCATCTCTCCACCCAGGAGTATACCTGTAAATTGGTACATGATGTTTGTGTTCTTGGGCAAGACACTTTACTGCAATGCATCTCTCCACCCAGGAGTATACCTGTAAATTGGTACATGATGTTTGTGTTCTTGGGCAAGACACTTTACTGCAATTGCATCTCTCCATCCAGGAGTATACCTGTAAATTGGTACATGATGTTTGTGTTCTTGGGCAAGACACTTTACTGCAATTGCATCTCTCCACCCAGGAGTATACCTGTAAATTGGTACATGATGTTTGTGTTCTTGGGCAAGACACTTTACTGCAATTGCATCTCTCCACCCAGGAGTATACCTGTATATTGGTACATGATGTTTGTGTTCTTGGGCAAGACACTTTACTGCAATTGCATCTCTCCACCCAGGAGTATACCTGTAAATTGGTACCTGTGAGGGTAGCGACTGGGTTGCCCTGATCTCCAGCTGCTGCAGAAAGATGGTCTCGTGGCCTGCTGCATCAAGGTAATAATTTGAAGAGCTTTGATAGTTTAGAATAACTAATAATGTTGTACTTCACTTACCTTCTGATATCGTAGTATGCATCTTGCAGTTGATTGTGTGTTTGTTGGAGTTGTTCCTTACTGTTTCCTGCTTTAGTTTTAGCCATTGCAGCTAGCCGTTGGTAGGCGTTGGACAGTCTGACCTGAACCGACTCAAAATTAGCAAAGAAGGGCTCAACAATCTGAAACACAAAAATTTTTCAATGAGTTAACCAGTTCACATCACATGACGTGTATAGGGCTCGTTCAATGACGGCCATCTCTGTAGGACAACTGCAACTGTGTATTTTATGCAATCAAGCGCGCATTGCGCAGGCGCAGTGTTGAAAATGTTCCAAACACAGGTGCTTGTTGCTCGAAATGTGTTCGAAATACGACGCAGCCGATATGCGTTATGCAAGTTGACGTTCATAATGCCGATGCACGTGGATGGTCTGTAGGACAACTGCAACTGTGTATTTTATGCAATCAAGCGCGCATTGCGCAGGCGCAGTGTTGAAAATGTTCCAAACACAGGTGCTTGTTGCTCGAAATGTGTTCGAAATACGACGCAGCCGATATGCGTTATGCAAGTTGACGTTCATAATGCCGATGCACGTGGATGGTCTGTAGGACAACTGCAACTGTGTATTTTATGCAATCAAGCGCGCATTGCGCAGGCGCAGTGTTGAAAATGTTCCAAACACAGGTGCTTGTTGCTCGAAATGTGTTCGAAATACGACGCAGCCGATATGCGTTATGCAAGTTGACGTTCATAATGCCGATGCACGTGGATGGTCTGTAGGACAACTGCAACTGTGTATTTTATGCAATCAAGCGCGCATTGCGCAGGCGCAGTGTTGAAAATGTTCCAAACACAGGTGCTTGTTGCTCGAAATGTGTTCGAAATACGACGCAGCCGATATGCGTTATGCAAGTTGACGTTCATAATGCCGATGCACGTGGATGGTCTGTAGGACAACTGCAACTGTGTATTTTATGCAATCAAGCGCGCATTGCGCAGGCGCAGTGTTGAAAATGTTCCAAACACAGGTGCTTGTTGCTCGAAATGTGTTCGAAATACGACGCAGCCGATATGCGTTATGCAAGTTGACGTTCATAATGCCGATGCACGTGGATGGTCTGTAGGACAACTGCAACTGTGTATTTTATGCAATCAAGCGCGCATTGCGCAGGCGCAGTGTTGAAAATGTTCCAAACACAGGTGCTTGTTGCTCGAAATGTGTTCGAAATACGACGCAGCCGATATGCGTTATGCAAGTTGACGTTCATAATGCCGATGCACGTGGATGGTCTGTAGGACAACTGCAACTGTGTATTTTATGCAATCAAGCGCGCATTGCGCAGGCGCAGTGTTGAAAATGTTCCAAACACAGGTGCTTGTTGCTCGAAATGTGTTCGAAATACGACGCAGCCGATATGCGTTATGCAAGTTGACGTTCATAATGCCGATGCACGTGGATGGTCTGTAGGACAACTGCAACTGTGTATTTTATGCAATCAAGCGCGCATTGCGCAGGCGCAGTGTTGAAAATGTTCCAAACACAGGTGCTTGTTGCTCGAAATGTGTTCGAAATACGACGCAGCCGATGTGCGTTATGCAAGTTGACGTTCATAATGCCGATGCACGTGGATGGTCTGTAGGAAATGACGTCATTTGAACGAGACCTACGGTATACATGCAAAGGTTTTGCAGTATTCGGAACGGATGACTGATAAACGTGCAGTGAGTGAGGCAGGAAATATCTGTTTGCAACCCCCTCGCAGCAAGCGAGGCCGGAAATATCAGGGTGTGCTACCCGCAGATGACGGCCTGAACTTGTCTGGCAATCGGCGGTTCGTGAAAACAATCCTGTGCCTGGGTTGGGTCAATGTAAAAATAATCCCGGCTCGAACTGGTTAAAAGGCTTCACGTGTTACAATCAAAACTATAAAACTACAATATTGTATCTGATTTTTGGATCAAACACACACGTGAACAACTGTCTTATTTTGCAATTTCAAAATTCCCGAAATGTTTTATGCGTAACTTCTTGTGACCAATCATGTTGCGCATGCTTAATATGACATCACCATTTTTACGTCATGCCAGCCAACCACGAGTTTTAGGGACAGCGCCATCCACACATTTTCGTGTCTCAATAAAATGTTCTTCTTCAAAAGATATCCTCCTTTCAGCAACGAAGATGGTTTCAAAGAGTTCCAGGAAAGGTAGGCTCTAGTTCTTTCCTTAAAATTGTATAGGTTTTTCTTGTCAAACGAAAATCATTTTCTGTCTATGCGGCAGGCAAATGACATATGCATACATGTACATGTACCGTTCACGTACACATGTGTAAACGAGTTGGGTTGTACCATTTCTAAAAAGGGAAATACAATGTACATGTACATACAGAAGGCTTATCCGATTCATTAGTGACTGCGTCATACACTTGCCACACCATGATTACTAGCGCTTATTGGCTAAACACTCCACTTTGTTCTACTTCCAGTTCTACTCATTCCAATGCTACTCCGTGTGCAGTGGCAGTGAACGTGGTTTAAACTGAAACGATGTCACACTAATAACGAACCAGATTACGTGATAGGGGTGTGAGTTACCACTGATAAAAATAGCTGAAAACAGCTGAAAAAAGTGGAAAAAGCTAAACTTAAGAAATCTCCTATACTTTTGTACACAGTAAGTGAGGCAAAAAAGCTGAAATCCAAAACAAAAACAAGTCAGGTGTGTTTACAAACACAAATGCCCCGCAACCGTGACTGTTTCCATGACATAACACCACTCTAACATCAACTTACATGTACCTTGGTCAAATGGAACGTTCATTGACAGCATTAGTGTCTTCTGTAGGTTTTATATGAATTAATCCCTAATCCCTATGATCTCAGAATAAATACAAGATTTCTATTGTTTTAGCCACTGTGACCTTGACCCTTGACCTTTCGACCCCCCAATGCGATAGGCTCCTTAGGATTGCCAAGGACAATCCACAAACCAAATTTGAAGTTCATATGTAAAGTATATCTCAAGTTATCACGCTGACAAAATTTCTTTTGTTTTTGCCACTGTGACCTTGACCCTTGACCTTTTGGCCCCAAATGCAAAAGGCTTCTTAGGATTGCCAAGGACAATCCACAAACCAAATTTGAAGTTCATATGTAAAGTATATCTCAAGTTATCGCGCTGACAAAATTTCTATTGTTTCAGCCACTGTGACCTTGACCCTTGACCTTTCGGCCCCAAATGCAATAGGCTTCTTAGGATTACCAAGAACAATACACAAACCAAATTTGAAGTTCAAATGTAAAGTATTTCTCAAGTTATCGCGCTGACAAAATTTCTTTTGTTTTAGTCACTGTGACCTTGACCCTTGACCTTTCGGCCCCAAATGCAAAAGGCTTCTTAGAATTGCCATAAGGACAATCCACAAACCAAATTTGAAGTTCAAATGTAAAGTATTTCTCAAGTTATCGCGCTGACAAAATTTCTATTGTTTCAGCCACTGTGACCTTGACCCTTGACTTTTCGGCCCCAAATGCAAAAGACTTCTTAGGATTACCAAGGACAATCCACAAACCAAATTTGAAGTTCATATGTTAAGTATTTCTCAAGTTATCGCGCTGACAAAATTTCTATTGTTTCAGCCACTGTGACCTTGACCCTTGACCTTTCGGCCCCAAATGCAAAAGGCTTCTTAGGATTACCAAGGACAATCCACAAACCAAATTTGAAGTTCATATGTTAAGTATTTCTCAAGTTATCGCGCTGACAAGATTTGTCCGGACACACACACCCACACACCCACCCACCCACCCACCCACCCACCCACGGAAGGACAAGGCGGAAACAGTATGCCCCTTCGGCTTCGCCGCGGGGCATAAAAAGCTAAAATCAGCTTTAAAGCTGAGATTTCACACCCCTGTATGTAGTCATGTACTGTAGTGTAATGTTTGTACATGTATGTGCTGTACATTGTACATGTACCCGACAAAAATATGTGGTGTACAAGAGTCACTGACATGTACGATGTAACATGAATTCAAATGTTCTCAGGTAACCTTACATGTACATAGGTGTACTTCATTCCCATGTGGTAAAATTAACTTGAACCTTGCTGTTAAATTTCCTGTTAAATTTCTGTTAAATTTCACTTCTTTACCATGTTTACATACATGTTCATGTATGTAATGCAAGCAGTTGAAACAAAAGTCAAACAAAAGTGTGCTGGGAAAGAAATTAACTTTTACAAAAAATTGGCTTCAAGCTCAAGCGGCACCGATGTCAATGTTGACAGAGTGGGGAGGAATGTCAGCTACACCTTGAACAGACGCCTTTAGTAAGGTACATGTACGTGTACATGCATATACACGATGTAAGTATAAATTAACTTGAACGTTGCTGTTCATTTTCCAGTTGTTAAACTGCTGTTAAATTTCCCATCTTTACAGAATGGAAGCAGTTGAAACAAAAGAGAAACTGAAATGTACTGTGACATTTGGCTTAATTACAAAAAGTTGGCTTCAAGTTCAAGCAGCACGGATGACAATAGTTCTTCACCACACTGACCTCAACCTCTTCACCACCATGACCTGAATTTTTAAAACCACACTCCTGAATGTACATGATGTAACCCATTGTTGATGTAAGTACCGCCGATAACCTCCCAAGTGTGGCCTCAGGTGAGTCTCCTAAAGGTAGTTGTATAGTTCTTCACCACACTGACCTCAACCTCTTCACCACCATGATCTGAATTGTTAAAACCACACTCCTGAATGTAACCCATAGTTGATGCAAGTACCGCAGATAACCTCCCAAGCGTGGCCTCAGGTGAGTCTTCTAAATGTAGTGGTATAGTTCTTCACCACACTGACCTCAACCTCTTCACCACCATGACCTGAATTTTTAAACTCACCCTCCTGAATGTAACCCATTGTTGATGCAAGTACCGCAGATAACCTCCCAAGTGTGGCCTCAGGTGAGTCTCCTAAAGGTAGTTGTATAGTTCTTCACCACACTGACCTCAACCTCTTCACCACCATGATCTGCATTTTTAAACCCACACTCCTGAATGTAACCCATTGTTGATGCAAGTACCGCAGATAACCTCCCAAGTGTGGCCTCAGGTGAGTCTTCTAAAGGTAGTTGTATAGTTCTTCACCACACTGACCTCAACCTCTTCACCACCATGACCTGAATTACAAACTCACCCTTCTGAATGCAACCCACTCTTTATGTGAGTACTGCAGGTAACCTCCCAAGTCTGGTGTCAGGTGTGACTTCTCAATGTAGTTATACAGCTCCACCTCATCATCAACAGCCACACTCTGAAAATTGAAGGTAAGAAGACAAATCCCAATTAAATTTAACAACAAAATTATCACAGACATGACAGATAAAAGATGAAATGATTTCCTAAAGGAATATTTGGATTAAAGATCTGCCCCCCCCCCCCTTTAGGAAGTTTAGTTTTCCACTTTTAGGTGAAATACAGGCCATGCCCGCCTGTTATTTGAGATTTACGTCAGCCAGACAGGTTGCAACTTTCACCCTAGCCAGGCGCGCTTGCGATACACAGACTATACTGTGAGTGTGAGTTAATCCATCATGGTGGCGCCAAATTTATACCAGAAGTACACCAACTTTGTATTATTTGGGGGAAGAAAAGTACTCCGGTTGCTCAGAGAAAGACAAAAAGCCATCTGCAGAAAGGCTTTTCAGTTTTAGGGAAGGCACAAGATGTAAGGAATTTAAGGACGTCTAAACCGGTAATTATAAAGATGAAAGTGTTACAAGTCTGGGTTCGAGACTTGTAAGTTAACGTTTCCTGCGAACTGCATGGAGACAGAATATCCTGGGGGACAAATTCTCTGTTGAGGTAGGGGACATTATATCCCAGAGGGGGGCACTATTACATAAGAGAAACTGTCCAAGGCCCAATATTCTGGCAAAACAAGGAAAATCTGTTCGGGGGGACAGAATCTCCTTCCACACCAGCTACATTAGGGAAGCAAAAATCAAAATTCAGTCTTGGACCAAGACTTCTACATGTATGTACTTACCTGGAAGTATGGTGGTATGATATTCTTATTAATCTTCTTCTTGCTCTGTCTGAGCGCTAGATGAGTCAATGTATTCTTGTGTGTTTTCTTGTTGAGCGGAAGTATTGCATACAGCACACACGTTCCTATGGCTCCTTTCATTTCAGCCTGTGCAAAGAAAAAGTGACATGCAAAGTATTGCGTACATGAAAACACATGGAAAAATAAGGTACAAACGTGTACATGTAGCACTTAAAATGACAAACAAGAATAACACTTTGCAGCTTTCGTAGAGCTGCATGTACAATGTACATGTACATGTACAGCTACATTGTACTTATGTACTTACATGACTTATATAACCAATTTACAATTTCCTGAAAATGACAAAAACTTGCATGTCATTGATTTGCTGTGGCTTGCAATTTCAACAAGGCCAGTCCAGCAGTCAAAATAAACACAGTGACTGTTTTTAACAGTTGAGTGCTCCCTGCCTTCATAAAGCGGCTACGGTAGCTGTGATTGTTATGAACCAGGTGTAGCCATGCTTTGACTGCAGGAGATTGATAAGCTGGCTGTGCCTCAGTTACATACACATGTACTTTATTGTCTGTTGATGGAATTTGACTAATTCACAGTGGCTACTGAAATATGATCTGCCTGTTGGTGACTAGCCTGCGTAAAAAGTATGGCAGGGGAACAGGATATGACTGTCTGTGACATATCAAACAAAAGGAGGGTTAATTCATTTGATGGTAAAATGTCTACAGGTGACACACCATAAAGAGACAGTGATGTTGCACAGGTAAAAGTACATCATTATGTCATCAATTCCTTTTTAAAAATTTTTATTACAATAGCACTACATGTACACGTATGTACATGTACATGTACATGCAGTTTTCCTTGAAATCAAAAAGGTTGTATGCTGCCCCAGAATTCTGAGGTGCCCGGATGTATGTAAATTCAATATTTTATATACATGTACGTTCTGTGTTTACTAACTGACTGTACCAGCACAAACACACTGCACAATCATTCATGCATGAATCAAGTACAACCATGGTTAATGAGCCAAGCTTTTACAATGTATTGTTTCATCTTACAGACAATGCAGGATCATGAATTTAAGAAAACAGGGTAATACTTGCATGTATGTACATGTACCGTACATGTAATTCAATTTCACTCCAAATCAAAAAGAAATCAAAGAAACATGTACGTGAAATTTACAAAATAGCAAGACAAGGCATACCTAGTTAAAGCTGGGTCAAGAGCACACACAATTCTACTCAATAAATTCTGAATGGCTATATATCCTTCCATAAAGCTGGAAATGCCCACAACCAACCTTACCTGAATACTGTTGAGGATTGATTTCATCAGGAGGATGAAATCCAACGTGGAGAATCGGAGATCAGTCACAAAGGCAAAGCCCCGTTTCCTGTCTGCCACCCTAAGATAAAAATAAAACAAACAAAACATTTTCAAACAATACATATACATTAACCATTAACCCTATCCCTACCGTAGTACACATAAATTTACTTTGTACATTAACCCTAGACACACTTTTTTTTCTGAGAACGTTCTGATTCTACTAAAATTTACCAAAATACACAAATTTGTACAATTAAGAAGCCCAATGTTCATGTATTTCAGTAAAGCGGAACTGAGGCTGAGCTTTTTACACATGTACGTACATGTGAACTCACTAATCCACTAATTCATAAACTGTGTTTAATTCATTATGTGTTCAGATGAAACAAAGTTCAGATAAATACATGTATCTGAACTTGTCTGACTGTCTTACACTTCATGAGCAAATGATTGTGTAACAATTTTATTCTAACCACTGTAAAAAAATTTTTATTATTATAGAGGACCACAACACTTTTCAATGTTATCCTCAACAATGCCTTGGATGCGTGTGTATATGTTCATAGTTTGTTTTGCATTTTGATATGTAATTAGATGTTTATTGTCTTTGTAAGATATATCCATGGAGGATTGCCAAATAAAAACAAATCAAAACAAACAAACAATGGTAGTTAGGAAGTCAGATCAAATTACTCATAAATGCAACTTTTATTGTCACATGGCTAATATCACAATTTATATGCCCAATGTTTGAGTCATGGTTTAGTCAATTTTGATATTCAAAATAAAACAAAACAGCTGATGCTAGTGTTAAAAATACATATTCCCATTAAAAAAACTTAAGCATAACACTTTTTTGGGGTTTATTTCTGAACTTCATACAGTCGGCGCACATAAAAAAAGTGTCCTCGCTCGCATCCTATTTGGAAACAACCTTCAATATAAGTTTTATTTGGTATTTTTGCTTTTCATTTTAGGCCGAGCAATTTGACAGGGTATTTGATATCATTCCCATCTTCATTTTGAGCAAGGTTTCTGTCATTACATCGGTAGGTACATATCTAAGTAATTGCAAATGATCCTACATGGCTTATTATCCTCTGAAAACAAATGTTGGGCGCTATCAGTGGATCTGTGCTATCGGCCGATTGCACTGCGCTATCCGTCGATCATGCCGCTATCATTGATCGCACCGCCAATAGTCGATCATCTAAAAAAGGAAGTAAAGTTTGAGATTTCCTACAGGATCGACTGAGCAAGTGCATTACTGAGTGATCCAGTGATAGTGTGCTCCACCGAACTCACCAAACATCAATACTAACCTCGTGATATCGATGAAATATCTCAGCAGGCTGTCCATACCACTCGCCTTGACCTTTGATTCCAGTATGTTGTGATACTTGGCTGGAAGCGCAATGATCGGTCTGCCATGCTGGTCCCTCCCACCTGAAAAACAAAACAATTCAATATCATTCATTCAAAGTTGAACAAAAATATTGGAGCGGGGTTTGAACCTGTGACCTACGGTTTGCCATTCCGGTGCTCTACCAACTTAGCTACGGTAAATCTAGTCCTATGTTGGCGGTTCCCCAAAAGACTTTGTTGAAGGGGTACTGCTAGTCACATCTGGTTCATGGTCATGGGCAAAATAGACTGATACATTAGGGGAGAATGCAAAATCAAAACTAACCACTGACCCTCCCAAATCCTCTTTGCAAATGGAGAATTTTGCAGGATTGAGGTTACATCACTGTACATGGCAAAAGTGTGTTGCTGATTTCGGAGGATGCACTGTGTCAAGGTCTTGGGCATGTTGGGCCGGACCTTGTGTCGTTTATGCTCAGCCATGCATCCATTTAGGCCTAGATTATATACCTGTACTTGAAATCCTTCACACTGCTCCAGGATGTCACTGGCTCTGCCTCAACATATTGACAGTGATTGTCGTAGGATTTTGCAGGATTGAGGCAGTGGTCACCCCTCCAAGTAACACATTCAAAAAATAACGAAGGATTTTGCACATATTGAGGCTACATACTTTTTATGTATGCTATTTTTAAACATGGAGGCAGTTGGAGGATTTTGCAGCATTGAGGTAAACATCCCAGCAAAAATGCCTAGGGAGTTACCAGTAGGGTTAAACAAGCGGTAACTTGAGGTTTTACCCCGAGGTACATGTGTCCTATAAAACCCTGTAAACCCCATGAAACCTCAAGTTAAATAGGGAAACCTCAAGTTAAACAGGTAAACCTCGAGTTACATGTACCGCCTGTTTAATTTCGCGTTCTCCCCTTAGCAAGCTTAGTAGGCTCTACCCACTCCATCAGTGGAAAACAATACTTGTGCCTCTCCAATGGCGTGCTGCAGCTCAACCAAGCGTCAGCCGGTTCGTTAGTAAAAACGTCATACACGCGCGCACACCACTGATTACGAGCGCCCATTGGATAAACGCTTGAGGTGCGTTAAAGGGAATGTACAACATTTGCTTTTGCTGCAATTTTCAGAAATTAATGGATTTGGAGGATTAGTATGTTATAGCAAATATTGTTCAACTGACTTGTTTCACGTTTTGGGCTTGTTTATGCTGGAAAAACCAAGAAAACCAATCATTTTCTTATAGTCTGGTTCCCCGACCCCACTTAAGATGAAACGGAGAAACGTAAAGACTTTGGGGAATTGTAAGGTCAAAGAATCACTCTAGCAGGTTTGTACCCCTTCATAGGTGTGTAATCTATCGCAAAGAAAATGCGGAATAACTAAATATGAAAACAGTTTTTGAAAAAGACGTGTTTTCCAACGCTGGTCGGCTGACCAGCGTTGGAAAAATACAGTTTTTCTTGAAAATGTCAGCACACCAGGAGCCACGATTTTACAGGATGCTTTAGACTGTCAATCCCTAACAATTCAGTAAGGTATACATGTCATGATAATTTGATAATTTTGTTTTTTGATGTTTGCAAATGTTGTATCTTCCCTTTAACTTGCGGTTCCATTTGTGCTATGCTACACGGTGTGAAGTATGCATGGTTGAATTGAGATAAGGTCACACTAACGAACCGGATACATGGCCAACTTTGGTTGGAGATTTATGTTGGCAATGATTGGTCAAATCATCCTTCCACATGTACGCACCTGTAAGGGTGGCGACCTCTGACATGATGATGTCATCCTCAGGCATTCTGGGAGCACGACTGAAGAAAAACTGATCATCTGAAACCACAGTAATAAAAAAAGAAATCTGTTAAGTACGGTACTATATGAAATTGGTGCCCATTGCCCATGCCCCAATAACATGAATAAAGCAGAAATACACTTTTGAAACTGAAGCATGTACACTTGTACCTGTATACATGTACTTTTAACATAATGTCGTGTCCGTGCAACAAGGTTGTATCTCCTAAAATGGGCTGTACGTGAAACGCAAGTTTCAGAATGTCAAAAGTTTGTATCTCACACAACCAGGATTTACACACAAAGTCAATGGACGTTGAGATACGACCTTGTTGCACGGAGCGTATTCTTATCCTGATGCCACGATGAATCTGCACATTCACTTTACCTTGAAAATGAACAACTTTCCCTGCGAGGGCCATAATTAAGATGCGTCACAACAACTGCAACTCAAACTGTTGATACCCAGGCACGATATTCCAACAGTAACTCAAACAGTAAATCCACGATGTTGATAAATTTCACGGCAATCCATGTACCAATATTTCAAGTAGTGAACTGAGGAAAACAATACATCACATATATTTGTACATCATGGCTACCGTAGTACATAGTGATGGTAATGATGTTGTCACAAAATTGATTTACCAAGGAAAAACATTTCAAACGGTTGCTCTCCAAGCACAACTTTCCAACATTCATTCCCACAGTTCAATGTATCCATGATGTTGATGAAATTCAAGGTACTCCATGCATGCTACACAAGTTACAACAAGTACAAAACATGTAGAATACTGAGCATAATCATCCATCACTATCATGAGGTTGCCACAAAATTGTTGATCAAAGGACAGAAAAACGAAACTGTTGATCTCCAAACACATGTATTCCAAAGTTCATTCCAACAGTAAATCCATGTTGTTCATGGCAATCCATGTAAATGTATCCATGATCAATCCATCACAACTACCGGGTATGTTGTACATTTGTGTAGGCCTACCGGTACATGTACAATACACAATTCTGATGATGATAAATTAATACTGGTGATGATACAGAAAATTGATGTTAGAATCAATTTTCAATTTACCTCTTTAGTTGCATTGTCTGGGGTTAATCCCTTTGTTCAGGGTGTGATGTCATTTCACTGACTATAACCTTCACAATATCTGTAACATCATTGGTTGCAGCTGCTGTACCAACGCCCACCGCCAACTACCAATTCCTTCTATTTGGCTATCATCATGGCTATTATGACACAATAGTTTAACAATGCAAATATTGATCTGTTTTCTGTAGTTAATAACATGTCAACGTTGTTTGCAATTTCAGTAGTTTGACTAAAAACAGAGTGAAGTTAAGAACATGTACTTGTACGTACATCAACACAAAGCATGCCTCATGTCACGGTCACATTATTCATTATTCAGAAACAGGAGAAGAAATCGGCCTGATAATAATAAAACATGTATAAAGTGCACGTACATATTGGTGCTCAAGGCGCTATTTCATTATTACATTTTGTAACCTACTCATTTGGCCAATGAAACATTTCAAAGACAATTTACAGAGAAAATGGACAAAGAATAATTACAGGCAAGATAATTAAACAAATGTATGGAGGCCAATTCATAGAAAGCAAGAACTTGTTACGGAAAGCCTATATACAAATGTACATGTACATGTGTACAATGTATTCAGAAGAATTCAATGAGACCGATAAGCAGTAGGCCTATATTGATCCACCAGTATCAGATGGTGACACCTCAAAACAGTGGGCCCGCTCCTTTTCGAAAAATTTAACGAGATCATAGACATGACAGAGTACAATTTTTTTCGAGTTACAATGTATCTTTACGTGCATGAACAATCTGTTAAACAGAAACTTCCGAGATTTGAAACTTGGGGTTGGGTTTCTTTAACGGGTACCCGGGTATCTGTGTTTTGGTTTTTTTTCAATCGGGTATCTGGTGCCTGTACTACAGGGCCCCATAAAAGCACACCCCTAGACAAATACATGTACAAACTGTACAATTTATGATAAAGTGTACAATTTATGATAAAGTTAGAAAATAAACGTTGACGGTAGCATTGTGTGACAAATCTTTTTTGTGAGTTTGTGAGGTTCTGAAAAGAACCGGGGGAAAAGAAGTGGGGGAAACTCTTCACCATGAAAACCTTCAAATCTCATCAAACTTGGAAGACAATTTTAAAGAAGAAAACACAGCATAAACTGAAGAAATACCTGTAACTTTTAAAACTTTAATTAAGGCTGGTTTGGAGATTGCAGGGTCGACTGCATGATATGGGAAGTGACCAATAGAGTCTAGAATTAGAAGTTCCGACTTGCAAGTATTTGATTTTACGATGGATCGTGCGACATGTTTTTTTTTTTTTTTCAAAAAAACAAAACACAACAAAACAAAACAAGCGGCCACTAAAGAGGAAGTGGGCGGGGATGCTAAACATGTTTTTTTTTTATGTTTCCATCAACCCTTCTTCTGTTTGATCAGTCACAGACAGTCAAAAATTAAATCCTCTTCCCCTGCCATAGCAAACACCGCGATGCGACCAAACAAAGCCAGATGACCCGCCATAATACACACGGGCAAAGTATAGTTCTGATCCCGCTCCAGTGTCCACACATTATCACTGTTATAAATACCGCCTGCAAGTCTGGCAATGGCCAATCCTGCTCCACACAACACAAGAACACGGAACTGTGAGCACGCCTTATTACCGTAACCGCGTGCCAGACTACATGTAAGTCTGGCACCTATGCCATCAGGGTACAATAACATGCGGTAGTAGATTAGTCTGGTTGCAATGGCGTCCCGCCGTTGTACAAAATTCTCTCGTTTCGCCTCTGTAACCTAACATTTAAAAATGCTTTGCGGCAAGGTGTGGCAAGATTTTAATCATTTATTTTTAAACCACTGTTTTAATAAAAGTCTGAACTTTCTGGGCAGTGCTAGTCTGTTACCATTTTTATTTATAAAGTTATGATAAAAACAGTTATGATAAAATACATTTTAATTTTACAATTAAAACTTTTAATGAAAGTGCCGGCTCACACGGTAATGTTTGGTGCAATCTGTCGATATGGAAAACGCGAGTTGAGAATTCATTTTTTCCATCAAAATGAATGCAAAGTTCTGAATTAATGTTTTTGATAAGGTGAAGTAAAAAATAAAACAAGTTTCTTGTCCCTGCCCGCCTCCTTTTTGGAGGCCGCCTGGATTTTCTTATTAATTTTTTATTTTTGAAAAATGCAGTAAAAAGAAACACTGAAAAGGCCACAAATTCATAGGAAAATAAACACTTGCGAAATGTGAGTCGAAGTTTTCAGTATAGACTCTGTCGGTCACTTTGTACACCACATAAATCGACGCACGATCGCTAAACACTTCGTGAGAGTCCATACCCCTGCGCACAGTGGAAACACCAACGGTTGCAGGAAATTTTTAAATGGCGGCCATCTTGAAAAAAAATTTAAAAAAATAAAAAATAAAAAGCCCCTCTTCCTCCTTTTTTTCAAAAACCCCGGCGAGAAACATGTTTTTTGTTTTATTCTGCCTTATAAGTTATAGTTATAGTAATAGGAGTCAGTATTCCTCTTCAGGATACTTTTTGTATTTTTAGAGTAATCGTTAGCACGGTTTGAAATCGACTAATTTTGCGTGGTTACAGATAATATATACAGCCCAAACCACTGGACTCCCTACATGGCCTACATGTAGTCCGAAAATTTGGGACTCTCAATACTGTGTATGAGATTGAGAGTCCCAAAACTTAAGGTATCCATATTGTGCAAAAGTTTGTGCTGCATAATAAAACCAGTGTGAATCAAATGTGCAAGCTTCTTACTCACTACGTACAGTTTCTTCAATAATCCCCAAAACTTCTGCCCTGCAAAGTTGCTGTTGTGAGCATTGCATTGATCACCAAAAGTTCAGCGTTTAATTCTAATTTTGCAGGGAGTTATCGAAATCAAAACGTGAAACATCACGTTGATGTGTACTGCAATGCATTGTGCAAAAAGACTCCTCAGCTAAAACATTTTCATCGTGTAGATAAAACAGCGCCCTCTTGTTGATCTGAGTGAATGCAGAATGTTTCCCTTTTAAACAGAGGGCGCTATGTTCATTTGGCCATTGATTAAAAAACAAGTAAGCTGCAAGGTTCTTCCTACACCTACCCAGAATACCTTGGGAATCACACACCCATTTCCAGAGCATGGAGAATGACGTGGATGGTTTTTGAACTGTCAAAACCTTGCCTTAAAATTGGATTTAAGGTCTCCAATTTTGCAGGTGACATGCTTGCAACTTAAGCATTTTGATGTATGTGTTGTGTGGGCATTAATTAGCTGAATGGTGAGTAAAAAAAAACGTCAGTAGTAATTTTGCACGTTTTTATGCACTCATGGTCCCAGTCTGTGGACTCCCTAATGATAAACAAAGGCAAATGAAGCTCTATTTATGGCGATCATGCAGTGTAGGGCCCCTGTTTTGTTTTGATCAAATTAGAGTCAAAAATGTTTTGTCTTGCTCAAAAATCACCTTTGCAATCAAAAGCAGACTTTTCTTAATTCTAATGACACCCGTTTTGCAATTTTGAACAGATTCTTGGGGTAAAAATCACCATTTTCCTGCGCGGTTTGTGCCTTGCAATTCAGCGCGCCGTGCTTACTCACGGTACATCGCTCGGTGATCGCCATCTTTATTTTCGGGTCGCGTGTTGTCGCCGCGCTGTCATCGTCATTTTACCCCCAAGTTTCCCTCAAAAATTCAAAACCCTGCCCTTTAATCTTTGTCTATGACGTACCTGTTTATTGAGAATGTCGCCAACTAGTTTGGTAGGTCCAATAATTTTAAGGTGCATTTTGTTCTCTTATAGTTATAGGAACCGGGCCCTACACTACACGATCGCCCTATTTATTGGCCATTTTCAATGAAATGAGTCACCATGACATGTATACAAAACACTGGGCGTAGCCAACCCCCCCTCCCCCTAGCTGGAGTTACCCAGCCCTGAGTTTTATCATTGGGTTGTCATCTAGGGCTGGAGCGTATTTTTCTCGTAACTTGTAGTATATTCAAAACAATTTGGAAAATGTTCAATTTTGTCCCCGTTACACACTAATTGCAACTGCAACTCAACCCAAACTTGCCTGGAATAACCATTACACAGGTCCTTGAAGTAAAAAACGATCCACTATGAAGATTCAGCCTACAATTGCAGTGAAAACAGGAGGAATAACCGCTAACTTGACAACCTTGCTGGATTGGCCAAGACCGCAATTGGTTTGTGCACAAAAAAAATTGTGTACAATGAATGGCGGTCGATTAACAGGCACAGAGAGCGATCGCTGTCAACTACTCGGTTTTGCCGGCTGCGCTGGCTGTTGGCGCATGACGTCACGCGGAAGCATATGACCCGATGACTGTTTCATGCACTATTGGTTGCGGTTCCAGTACCAAAGCTGTGATGCGAGTGGTAAACCTTATATTAGTGCATGAAACAGTTATCGGGTGTTACGCTTCCGCGTGACGTCATGCGCCAACAGCCAGCGCAGCCGGCAAAAACGAGTAGTTGACAGCGATCGCTCTCTGTGCCTGTTAATCGACCGCCATTCATTGTACACAATTTTTTTGTGCACAAACCAATTGCGGTCCTGGCCAATCCAGTAAGGTTGTCAAGTTAGCGGTTATTCCTCCTGTTTTCACTGCAATTGTAGGCTGAATCTTCATCGTGGATCGTTTTTTACTTCAAGGACCTGTGTAATGGTTATTCCAGGCAAGTTTGGGGTGAGTTGCAGTTGCAATTAGTGTGTAACGGGGACAAAATTGAACATTTTCCAAAATTTGTTGAATATACTACAAGTTACGAGAAAAATACGCTCCAGCCCTAGATGACAACCCAATGATAAAACTCAGGGCTGGGTAACTCCAGCTACCCTCCCCCCAACCTGCCCACCAGCATTTTAACCAACATTAAAAATTTGAACAAAGTCAAATACAAACTGACATTTATACAGAGATGCCACTTTTCCGGTTTTAACCGGAATTCCGGTTTTTAAAAAAAATCTCACAAAATTCCGGTTTTTCCGGCCGTCAAATTAACCAGAAAAAGAGAAGAAAAACTGTGGAAATGCGTTGATTTTTACCTCGATTTAGTACATTTAGGCGCACGCATGGCACAACGTTGTTCGTTGAAGTAGTCTTAAAAACAGTCTTTGTGTATGTTGTTGCCGAGCCTGCATGCGATACAAACGGCCAACGTACTTAATTGCACGCAGTATACAACGGCGCCTCGCGCGTGCTTCACCGCGTGCGGGCGTGTTGTGTGCTAAGCACACGTAGCATTCAGCCTGGAAATCAAGTCTATCATTTCAGCTATCGGTGGTTTCCGATCGCAGTGATATATGTGAATACAAAAAATGCGGGTACCAACCATGTTTTCGTTGAGCGCATCGCGTAGTGCAAGGATCATGTACACCGACAGCAGTGTTGTGGAATCATGCATGTTTCGTGTCGAATATTACGTTGGAAATTCGGGTAGGCAGAATAAATATTAGGATGGAAAAAGTCAAAGTGATTGAACGAACCGACAGCTTTCAAGGCCATAGAAGCAAAATTAAAAAATAAACAGAACTTGGCTTGGCTACAAGATAAAGATGACAGCGGGGACTTTGTGTCGGACACGGAGTGGCTTTTTCACATACACAAAAGTCCGGTTTTTTCAAGCAGCCGTTCCGGTTTTTTTCAAGCAGACCCAGTTCCGTTTTTTTCAAGCAAACCTTGTGGCATCTCTGTTTATAACTTAGTGACATGACTCAGTCATTGTCACTAATAAATGTCAGTTTGTCTTGACTGTTGACAAGTCTAGCCTCTGTTCCTTGCTCTATGGTCTATCTGACTTGAAAAATGTCAACCGTCATTCCCCGGCCCCCTCAACAGCTCAAGCATGTCAAGACAAACATGACAAAAACGGCACAGACTTTCCTTCATTACCTTCAGCTTCACTGACACTGTCTTCACGTTCACGACGTTCCTCCATCATGTCCATATTCCTGCTTTTTACATCGACAACGAATCGCCAAACTTATGTTATGGACGGTAATGCCACTAATGGACAAGAAAGTTGTGATTCTTCGCCATCGCAAAATGCGCCATTGTCACGAAATTATTTACATTGACGATGGAAATTAGCGCCCTCTATCAGGCACTTTATGTAGGTCCACACATGGTCAAAAGAGGGCGCAATTTACAAATAGCAGTGATCAGTCAGAAAAGCAAAATTAATAATTACAACTGAAAACTAAAAAGATAAGTTTCATCATGTATGGGTGTCGACAAACACCTTTCTTTCAGGTTGGGTGGTCCTCTCATTCATTTTTTTTAATATTTGAAATTATAAGATTTTTTTTTGTTCTATTTTATTTATTCATTTAAGTTTTAAATCTGGCCTATTTTAACTTGGCAGATTCCTTGAAATTCTTGTAAATCGATCTTCATTATCTTATTTTGTCAATTTGATGTAAAAAAAAAAAACACACACACACACACACGAAAAAAACAATCGGAGTCCACACGATGACCCAAAAAAATAGGCCAACTTTTTTTTGGAAAAATAAAAAGGAGGTCAGGTTTTTTAATGAACCCTGTGAGGTCACTGGATATTTTATGCGCAGTACGTTTGCGCAGGTGTATTTATCGCTGGTACTCTGCCGAAATCCGTCTCCCATTCATTTACATAGTATTGCACGGATTACCAGTGAAGGCTCACCCTGCGCTGCCTCGCAGCAAAAATCTGCGAACGGAAAGACGTCGACTCTTTCCCCGAAATGCCTTGTTTTACAGGCTTTGTTTGCACAAATAACACATTTTGACGTCATTACTTTGTGGTCAAAGTAAAGTGGTAAGTTTTGTTTTGCTATTGCACTTGAAAGTAACCTTCGTTTTTGTCGGAAATGTTTTGAACATGGAGAAGCAAAAAGTGTGAAAAAGGCTGGGAAAAATTGCTGATAAACAGGGCGAAAATCAAGATGGCGTAAATGACCTGACAAAAACCTTGAAAATAAGTGTTCTTGTAAATGTTGGGTAACCATTGCGTCGATTGCCGTACCTGAAATGTCTGCAAGCTTATTCTTAGGTCGCTCACACGAACACTTAGTTATTTGTAGACAGTAGTGATATGTTGTGAATGTGAATCTTTATTCTAAAGTTATCATGGTTATTGGACTGTTTTTGGACATGTTTAATTTAAAATCAAAACAAAGCATGACAATTTGACATGCATATCTTTCATGCATATTTGATAGGCCAATTGCAAAGTCCAGTAGGGAAGATTCAAAGATTCCAATATCAGGCCACCACTTGTCATCCTGTGCACAAACTAGTATGGGCAGATGAGACTGGTCTGAAATTTTTAAAGTGTTTTCTCAGTAGGCCTAGGCTACTCCTAGTCCGAGTAACTTGGACCCAACTTATCGCCTTTTTAAAAATTTGGACATGGTCTGGCGATAGTAGGGTCCAAGCCCATTCCTCGACCTAGACAACACAGTCACTGACAGTCCCAAAAACCAACATTTTCCAACAAAAAACATCAGATTTCACCTTCAAAACGGCCTCCAAATTACTAGATATGCCACCTGAGGTACAAGTAGACATCGATAATTAAGATAGTTGTACTGAAGTTTACTTACGATCCGGAAAAAAAGTGAAATTTTCCGTTCATTTCGGAGAGCTCCCCTCGCGATCTTGAACACGTTAAATTTGCGATCGTGTTTAAAGTTTGAACGACGCGATTTCTTCTACATGCCCAGCGTACATTCGATGGTCCCCGTATCCCGTATGCGATTCCGTTACCGAGCGCGCGCGATGCATCGATTATGATAATGATCACGTTTGTAAACACATACATGTGCATTTCGAACTGTAAAAGGGAATCGGGAACCAGCTTGAACTGGTACCCGCTATAAAAGCTGCGCTAGTTCCCGACTCCCTATTATCGTTTGAAATGCACATGTGTTTACAAACGTGATCCAGTCTACTCATTATCATAATCGATGCATCGCGCGCGCTCGGTAACGGAATCGCACTCGGGATACGGGGACCATCGAATGTACGCTGGGCATGTAGAAGAAATCGCATCGTTCAAACTTTAAACACGATCGCAAATTTAACGTGTTCAAGATCGCGAGGGGAGCTCTCCGAAATGAACGGAAAATTTCACTTTTTTTCCGGATCGTAAGTAAACTTCAGTACAACCATCTTAATTATCGATGTCTACTTGTACCTCAGGTGGCATATCTAGTAATTTGGAGGCCGTTTTGAAGGTGAAATCTGATGTTTTTTGTTGGAAAATGTTGGTTTTTGGGACTGTCAGTGACTGTGTTGTCTAGGTCGAGGAATGGGCTTGGACCCTACTATCGCCAGACCATGTCCAAATTTTTAAAAAGGCGATAAGTTGGGTCCAAGTTACTCGGACTAGGCTACTCCTAGTCCTAGAACTGGTGTCAGGTCAACTCGCCCCCTGGCCGACTCGCCCCTTACCGACTCGCCCCTTACCGACTCGCCTCCTGACCGACTCGCCCCCTGACTGACTCGCCCCTTACCGACTCGCCCCCTGGCCGACTCCCCTCCTAGCCGACTCGTCCCCTGACCGACTCGCCTCCTGACCGACTCGCCCCCTGGAAAGTTAAGCACCTTACAAGGACATCTTGAAAAAAAATAATAATAACGACAGTGCGGGAACACATTGCCCGATCGTAGCAAGAAACTCAAATGGAGCCAAATTATTCAAACGCCACATTTGAAGGATTTCCGGTACAAATGCAAGAAACTATTGATCTTTTATGAAGAATTTGGGTAGGAAACACCAAACACATTAATAGCACAGCTGTACCGATATTCGCGGAGTGCCCGGGGCCTATCGCGCGTATACGCGTAGCAGCCGGTCTATTTCGCGGTCCGTTCATGGTGACTGCCGGCGCACGGCACTTTACCGCGTTCACCGTTTGTCAATGACATTACTTGTAAATCTCAACTTTAGGTCCTCAGTTTCATTAAAAAGTATTTTAAGAATTAAGGATGTACATTTTGAAAAAAAAAAAATAGTTATTTGTTTGGTTTAGTCATGTTAGTGGTGTTCTCAAAATGTTATAGGAGGGGAGGCTCAACTTTCAGAATCAAAACCGAAACTCAGATAACGAGAAGCTGATTGGAACGTGATTTACCCTCTTCTCTTGCGGAAAGGGATTGTCTTATTTTCATGTGTGACCTTTTTATTATTGGTTATTATTACCATTTATTATAATAATTATTGTTATTGTACCAGAAATCATTATTTGAAATATTTGGCTCCATTGAGATTCACGACACGACCGGGCATGCAATGTGTTCCGCTCCACTGCTTTTTTTTTTTCACGATGTCCTTGTAAGGTGCATAATCTTCCAGGGGGCGAGTCGGTCAGGGGGGCGAGTCGGCTAGGAGGCGAGTCGCCCAGGGGGCGAGTCGGTAAGGGGCGAGTCGGTCAGGGGGTGAGTCGGTCAGGAGGCGAGTCGGTAAGGGGCGAGTCGGTAAGGGGCGAGTCAGTAAGGGGCGAGTCGGCTAGGGGGCGAGTTGACCTGCAATCCTAGAACTATGAGGCTCCACGTAGTGGAGCCTTATAGATCAAGAAGCCCGCAAAATTGCCTGCAGCACAAAACACTAATAAAGTACAAAAACGTCCATCAAAATGGAGACATTTCACACAGAACCGCTGCACAGTTTGCCCCTATACTCCGTACTTTATCTCTTGACATACTCACGTATCATGCGCAGAACTAACATAGGTGGATTCTGTCGGTTTTTAGGCCAAAATGATGAAAAATATGCCCTTTCCGCACTGAGCCA